CAGGGATGATGGAGAGGGACTCTTCATGAGGGACTGCAGCAATAGGATAAAGGGTAATGGGTTCAAACAGGGGAAGTTCAGCTTAGATAAAAGAAGTTCTTTAATGTGAGGGTGGTGAGGCACTGGAACAGGTTACCCCGATCTTAAGGTCCTTTCCAGCCCTAAACATTCTAAACCAAAACAATAAAACAGTGATAAAAAAAACCCAAGCCCTTAATATTTGCAATTTAGATTTTAAGTTGGGGAAAGAAAGGAAATAAACATTATTAAAAATTCCAGGATATCTCACAGTAACTCATATGGAAGATGACAGGAATGTGCATAGTATAAATACCATAAAACCAAACAGAAAACATGCACATTCATGCCAAGCAAAAAAATCAAGATGCTTAAAACGACACAAGTAAGAACTATTCACCGTACTCATTTTTGAAAGGTACCACAGCTGCTAAAAGCTGGTCCTTAAGGCGTTGTTTTCATCCTTGCCAACAGCAATAACCAAATTTCTTGCAATACACGGCATAAGTACACCGCGTATCTTTATTTTATTTTATTTTTAGTTTATTTTTCGGAAGGAAAGAAATAAGGCAAGGAGAAACCATCCCCTTTTCTAAAAAGATCCTTTAGGGCTAAGGCTAATCCTCAGGCCTGGGAGAGGGCAGGGCCAATCCTCCGCTTCTCCCCCAGCGCAGCCCCCTGAGGCTGGGCCACCCCCTCTACCCGCTATTGTCCGGCCCAGGCCTGCCCTGCCGGGAGCAGCGTACCAAGATTCCCCCACCCCTAGGAAACCAGCCCGGGCACCCGCCCACCCCGCAGCTGCGCGGCGAGAGGCACTACATGTTCACCTCCTGCGGGCTGCGGCCGATTCGCCTTCGCCCCCTCAGCTCCGCCGTCCGCCATCTTCCCCACCTCCAGCCTCCCGCGCTGCGCATGCGCACTCGCACCGCCGCGGCAGTCCCACTGCCCCCTCCCACCGTCCCCACCCTCCAAGGCGCAGCTGGAATGACACAGCCGGAAGTTGCGCTCTCTGCACCGGCAGGACAAGTGGGAAGGCGGAGGGTGGTGTTGTGGCGCACGTCTTGTGGGGAGGCTCGCTGCGCTCGTGGATGCAGCGCCTCTTGAGACTGAATGAAAGGGGTATTGAAATAGGGAAATATAGGCTGAAATATAATCTAGGTAAATTAGTTCTGCTTAGTGATCATCCTTGTATATGATAAATGACCGTAGTTGACGTGGTTCTAGGACTTTGTAACCTTGCACAAAATTTATGGTAAGCAAAACAAACTAGCTGATGTTCAGGATGAGTTGTATCTGAGTTAACTGATAAGTAGAAGGATGGGGAGAAATCATTCAATTAGGTCAGTGGTGTTACTGAACTAATTAAGCTGGCATAAGCATTTATCTACTGCGCATGCTTCAAAGGCTGCCAGGACGAAAGTTCAAAGAACGGCAAAATGATGATTGTTCGAAGAAGTAAACGACACCTAAACACCACTACCACATTTTCGTGCGCATGCGGGAGAAACTTTCTAGGAGAATGATGTAATGTTTAAGTAACCTCATGAGTATGCATGTACATAATGAATATGTATGCTTAGTGAGTATTATGAGGACCGATTGCTTAGCAATACGGCAGAGACACGCTAGGAGGAGCAATCTTCCGTGTCTCCCAGCGCTGCAATAAAGAATACCTGCTTGTTAACTTAAAACTTTGTTGGCGAGTTCCTGGAGATTTCTCCGAATCAATTTGGCACCCCGGATGGGACCCTCTCTGCTAGGCTGCAGGACCCGCTGAGGACAGAACTCCCTAGGGCCCTCGGGAACTTGACCTCTCGACTTAGATTGCTGCAGGAGCAGACAAGAATCATCTTTACGAAAGGTATTCTTTTATATAGCCTGTAAGATGCAGGAGGCATCTTACATAAAAACTAAATTGGTTTGGTAAGCATACGCAAGGTTTGGAAGCCGCCTGTAAATCGAGGTAGGAAATCTCGTAGGTAAAGGCGTATACCCAGCTGCTAGCGTCCGTTTGTTATACACCTGCAAGACACAGGGCGCGTCTTGTGGTTTAGGCCCTGCAAGATGCAGGGGGTGTCTTGCTGAAGCGGTTATTGATTTTACTGGTATTTGACTTATTTTGTGGCTCGTTGTGGTAACGATTTTGGTATTGGCGACAGGATGTTGTAACTGTTATTAATTGTTGTTTGATTGAATTTAGTCTCTGTCTCAAGTATTAATTGTTATTTGTTTGATTGAATTTAGTCTACGTCTCAAGTATTGTAACTGTTGGAGTGTGTCTTTGAGATCCCGTGTGTGTGTGTGAATGCGAAATTAATAATGGGAAATCAACAGAGTGAAGAAATCTTGAAAAAGAGTCCTTTAGGGTGTATTTTGGCACACTGGAAAGAGCTGGAAGGGTCTCCTGGGAGCTCGGTAAACAAGAAAACTTTGATAAAATACTGTAATCAATGGTGGCCTTTAAGTACTTCAGAAGATAAGGAAAAATGGCCTAAGAAATGGAACTCTGAACTATAAGACATTGTTGCAATTGATGTTGTTCTTAAGGGGACAAAGAAATTGGGATGAAGTGATGTATGCAGATATGTTTTTCACTTTAAGAAACCACCTGGAGTGGCAGACGGAAAGCAAAATTAATATAGCTCTGCCAGATCCCTTAATTTTGGCTTTGGAAAAGGACAGGGAAAAGCAGAAAGCTAAGCTGGAGGATGTTGTTGAGCCTATGATACTGGGGAAAGCTGTTTAAAATTAAAAAAACAGACTAATCGGGAAGATAGACTGGAGAATTATGTATCACAGGTACCTCCGAGAAGAACACCCTCTGCATCTGTCCTATCTGATATTGATAAGGTGGAAGAAGTTGCTGTCACTGGCAACAAGCAGCAGATTCACATTCAGAGTTAAGAAAGGGTTAAAACAGAAGTGCTGTTTCAGAGGCAGGCATCTGCAGCTGTTGCAGAGCAGGGTGAGCAACTGTGAGGAAAAAAAAATAAAAATGGAAGGAGCTCACGCAGCTCCTGTGTTTAAAGGTATAGACATGATACAGGGTTAACCAATGTACAAGGGGTTGTACAAGTGGGTTAGAGGAATTCGCTTGCTTAAGCAAAAGTATTGTCTGTACCTATCATACCTACTAAGCAGAACAAAGGCACTAACTATTGATAAGGGAAAGCAGACACCTGGTTCTGTTGACAAGGAAAAGCAGATGCCTCATTCTACTGATAACCAGCTTTTGATAAGGAAAAGCAGACGCCTGAAGAGGGAGAAGCAGATGGTTTATGGCTGGGACACCGACCAAACCCTAAGGCCATACGTGAAGACTAAAAGGTGAAAAGTTCAATAAGAGGAAGACTCGTTTACTTCATCTTGAAGACCCTTACCCACAGGAGGAAGACTAATTTACTTCACCTTGAGACCCCTGCCCATGACCAGAGGGGGCACTGCACAGGCGCAAAGGACCTTCTAGCTCATTATAATATGAAGCTGGGATAGGACATGAATATGTATAGGCGTACTGTGAAACCTTATGAATATATATAACTTTAGAGAATAAATGTAGAGGGAAACAACACTGAGGTAAGCATGACCTTGAGGAATTATCCCTGTGCGTCTCAGCGCTGAATAAAAAGCATACCTACTTTACAACTTTAACGAGTTGTGGAGTCAATCCACATATCAGACATATTGACAGACTATAGTCCCGAGGAGAGTAAGAATTTATCAGATAAATACAAACAGAAATAAAGGAAGAAGCATGGACAGCGTATAGGAATCGGGAACAGGTAAAGAAAAAGCTGGGTCGTGCTATAGCCACGGCTACAGTGGCTGCTTTGGGAGAAGTGGAAACTGGTGGAGGGACTGATGTGAGGGAATGAGGCAGAGGTAGAGAAGGAATGTCAGGCAGTGGTGAAAGAGTGAATTCTTCTCCTATGAGACCAGATCAGTGTGCATACTGTAAGGAATCTGGATGTTGGAAGTGAGACTGCCCTAAAAGGAATACCTACAAGGTAGCCTCAGTGACTGAGTTAGAACTAGGCTGATGGGGACCTGGGGAATCTATCCTAGCAGATCCACTGGTTAAATTAAAGCTAGGGACTAAAGGAAATGAAGTGGAATTTTTAGTGGATACAGGAGCAAAATATTTGGTGTTGAGTGAGAGGGAAAAGAATTTGTTACAGTTGTGGGAGCTACTGGCCACCAAGGGGGGAAAAAAAACAAAGGGCATTCTTTCTGAAACCTTTAGAGTATAAATTGGGAAAACAAATAGGAATGCATAAATTTTTAGACGTGCCAAATTCTCAAAAAAAATCTTTATTAGGGTGAGAAGCAACATTTAAAGAAGGCAAAATGGAATTAAGAGTTAAAAATGATCAATTAAGTGCAGTTTTGAGTTTATCTTCAACAGAAAAGCAAACAGGAGGACCTCCCTGAAATAGAAGAAATCCTTAATCCAGGTATATCTGGGAGTATGTGCATCTGAAGTTCCAGGTAAGATGAAAAATTGCTTTGCCTGTTGAAGTAGAAATAAAAAGGGGGGCCTGCCCAATTAGAATAAAACAATATCCCTTAAAATTGGAGGATCAAAAGGAAATCAAATCATTGATAATTTTTCAAAATATAGATTATTAACTGAATGTGAATTGGAAGATAATACTCCTATCTTGCCAGGAAAGAAATCCAATGGAAAAAGTTACAAGATCTCAGAGCAATTAACAGAATTGTGGATGATATTCATCCAGTAGTATCCTTATATCCAGTAATCCATATACCTTATTGACTAAATTGAATAATAATCAGAACTGGTTTACCATTCTGGACTTAAAGGATGCATTTTTCTGTCTGCCCCTGGCCAAAGAAAATCAAAATTTATTGGCTTTCGAATGGGAAAACCCAGAAACAGGAAGGAGGACACAGGTCACTTGGACAATGTTACCTCAGGGATTTAAGAACAGTGTGACCTTTTCCGGAAATCAATTGGCAGGAGAACTGGAATCCTGGGAAGCACCCACCCAGACAGGCACTTTACTACAATATGTTGACAACCTGTTAATTGCTACTGAAACTGAGAAAGAATGTGTTCAATGGACTGTAGAATTGTTAAACTTCTAGGACTAAATGGATACTGGGTATCTAAATCGAAGGCTCAAATAATTCGAACTCGAGTATCTTATTTAGAATATGAAATAACAGGAGGACAACAGAATTTGGAGCAGCTCGGAAGGAAGCAATCTGTCAAACACCACGACCATCCACGGTTAAAGATCTCCAGACATTTTTGGGAATAACAGGGTGGTGTCGACTCTGGATCCATGATTATGGTGTTCTGGTAAGACCCCTATATGAGCTGCTAAAAGAAAATCCAACCATTTCTAAAAATGGACAGATCAAGCTGAAGAGGTGTTTAAAAGTTTAAAGACAGAACTCGGGAGAGCTCCAGCTCTTGGGCTCCTGGACTTGGACTATAGCTCTTTTGGCTATATTCCTATGAGAAACAGGGAATAGCTTTGGGGGTTTTGGCTCAAAATTTGGGACCTTATAAAAGAGCAGTGGCCTATTTCTCAAAACACAGTATCACAGTATCACAGTATGTTAGAGATTGGAAGGGACCTCGAAAGATCATCTAGTCCAATCCCCCTGCCGGAGCAGGAACACCTAGATAATGTTACACAGGAATGCGTCCAGGCGGGTTTTGAATGTCTCCAGGGAAGGAGACTCCACAACCTCCCTGGGCAGCCTGTTCCAGTGTTCCGTCACCCTCACTGAGAAGAAGTTTCTTCTCAAGTTTAAGTGGAACCTCTTGTGTTCCAGTTTGTACCCATTACCCCTTGTCCTATCATTGTTTGCCACTGAGTAGAGCCTGGCTCCGTCCTCGTGACACTCCCCCTTTATATATTTATAGACACTGATAAGGTCACCCCTCAGTCTCCTCTTCTCCAAACTATAGAGACCCAGCTCCCTCAGTCTTTCCTCATAAGGGAGATGCTCCACTCCCTTAATCATCTTAGTTGCCCTGCGCTGGACTCTCTCCAGCAGCTCCCTGTCCTTCTTGAACTGAGGGGCCCAGAACTGGACACAATACTCCAGATGCGGTCTCACCAGGGCAGAGTAGAGGGGAAGGAGGACCTCTCTCGACCTACTAACCACCCCCCTTCTAATACACCCCAGGATGCCATTGGCCTTCTTAGCCACAAGGGCACAGTGTTGGCTCATGGTCATCCTGTCGTCCACTAGGACCCCCAGGTCCCTCTCCCCTACACTGCTCTCTAACAGGTCATTCCCCAACCTATACTGGAACCTGGGGTTGTTCCTGCCCAGATGCAGGACTCTACACTTTCCCTTGTTATATTTCATCAAGTTACTCCCTGCCCAACTCTCCAGCCTATCCAGGTCTCGCTGGATGGCAGCACAGCCTTCTGGCGTGTCAGCCACTCCTCCCAGCTTAGTGTCATCAGCAAACTTGCTGATAGTACACTCAATTCCCTCATCTAAATCATTGATGAATATATTAAATAATACCGGTCCCAGTACTGACCCTTGAGGCACTCCACTAGTTACAGGCCTCCAACTAGACTCAGCCCCATAGACTACAACTCTCTGGCTTCTCTCCTTCAGCCAGTTCGCAGTCCACCTCACTACCTGATCATCCAGTCCACACTTCATTTTAGCCGTGAGGATGCTGTGGGAGACTGTGTCAAATGCTTTGCTGAAGTCAAGGTAGACCACATCCACCGCTCTGCCATCATCCATCCACCGTGTTATTTCCTCATAAAAGGCTAAGAGATTGGTCAAACATGATTTCCCCCTGGTGAAGCCATGTTGACTGCCCCTCATAACCTTCTTATCCTTGATATGCCTTAAGATGGTACCAAGGATAAGGTGTTCCATCACTTTCCCAGGGATGGAGGTGAGGCTGACCGGCCTATAGTTACCCGGGTCCTCCTTCTTGCCCTTTTTGAAGACTGGAGTGACATTTGCTTTCCTCCAGTCCTCAGGCACCTCTCCCGTTTCCCAAGACTTGGTAAAGATGATGGAGAGTGGTCTAGCAATGACTTCCGCCAGTTCCCTCAGCACCCACGGGTGCATCCCATCTGGACCCATGGATTTATGGATGTCCAGATTGCTCAACTGGTCTCTAACCCATTCCTCATCGACTAAGGCAAACCGCTCCGTCGACCTGACTTCATCTAAGGTCTCAGGGGTACAGGGCTCTTCAGGACTGCCCGCAGCAGAGTAGACAGAGACAAAGAAGGCATTCAGTAACTCTGCCATCTCTTTATCTTCTGTCACCAGGGCACCCATCCCGTTCATCAGTGGGCCTACATTGCCTCTGGTGTTAGTTTTGTCTGCCATGTATTTAAAAAAGCTCTTTTTGCTGTCCTTGACCCTTCTTGCCAGGTTTAATTCTAAGGATGCCTTAGTCCTCCTAGCTGCCTTCCTACATCCTCTAGCAGCAGCCTTATATTCCTCCCAAGTGGCCAGCCCCTCCTTCCATGACCTGTAAACTCTCCTCTTCCACTTGAGCATACCCAGCAATTCCCTATTTAGCCACGCAGGTCTCTTGGCCCTCTTCCTTGACTTCCTACGTGTCGGGATGCTCCGATCTTGAGCACGGAAAAAGTAGTCCTTGAATGTCAACCAACTATCTTGGGCCCCTTTACCTTCAAGCAGCCCTGCCCATGGGATTTCCCCTAGCAATTGCTTGAAAAGGCCAAAGTTTGCCCTGCTAAAGTCCAGGGTTGCAATTCTACTTGGTATTCTACTAGTCCTGCCACACAAGATCCTGAACTCCACCATCTCGTGGTCACTGCAACCAAGGCAGCCCTCAACCCTTACTGCTTCAACCAGATCCTCCTTGTTAGTGAGGATGAGATCCAGCAGCGCTCCTCTCCTGGTCGGCTCATCCACCATTTGCAGGAGGAAGCTATCATCCACACACTGGAGGAACCTCCTGGACTGCGGCTGGGTTGCCGAGTGGTCCTTCCAGCAAACATCAGGGAAGTTAAAATCCCCCACGACGACCACGGCCTGTGACTGTGAGGCCGCTCTCAGCTGCCTGTAGAAGGCCTCGTCAACTTCCTCACCCTGATCCGGTGGTCTGTAACAGACACCTACAACAGTATCCCCCCTGCCAGCCTGCCCCTTAATTCTCACCCACAGACTCTCAACTTGCTCATCATCTGTCCCTGGACAGAACTCGGTGCACTGTAGTTCCTCCCGCACATAAAGAGCAACCCCACCACCCCGCCTGGCTGGCCTGTCTTTCCTGAAAAGGACATAGCCTTCCATGACTATATTCCAGTCATGTGAGCTGTCCCACCACGTCTCTGTAATTGCCACCAGATCATAATCTCCTGACTTAACACAGGTTTCCAACTCCTCCTGCTTATTTCCCATGCTGCGCGCATTGGTGTACAGGCATTTCAGGGAGCGAGCTGAGCACACCGATTTCACCCTAGGATTGTAGGAGGCCTCCCAGTCTTCATTAATTCTGGAGCGCTGCCCCACTGGGGCAAGCCCAGCTACAACCCCATACCCCTTCGAATCTAGTTTAAAGCTCTCCAAATGAGCCCTGCTAATTCGTGCCCCAGCATCCTTTTCCCTCTGTGAGACAAACCTTTCTCACTTGTCATTGTCCAGACTGGTGCCCTATAAAACCAGCCGTTATCAAAGAATCCAAAGCCCTGCCTGTAGCACCAGTCTCGAAGCCAATTGTTCATGAACTGAATCTTCCCATTCCTTCCCACATCATCAGTGGAAGATGGAAGGAGTGAGGAGAAGATCACTTGAGCCCCAGACTCTTTCACCATCCGCCCCAAGGCCCTGTAGTCTTTCTTCATCCCCCTCAGATTGCGGGAAGCAGCTTCCTCCCCACCTGTCTGGAAGACCAGCAGCGGGTAATAGTCTGTCGGGTGCACCAGGTTGGGGAGCGCCCTGGTGATATCCCTGATCCGGGCTCCAGGCAGACTACACACTTCCCTATGATGAGGGTCAGCTCTGCATATCGGGCCCTCTGTTCCTCTCAGAAGGGAATCCCCTACTACAATGACCCTTCTTTCTTTCTTAACAGAGGCAGTCTTGAGGTGCAAAGTCGACTCCCTTTTCCTATGTGGCCTTGTGGGCTGGCCTTGCCCCACATCCTCACCTACCTCTCCTTCAAGATCCAGGGCCTCGAACCTATTATGGAGGGACACCTGGGGAAGCAGGGCAGGAAGGGGGGAGGGTTTCCCACGACGTCGACCCGGAACTCGCTTCCAACCCTCGTCGTCTTTTTGGTCCCCTACCTCTGCGCAACAGCTACAGGGCAGGGGCTGCCTCAGGCCATCCCCCTCTGTGTGAGAAGGCAGGGGGTCCTTCCCCTTTTGGGGGGTATCTCCCTGGAACCGTTTTGACTGGCCCGCCAGGGAGTTACTCCACCAGTCGATCTCCCTTTCACACTCCCTGATGGTCCTCAGTGTCTCAACCTCCTCCTTAAGTCTTGCCACCAGGCTAAGCAGATCTTCTACCTGCTCACACCTCACGCAGGTGGAATGCTGTCCTCCCTCCCCCGGCAGCAGCAGGCTCTGGCACTCCCTGCACCCAGAGCTGGATGAGCCCAGTTAAGTCTGGCCTGGATGCCTGAGAGCAGTGGCAGCAGTTATCTTAAACACAAGAGGCCTGAAAATTTACACTGGGACAAAAGATTACCGTGTTAGTGACACACACAGTATCAACTGTCCTAGAACAAAAAGGTACTCATTGGCTATCGTCATCGCGTTTCTTGAAATATCAGGCCATCCTGGTAGAACTGGATGATGTGGAAATTGTGGTCACTAATGTTATGAATCCAGCATCTTTCCTTCAGGAAGTTCTCACCGAAACATTGGTTCATGATTGCTTGGCCATTATAGAGACAGTATACTCGAGCCGACCAGACCTGAAGGAGGAACCTCTGGAGGGTGCAGATTCCTGGTTTACTGATGGCAGCAGCTTTGTTAACGACAGTAAACAACAAGCAGGATACATCATAACTACAACTTCAAAGGTAACAGAAGCTAAACTATTACCCTCTAACACCTCAGCACAAAACACAGAAATAATAGCTCTGACTAGAGCCTTGGAGCTGGCAAAGGACAAACGGATAAACATATTGACTGATTCCAAATATGCTTTTGGTGAAGTTCATGCACATGGAGCAATTTGGAAAGAACGAGGACTTTTAAATACCCAGGGAAGACAAATTAAACATGCAATGGAAATTCTACGATTGTTAGAAGCTGTACAATGACCTAATGAAGTGGCTATCATATGTTAGAAAGGACATCAAAAAGGTAACTCTGATCAAGAGATTAGAAATAATTTGGCTGATCGTGAGGCTAAATGGGCAGCAGAAACAGAAAGAGTTGAGGTGATGTCCTTAATTTCTGATGGTAAACAGGTAATTGAGCAAAATAAACCTAGGTACTCTAAAGAAGATATGAAACTAACTGAAGACTTAGAAGGACAGGAAAATGAAAAGGCCTGATGGGCGAGTAGTGATCCCCTATAATCAATTATGGAAGTTCATACAAGAAGAGCATAGCAAAATTCATTGTGGAAGTAATGCCTTGTATAAACATTTAAACAAACAGATCATAGGAAGAAATTTCTGTACCATAGTGCAATTAGTGACAAAACAATGTCAACTATGTCTGAAATATAATCTTAAGACTGAAAATAGAATCAGGTAGGGACAACTGGAAAAGGGAATGATCCAGGACAACAGTGGCAAACAGATTTTTCTGAATTACCTAGAAAAGGAGGTTATTGATACTTGGTGGTATTGACAGATACTTTTTCAGGGTGGCCAGAAGCATTCCCTTGCAGGGCAAAAGTGATTAATGTGCTATTAAATGAAATAATATCTCATTTTGGGAGTACCAGCAACTATTTCCTCTGACCACAGTACACATTTCAGTGCAAAATTACTACAAGAAATCAGCAAGAAATTGGAAATGGATTGGCAATTACATGCCCCATATGGGCCTCAGGCCAGTGGGTAAGTGGAAAAAATGAATCACTTAATTAAATAACAACTTGGAAGGATTTGTCAAGAGACTAAGTTATATTGGTATCAAGCATTACCATCTGCTTATTAAGAATCAGAACAAAACCTTGGTCAAAGGAAGGAATTAGCCCATTTGAGATTCTATATGGAAGTCCATACCAATCTCAGTTTAAAGGGGAGAGCCTTCAAGAACTAGGAGAAGGATACCTTCAACAGTTCTTAGTAGACTTAGGAAAACAGTTCGAAAAAATAAACAGCAAGAGTGTTAGGGACCAGGGCCAGAGGTTTAGATTACCCTATTCATCTTTTTAAGACAGGAAATTGGGTTTATATTAAGAACTTTACAGGTAATCCTCTTAAGGAGAAGCAGAATAGACCATATCAGGTGCTGTTGATCACCTTCACTGCAATCAAGATAAAAGAGCAACCTGCTTGGATACATTACTAAGAATTAAGAAGGAGCCAGAACCAGAAAAACACCAGAACTGAGAAAAAGTATGGCACATTGAGTGTTCAGGACCCACACATGAGACTACATCTATCATAATTTGGACTTGTATAATAATAGGTGTAGAAGCATGGAATCAAAATCTGTATCTGAGATTGATACAAAATGTTACCAGTGTCTTAAACAAGAGTGATTGTTAGATCTGTACTCAGCTACCTAAATCAGGAGAGAGACCGGGTATTCCTTTAATTGGCTTCCCCTTTAAGACAAACTGGAATAGATTGTGGCAAGATCCTGTTTATACCAACAAGAGCCATACAAATTTATAGGTTTTAAGGATTCAAGCCTTGAATATGTCAGAAGTTAAATGTGACCGCAAGGCAACATGTCAGTAGAAATTACCCATATTACAGCTGGGCAGTGCAACTTCATCTTTGAAAACCTTTAACTGGTTATTGGAATGTTCCTGAAGGAAAAGGGTGGTATTGGTTATGTGGAGAAAATGCCTAAAAGGCTTTGCCTCCTAACTGGAAAGGAACATGCACACTAGGAGTAGTGATTCCCGACTTTACAGTAATTGACATTCATCCCTCTGGAACCTGGCTTTGTAGTTTTAATAAATAAATCAAACGAGGATATAATCCCATAGCAGAGCAAAACACTGCTTTTTTTTTTGTTGTTGTTAGATAGATTATTCCATCTGTAGGTTTTAGTGAATTAGAGAAAGTGATTGTAAATAGCAGCAATTGAGGAAATGGGAAATTGAAATGCTTATGCTATTCTAGCATTACAAGAAGAAATAACCAGCCTGTCTGAAGTAGCACTCCAAAACCGAGTGGCATTAAGTACACTGTTAGCATCTCAAGGAGGAGTTTGTTCTGTAATCAATGAAAATATTTTGTAAGGTGACGCAGGATGACACCTCGTGGTGATTTGAGGAAATTTGGGAAAAATTAACATCATGGGTACCCAGTCTCTCCTGGTTGAGACAGTTATTTTTAACTGTATTAGTAATAATAGGAATGGGTTTGATTACAGGTATAATAGTCATGTGTTCCTTTTGGTGTTGCAAATAATCAGTAATGAACCAAGAGAACAGTTAAACATCAGATAGAAACTGGAGAATATTTTAGAAAAACTCTAGAACGGAATGATTTAAGAAACTTTTGCAAAAGAATTTGCAAAGGAATAGAAAAAAGGGGTATTGAAATAGAGAAATATAGGCTGAAATATAACCTATTATAAGTAAGTAAATTAGTTCTGCTTAGTGATCATCCTTGTATAAGACAAATGACCGTAGTTGACATAGTTCTGGGATGTTGTAACCTTGTAAGAAATTTATGGTAAGCAAAACAGAACATGTAGATAATCTGAAACTAGCAGATGTTCAGGATGAGTTGTATCTGAGTTAACTGATAAGTAGAAGGACATGGAGAAATCATTCAATTATGTAGTGGTGTTACTAAACTAATTAAGCTGGCATAAGCATTTATCTACTGTGCGTGCTTCAAAGGCTGCCAGGACAGAAGTTCAAGGAACAGCAAAGTGATGAAGACTGTTGGAAGAAGTAAACAACCCCAAAAGACTGCTACCACATTTTTGTGTGCATGAGGGAGAAACTTTCTAGAAGAACGATGTAATACATAAGTAACCTTATGAATATGCATGTCCATAACGAATACGTATGCTTAGTGACTATGTAAAGACAGATTGCTTATCACTTGCACAGAGACATGCTAGGAGGAGCAATTCCCCGTGTCTTCTGGTGCTGCAATAAAGAATACCTGCTTGTTAACTTAAACTTTGTTGGCAAGTTCCTGGAGATTTCTCCAAGTCAATATTTAACGGTATGTAGAGACTTATAGATGGACAGGGCCACGGGGTTCTCAGTATAAGGCACACATGCAACCAGAGGGCCAGAAGTCTTCTCTCAAATCAATACCAGCCTTCCTCCTCTTGATAAGGCCTGAAAACAGCACGAGCTGTAGTGAGCAATGGCGGCGTTTTCCTCCTCCCCAAAGCACTAATCTGTTCACAGATCAGGAGTGGCTGTAGTTATGGAGGAACAGCAAGTAACAGAAGGCATGCTCTAGCAGCACGCCTCCATATTGTCTCTTCTTCCTGTGAGGAAAATAGGCTGCCCAAGAAAGGTGGCCGGTCCTTGCACCCAGGTTCTGCAGGGAGTGGGGAGGCCGCCCTCAGCAGCACGTGAAGCACTATGTTGGGGTATAGCTTTGCATACTACCCAACCATGTAGAGCTCAAAAGAAGTGGGTCTTTCTCCAAGCCATGGGCTCTCTGTGTCTAGAGGGCCCTGAGCTTAACAGGTGGTGATGAGTAATACTGGGGTAGCACGTCCTCTTTTTTCCACCCCCTCCTCATAACCCTGTGCAGCAAGAGGTGAGACAGGGAGTGGATCACCACCAACCTCTCGTGTATTTCAGGTCTACTCTTCAAAACTGCTCTTAGATTTTCAGGACAATCCCCACCACGTATCATTAACTTCAAGCATCAGGGCAGTCAGACTAATTCAAAAAACATTTAAGCACCCATAAAAAAAAAACCTCCGTATTCTAGACAGCACAAAGAACTGTATTGAACAGTGTGCCCATTGTAGCTCTGCATTCTGAATGCAGATCTTCACAGAGACACCCATCAGAGACACATTTTCTGCTGTAATACTAAAAGGCTCTCTGCTCCTCTATGTATTTCCTAATAATACTGTTTATAGAATCATAGAATCGTTAGGGTTGGCAAGGACCTTAAGATCATCTAGTTCCAACCCCCCTGCCGTGGGCAGGGACACCTTACGCTAAATCGTATCACCCAAGGCCTCGTCCAACCTGGTCTTGAACACTGCCAGGGATGGAGCATTCACAACCTCCTCGGGCAACCCATTCCAGTGCCTCACCACCCTAACAGGAAAGAATTTCCTCCTTATATCCAACCTAAACTTCCCCTGTTTAAGTTTTAACCTGTTACCCCTTGTCCTGTCACTACAGTCCCTAATGAAGAGTCCCTATCCAGCATCCCTATAGCCCCCTTCAGATACTGGAAGGCTGCTATGAGGTCTCCACGCAGCCTTCTCTTCTCCAGGCTGAACAGCCCAAACTTCCTCAGCCTGTCTTCATACAGGAGGTGCTCCAGTCCCCTGATCATCCTCGTGGCCCTTCTCTGGACTTGTTCCAACAGTTCCATGTCCTTTTTATGTGGAGGACACCAGAACTGCACACAATACTCCAGGTGAGGTCTCACAAGAGCAGAATAGAGGGGCAGGATCACCTCCTTCGACCTGCTGGTCATGCTGCTTTTGATGCAGCCCAGGATACGGTTGGCTTTCTGGGCTGCAAGCGCACACTGCTGGCTCATGTTCATTTTCTCATCAACCAACACCCCCAAGTCCTTCTCTGCAGGGCTGCTTTGAATCTCTTCTTTGCCCAACCTGTAGCTGTGCCTGGGATTGCTCTGACCCAGGTGTAGGACCTTGCACTGGCATGGTTAAATCTCATCTCATAAGCTCAGTGCTTTGGGAAATCTGTATTACATGGACTGAAAACAGGCACTTGGGGACAAAAGTCTTACACAAAGGTATGTCTTTTTTTTTTTTTTTATTTTGGTAGGGTCAAGATATTTGACTAACTCCCCTTCACCAGGGACTTCATTCATGCCAGACAGAACCCCCAGAAACAAGCTGTGCAACTCCCAAACTCATGCTAGGTTTCAATTGTTTTAGTTCAGCTGTCAAAAGTGAATTCGTCTGCACACCAAAAGTGGCTTCAGGAAGTAATGGAGAAAAATGTCTTCTCTTTTGTCTTCACCAACCTTTCAGAATAAGGTTAACCTGTGAGTAGCCTCCATCCACTGCAAACCCAGAGCACCGAGACAGTCTCTGAAGAACAAACTTCTGATTCACCTTTGTCCCAGCATGGTCCAACTAAACAGACTGATTTTCTTTGTACAGAGCAGTTTTTTAGAACAGATCAGGTAATTTCTTTTACAGAATTTCAAACGTGAATACATTTAAACAGCTGGAATACCAAAGTAATTAAAAAAAAGCCTAACTACAGTCCTTTCAAACTTAACCAAAGGCATGTTTAGAGATAAAGAGCTGAATAGTTTCAGAAGTCCTGAGATATCAGAGCATTCAAGGGCACAGTTTGCCTGTTTAAAAAAAAAAGAAAAACACCCAACAAAAATAATTCTCTTCCTCATCACTCTACTTCTGTGTCTGCTTCTTAGAGTAGTTCTTTGCAAATTGCTTTCGTACTTCTTCCTGCCTCTTTCCAAGTTTAAGAGTGTTGATCAGGCTTAAGGTTTTTTTCAGTTCATGTACAGGCTTGTTTACAAAGCCGCAGTATTTCCTTTTTGGAACAAATTCAAGAGCCTTCTGCCAGTCTCCGGTGTCTTTCAAGGTTAATAAAATGTGCATCATTTGATCCAGTGTGAGATTTTTGGCACCAGTATTCCAGAGCAAGTACTTCTCTAACGGAAGGGCCGCAGTCTCCAGCCCCAGTCGCTTTGCTCGTGCTAAAGAGACCCCTGTTTTTATGTTCCTGTCAACCATTGACCCCACAATATAGATTTTATTGTGATCAAATGTTTTCATTACTTTGGGAGAATCAGCAGTCAGATAGATAAGCTTTTCCTTTGGAAAGACTTCTGTGTAGCACTGGTCTGTCACAGTGATAAGCAGTTTGCCCCACGCCTCCCTGTAATGCTTGATAAATTCCTTATGATAGAGGCTATTGTCTTTGAAGTTACAGAAGTGGATGTGGAACGGATCGATAGATCTTCGATTGGTACTTTCACTCAGTACTATCTGTCTCACTGTATTTGCCACTTCTCGGACAGACATATCTTTTTCAAAGGACATGTCAAATACTAGTGGCTGGCCAAAGACCATCGACTGTGCAGCCCTCCAATTGCATACTTTGTCCATACAGTTGGCCCACAAACATATGAATGAATTCTTTTTGGTCACACCAGTTTCTGAAGCTTGCTCTTGTGCTTCTAGCCTCCTTTCCCTTTTCTCTTCCATCTTTCTTTTGTCATTTTTCTTGTGAAGTTCTTTGAGATACAAATATTTTAAATATTTCTTTTGAGCTGACTTGGAAGTACATTCCATAAAGGTTTTCAGTTGTTCTTCGGTGATATTTTCTGGAACTGATTTGCCAGCTAGTCTCCACATCTCCAGCATCTCACGTGCAGCAGCCAAAGTGGCAGGCTCCTTATGCTCAGAGACCGTCTCATTGACTTCTTCTTGCAACCCAGATTTCATTACCTTCTTCCACGCATCTAAATCTAGTTTTTCTGAGGGACTGCATGAATTGTCCTGCTTCAGGAAAAGTGATAAACTCAGAGTTCTACTGAGTGGAAACAAATCCTTTTTCATCCCATGTTGTGCAGCAAATGGGAGGACAGAACTTCTTATGATTTTTTTCAGAAGCAAACTGGCAGACTGCATACTTAGACATGTGCTGTGTTCAAATGCTCATCTGCAAAACAGTAAGAGAGGAAAAATTTTGTCAGGAATCAGAAAAAGCACCACCACACACAGATCTTCATCCTTAGTAAGACTGACAGACAGCAACTTCTTGGGAAATACCAGAAATTCCTACTTCCACTATTACTTTTCTAATGTTTTCTACATAAAAACAGCGTCTGTGGCACTGCTGCAAATAGACAGTCAGCTCTGCTGCTTGTAACAGCAACACTTACTGCAATTCAAAATGTGGTCAACCAACCTTTAAGTATTGTCTGAAATCTATTTAAATTATCTGTATCATCTGACAACCCAATCAAACCCCCTCACAATCAAAATGCTTCATGGAGACCAAAAATATATTTATATAGCTCAGAGGCGTGGGCCTAATTTACCTAAACTATGAAAATGGACAAGGTGCTTCATTTTGTAACATTTTCTGGAACAATCCTGTCTCCCAGAAGATCACATTTTAGCTTCTACCATTGTATTTTGGAAAAGCTTTATTTGCAAACTTGCAAGGTTTTTCCTCTGCTTTGCTTTTCCACAGGGCAGGTCACTGAAACTACTAATGCTACTGACACCAAAGGCACTCGTACGTCCTGTGAGACCCTTGTTCGCGGCTCCCTCAGCAATGCCTGCATTCACACCGCACTATGAGCCAAATCAGACCTGATCTTAGGGACAGTTAACCAGGAGGTGGAGAATAAGCAACCGTAACAACCTGTAAAACAGCCCACAGCTGAACCAAACCGCGACAAGCTTGGCGACACCTCCAAGCACCGCGTACGCACCACAGCACTCCCCAGCGCGCCCCGCTCCCCATGCTGCGCCCGCAGGGGACAGCTGTGCTGGGTAGCACGGCACGACAGGTCAGGGAAGCGAAGGGGCGCTCCCATGATCACCCGCGGGGCGCACGACGGGGTACCTCAAGCACCCCAGGCCCCCGGGTCTCTCAGCCTTAGCCCTCGGTGGCGAGAAACACGTGGCGAGAGAGGCCTCCTCCAGCGGCTGCGCCCGCACCTGCCAGAGCTGCTGCCTCGCTCCAGCCGCCAGGCGTCCGTCTCGTCCCGCGTGGGAAGGGAGGGAGGGAAGGAAGGAAAGGAAGAGGCTATCGGACGCGGCTAACGGCGGCCTTACAGCAGCACCGACCACTCCGCCATGTTGTGTTCACCTCACGGGGAGCAGCCTACGCGTGCGCGGGGACGGCCCAGTCCTCCGTTCATTCTCTCTCGGCTGCGGAGCTGCGCTTATTGGCTGCCCCCGGCGTTCCGCTGCTGCACCTTAAGGTTCCGGCTCTCTCTCCTCTTTCCCATGGCGCGAGGCCCTGCGGAGTACGGTGATCCCGTGGGCAGGCCCGAGCTGGCGGGAAAGGACTCTACAGGGGCCCCGCGGGGAGCCTTCGGGCCCTGGTGCGGGGCGGGGTGTAGGGCAGGGGCCAGCCGCCATGCTGGGCTGGGACGTGAGGCGAACGCCTGAGCCCGAGGGGTTGTCAGTCCGATGTGGTGGTCAGGAATTTCTCTTTTTAAAATAGCATAGAAAGGTTTCACTTATTTTTGACGGGGTTTTTTGTTGTTTTGGGTTTGGATTTTTTTTTCCTTTCAGGTAGGGTTTTCGGTTGTAGCCGTGGCCTGGCAGGATGAGTTTTGTGCTGCCCAAATTGACCTGTAAGAGGGAAGTGGATCAGGCAATAAAAATCGTGGCTGAGAAGGTTTTGGTTCTCCGGTTTGGAAGAGATAATGATGCTGTCTGTCTGCAGCTCGATGATATTGTAAGAGTTTTTTTTTTTTTTTTTTTAACTCTACTAGTTCGTTAAAACTGTACTGTTGTGTACAAGTGACTGTGATATGTTACTTTTGGTTAATATGGTGTCTCATGAAAATTGTCATAACTAATATGAAATAATACTATATTCATAAAGCTATTTGAAAATTAAGAAAACATTGATGTTATTGTAGTGGATGTATAAAGTTCTTGAAGTAGGTAAGGCATGATACTCTAGCCCTGATTAAGCTGGTAAAACATAAGAGGAATGGGTTTTGTAAAGCTTGCCACCCTTTTCCTCTTGTGGTTTAGTCTATCTGTCATCGAATTTTCTCACTCTTTTCAGCTTGCAAAGACAGCTCACGACCTAAGTAAAATGGCAGTGATTTACCTGGTGGATGTGAACAAGGTTCCAGTGTACACCCAGTATTTTGACATCAGTTATATTCCATCTACTGTATTTTTCTTCAATGGACAACACATGAAGGTTGATTATGGGTATGTTATCCTGCCAGGCATTATCTATTATAACTTTCAGAATTCTTAGTCTTTCTCTATATTACCGTGTCAGGGGAAGGTAACGTTTGAAAACTGTAATGTTGTTATACTAGCATCTGCACTGAGAATTCCATAGGAAGCCAGAAAGATGTATTTTCAATTTCAAATGCTGGTGCATTAAGTAGATGCCAGCTGTGAAACATGCCTGAATGTAAAATATAGTATGATTAAAGTCTTGGGCATGACACTGCACCTTTTTGGACGTTAGTGGTGACAGTATACTCCTGATTTGGCTATGCCATTACCAGTGCTGTTCATTCTTTCAGAATGACCACGTCAGAGCCCCTGATACCACTGTACATCTTTTCTTGTTGTTAGGTGTTTTTGCTTTGAACACTTTAGCATTACAATTCTACCTTTATCTTATGCTTACATTTAGGTCTCCAGATCATACCAAATTTGTAGGAAGCTTCAAAACAAAGCAAGACTTTATAGATCTGATTGAAGTGATTTACCGTGGTGCAATGCGTGGAAAGCTCATTGTGAGAAGTCCTATTGATCCCAATAACATTCCTAAATATGACCTTCTCTACCAAGGAATTTAATGGGTTAACCTGAGATAAAGAATTCTGGAAATAGTGAATGTTCTAGAACCCATTTTTTCTTCAAGCCTGTTTAGCCACCTCTGGCACTGTGGGACAGTTTGAGTATTTACGTTGATGGATCATATTGATCTCGTTCTGAAAACAGACATTCTGTCACCTCATACTTCTCTTGTGAATAAAGCTACACATTCATGCTTAGAACTCACACAAGTGACTATTCTTTGAGTTGCATGCTGACTAGCACCTACAAAACAGGCAGATTGTATGCATCCTCGATTATGGCATCTGCAGTACAGCTTTAAGTGAACGAAGCCACCACATAGTCTATTAATTATCTAGTTAGTACATTTTCAATCAGATACGGTAACAGTAAACTTACCTTTATTAAAATCTATGCTTGCTCTCAAGAGCATTCAGCTGACTGCCTTTTCAATGGAATTTTACACTTTTACCCATTACTGGACAATGGGATAGAAGCTTTTTCAAACAGGATTAGAGGTGACTGAAATCTGAAATGGATATAAACACAAAAGAGAAGTTTACACACTCTTTTCTCTGATACCCAGTGTTAATGTTCAACATTTTGGTTTTTCTGTCTGAGAACTGAAGGTGTAGGACAAGGTTTTATCATCCATCAGAGTTCTTTTTTTCAGCTACTGAGTACTTTCAGTTCCCACAGGATTAAACTGGAAATTCAGAATAACCATTTTGTTTACATTCACTTTAAAGGTTATTTGACCTTCTGTTTATATAAATTGCAAACCTGGAGTATGGACACTTAAAAACTGTCTCTTATTTCCCACCTCTGTATAAAATTAAACAGCTGAGGGAAAACAGCAATGTCCTTTTGTATCAGCTTGGTAACAGCAGGTTGCTAGTGTTGTGTTCCTATAGCAGCTCATGCCCAGTAATTTCACTGGTTTAGTTGGATTTTTTTTTTTTTTTTTTTTTTTCAGTTGGTGGTAGTATGTAGTTCCCTGAAGTATTGTTCAATTTACCAGTAAATGTTTCAAGGAGGAAGGTGGATGTTCAGGCTCTTGAAAGATTTTAAACACTCTGGTATATAGTGAGAAGGAAATAGATCCTTTACATGCTTTTGGTATTCCAGATTTGTCCTTTTAATGAAAGCTGTGTACTTATGCAAGTGTTTTTCTGATAGTCTAGTCTGATTATGCAGATGTAACTGCAGAATGTTTATTTTTTTAAATGATAAAGATGAGAGTTGCTATACCTTAACATCTTTATTTTGCACAACTTAAATTTCACAGCTAACCGAAGGATTGTGGCTTACAGCTTACAACAATGAACTTATTTCCTGATAGTTAACTTGGATTTGTGTATTTCTCAAAAAAGAAACAAACTAGCTTCAAATTTCGAACTGTAAGTTGCTCCACAGTGAGCTGAGGGTCCTTAGATGACTGAAAGGTGCAGGGGCAGTTATGGAAGGAAGAGACTACTATCAAAACCAAATCAGTATACCTTTATTGCCTCACTTCTTACTTGTTCTGCTTCTAGTTGCAGTAGGTGATTGTCTAGAGGCTGTTGCAGTCTTGGCTTTCAGAGTGCTCTTCAGGTACTTGAAGATGGAATGTAAGCAGCAGGAGGGGGCTAAACAATACTTTTCTGTCCCAGCAAAGACAGTACGACAGTTCAGTTTCATGACAGAACCCATAGCTTTATCTAGAGGCTTACTGTTTGAAACCCATTCACGGCAGTGTTTCTGTATCCATTCTTGTAGTTGTGGATCACTTCTAGTCTGGTGCCACACGTTGTGCGTGAAGTCAATGAATGCCACAGAGTACACTTTATTCATCACCTCCCCTTTTCGCTGCACTAGCAAGTCAACAAACACCGAGCCACCATAGCCATGAGCAATGAAGGCCACATTCTTGACTGCACTCTTTGAAATGAAGTGATCCCATACATATATGGTATGCTCCTCAGGGTTGCAGCTGCCTCTCTTGAGGACCCACCAGGTAGACTCCATTGAAGTCAGTGCCTCTTGACTGGTAGACAGACTTAACCTTTCCTTTTCAGTCTTAAAATCAATGAAGTTGTCATTGGGATTCAGTACAGTGACCCCCCCCATGGCTTTCAAGGGCCATTTTGATGAATGGTGTTTATTATGTTCCATGCCCCAGGCCTTCACTGATAATTATCCTTTGCCCCCACTGTCCTGCACGGAACACTCCATGGTCTTGAAGAAGGACAGTTAGGCTAGAGTTACTTGTTAGTGCATTCTCACTCATGAAAAAGAAACTTCTTGCTTCATCCTCTGTAGCATCAGTAGGAATATGAACTTTCTGCAGCATGCAGACTCTTTCCAGGAGCTCATAAACATATTGGGTAATCAAGTGTCCCAAAACTTGATAGCGTTTATGATTCTGCTCATGTGCATTCTTGTAATAATTGAAAACAAAGAACTCATTTGTATCCAGATGCCTCAGTTCCCCTTTTATGTTGAAGTTGTACTTCAGTTCCTCTTGGTACTCTGAACCCTCTATTAGGTTCCTCAAGCTTAGTTCATGCTTTGTTTGTAACCACTACAGATTAAGAAGACTATGTTACTGTAGTGATAGACCTCCATATGACACCTACATAAAAAAAACCCTATTGTATAAGAATACAGATTTAAAAGTGGTTACAAACAAAATACTTACTGATACTGGCTATTTCTTGGTAGGCTGTGGTAAACCAGCTGCTTGTAAAGACTCTCACAGATTTCAGTTACTAAACTCCAATAGCAGTACATTAGTAATGATCTCTTCAGTTACTTGTTCATCTTTGCAAGCACTTGCCACATGGAAATTGTACAATGGATGACAGAATAAGCTAGCCATGGTGATCCAGGAACAGGAGAAAATAATGTCCGTGCAGCAAACTTCCATGAGATTAGACTGAGATCTCTAGTTCAAGCTAAGATAGTTTTTCAGCATACAAGACTGATGAACTGATAAGAATTATACGCAGAAGTGGTTTCCGTGCAACTCAAAAATTAAGCATATAACCTCCTATTTTCTGTATAACCCTTCATCATACTACTGACTGTCACTGGCTGTAGAATGGTAAACATGGGGTAAACTTTGATGTGGTTAGAATCCCTGTTCTGTAGGACTTTTTCCTAACAGCAGATATTTGCAAGAATCAAATTCCTATAATTATAACAATTTTAAAAATTAATTTATCATCTTAGCACAGGTTTGGGTGTTTTTTGTGTTTTGTTTTTTTTTTTTGCAAATGGTTTATATAAAGTTATATTTGGCAAAGACATTGGTACAAGCTGCTATATACCTTTTAATTTTTCTTACTGAAATAACAAGAGGTTTTTAGAACACAGTAAACAACAGTAAACTCACTATTGCAGTAAAGCTGTGTAAAGTAAGTGATCTGAATATTTTCATGTAAGCAACTTGAGTTGGAAACTAACTCCTGCATGGGATTCAGGTTTTCTTTTGAGCAATCTCCATTGGGGCAGAGATATTGTCATCTCTCCAAGGTCATTCCTGTCTTCTGATTAATAGGGAGTAGGCTAGAAAATAGTACCTTCTCCTTTTTTATCTCATAAAATAAGTACATATAGAAAAGGGAAAAAAAAATCAGATTCTGTGGTAGTTAAACCATTTACTGTCTTGCCAGTTTCTTGGAATGGAAACAGCACAAGGAAGTTACAAGTGCATGTGTTCATCTGTGATTTTTCCTTCTGTGGGAAGGCATGAAAGACACGAAGGAGATGGGAGAGACAGAGTCTGTTTGCTATACCACTGAAATAGGCAGTTCACACAAAAGAGATCATATTCAGTAGAGAGGAAGCTACCCGTATTCATGTTGTTTTCCCTATGCAATAAAGTAGGAGAAAAGTGGACGCAATTTAACAAAAGATGTCTGTGGATAAAGCTGAAGCACAGAGGAAGCATTCCATAACAAGTAGGAAGAGATAAATGCAGTTTCCCCATGGAATGGTATGCTGTCGAGCACTTCTCAGGGCCGTTTTCTCACCCCCAAAAGGTTGGAAACTGTAGTTTCCAGGAAGTTACTATGCTCTTATTTCAACAACATTGCTTTCTCAGTTCCAAACCAAAACAAGGATACATGATTACAAATTAAATTCTGTGTATGTAATATTGAACATCTATGTATGTAATATTGAACATCTACTTGAAGAAATAATTTACACAGCATTGTGAAAGTTTTCTGAGGATTTCAGGAGGCGGGAACAAGCAACAGTGTTACATCAGGCGTAGGTATGACTTCCCTTCCTAAAATTGCCTTCGGGGTGTGAACTTAAAAGTTTTGAAGTAATTTACAGTAGTTTATCAATAAAGAATTCACTTGAATAGCACCTTAGACTCATACTTTTTAGTCTGGAGGACTGATTTTGTTGAAATAATACCATTTACAGAACTGAAAAGCAGCAGTTACAGATTGCTCTAGATGCTGCATAATGAATTTATCTTTTGGGTTTTTTTTTTTTATAAATCTGCATTCTAAGTCAGTGTTGACTGCTGCTTGTCCTTCACTGTCTACACATAAATGCAATATTCAAGGGTGTTTATTCTGGCAGTCTTTACAATTGCTATTTTGATTTTTTAAAAATTACTGGGTGTGGAGTAAAAACCCCTCCTACTTTTCTGGTTGGAGTGTAAAATGCTTCCGCTGTAAATTCAGCTAGTGTTTGTTACAGCAATTGGCATATTCCAAACACTACTGCAGTACAAGTAATATTCTTCATAAGATTTTAAATTCAAAACCACTTTATTCTAGTGAAGCCTAAAATTACTGTATGCTCTCCTGTAAAATCCGTCATCATCATAGATGGAAATCTTTTTCACCCTGGGGTTCTAGACAGTTCTGTGTGAAAGAAAATAAACCATTTTAGTTCAGGTTTTGTTACTTTATGTACTTTATTATGGGCATATTTATAAAATGTATCAGTTGCTGATAGTTAAGGTCATCGTAAAGCCTTTCAGACAGTTACAAGGTAACATCTCATACTTTACACCTGATCATAAGTTACAACTAAACTTCGACTGTGAAACTGAAAAGTTGTCGAAACCCGTCAGGGACAGCCTCCCATTACATAATAATAAAGGCAAAACAAAAGGAAAACTCAAAGTTACAAGTAAAAATTACGATTCTGAAGGTGCCCTGAAAACAGACAAACAAACCCAAAACCACCAACCAAAACCCAACAGATGGGTCTTGGTCTCCACTTGGCTGCGGGAAGACTCCCATAGTGTAACACTATCATTTACTCCACGTGGATTACGTTTTTCTCCCTCAGAGGCTTTATACCGAACTAAACTCAAAAGCCGTTAAAAACCGGAGGGGGTGCGGGGAAGCGAGGGGAACCTTCTCGTGAGGGGAAGAAGGGTGGGAGGGGTCGGGGAGCGAGAGCTCGCGGGATACGGCTGAGGGACGGAGCTCATGAGGGGAGCGCGGGCATCGCCTCAGGGCGGATCCGGGTGAGGGGGGACGGTTATCGCCGTTATTGGGCGGAGCAGCGGGCGGGCGGCTCTATCGAGCCGGGCGGAGGTGGTGCCCAGCCCGGAAGTACCCGGGGAAGCTGCGCAGGCGGTGACGGCGGTGGGGCCTGCATAAATAAGACTGGCGGTGGCGCAGCTGCGCTGGTGAGTGGTATGGGTGTTTGTTCTCTAGGGCTGAGATGGGGATAAAGCAGAACTAAAGCTGGCTGGCAGTGTCCGTGCTGCCTGGCTGGGCTGGGCCGTCTTTGTTGGACAGGGGTTTTTATCGCGGACTAGGAAAGCCGGCAGGCGGGGGAGGGTGAGCTGCGATATACCGGAGAGGGAAGGTGGAGTGGCGCAATTGCTGCTTCTTTGTGAGAAGGCTGGGGAGGCAGTGGAGTTGCTGACCCTCAGCACTTGGCCTCTTGTTAGTGAACAGCCTGTTCCCTACCTAGCAGGAAAAGCCGACGCCTGGGAGGAAGCTGGGGAAGTGGTGGGGAAGCTGAGGAAGCTGGGGTGTCGGGCAGACCCCTTCTGCCCCGCTGCTCGGCTCGGCGGCAGCTACAGGCGCAGCGGCGCGGTCTCCTGCGTTGACAGCCCGGGTGGTGCCACCCTTGGATGCGGCCTCTGCTGCCCCCCAGGGCTGTCAGAGGGCCGTCGCTTGTCAGTTTCTTCACTTTGCAGGTGTCCAAATAGGCAGTACTTTGGCTTTCCTTTAACAGGCTGTAGATGTTGCTGTTCCCCACACCAGGGGGGTGAGGCTGAAAGCTGAAAAACCGCTGAGCTGAATAAAAAAGTATAAATAAAAGTATATGAACTTCCTAGTCGCATGTTTCTCTTGTATTGTGGCTGACTTTTTTCCAAGGCTTGTAGTGGCAGAGCAAGGGACAGTGGTTTTAAACTGAGAGAACATAGATTTATGTTTGATATAAGGAAGAAATTTTTTATGATGAGGGTGAAAAGGTACTGGCACAAATAGCCCAGAGAAGCTGTGGCTGCCCCATCCCTGGTAGTGTTCAAGGCTAGGCTGAATGGGCCTTTGAGCATCCTGGTCTAGTGGAAAGTGTCTCTACCAGTGGCAGGGGGTCAGACTAGATGACTTTTAAGGTCCCTTCCAACACAAGCTATTCTACAAATGAATTTCTTTGTACTGGCTTGCTCAAAAATTAATTTCATGTTCTTGCTTAGTATTGCTACTGTGTTCCTGCTTCCCTCTGAATAAATAAACAGAAAGTTGCTAAGCTTATATTATTTATATTTTTTTCTTTTTCAGTAGAGAAAATTATGGAAGGAAAAACAGCATCCTCAAGCAATGTCAGTGTAAGTGTCCTACAATTTGCAGCAATGTACTTTGGGGCTGTTGGTGTCTTAGGATGTTTTGATGTATTTGCACAACCAAATTTATTCTCCAGTGGTCCAGCTTTTGCTTTGTTGGAGCACTCTTTCAAGAGAAATGCTTTATGCTGGTAGCAGTCAGTAGTAATGTCTACTGTTGAATGTGTGGTTTTGAGAACATTTTAAGGCCTAAACTAACATCTAAAGAATTCAAAGTAGAAGAGCTGCATAACATTGTTATCTGCAGAGATGTATTCAGGCTTCTTATGCTAGTGTTTAGTTTTTGTTTTTTTTTTTTGTTTTTTTTTTTGTTTTTAATTTTTCTAAAATATCCCTGTTAGTAGTGGTTTCTAGCAGTGAAAGCTTGTTGGAAACAAACTGTAGGCACAGCAACTGGTTAGATCAGGTAAGGTTTGGACTGTCTAGTGTTCTAGAAATCAGCTGTTTCCAGCACCTTGTTTATGTGTGTTCTCTGACCTTTGTTCCTACAGGTGGGAACTTTCAGAAAAGTACTACTGGTTTAGATGAGGAGTCTAAGTGCGTATGCACATGTATGTGTTGGAGTGGTCCCTTTCTATAAGGGGAAAGCTGAGGCAACTGTGTAAATTGCACTTACAATACATACAAACCTTTGTTGGTTACCTCTTGACTTTGTGTTTGTTCCATAAATTAATTGCAGGCACTGCAAGCCAACATCTTCTTAATGACTGCAAGCACTAGGAAGATACTGTACAGTGGGAATTTTGCTGATGAATGTATCTTGTGCTTTTTATCCCTATTTGTTCATCTGTATATCTCTTTTGTGTGTCTGACCTTACCTTTCTCAATGTTATCTGTTCTCAGTGTTATCTGTTATGATAGAGGTCATTTGAACCTCTGTAACTTTAAACACATGTTAAAATTTTGGATAAATGTATTCTGAGAAACTTCACAGTGGAAGCCTCTACTTGAGCAGCAGGTGGAGTTCTGAAATAAGAAATTTGTTCCTGGCCATTAAGGTGCAGATCAGAGTAATGCATTCTGACTGATAAAACCTGTTTATAGGCCACTTGTCAAAACAAAATGACAATCAAACGATCTAATGGTAGATGTTCTTGAAAAGAAAATGTCTACTTTAATCTTTAAATGTCAATTGAAAGGGAAGGGAGGTACTCCTATTAGAATTGTTGCCTGTGCATAGCGCTTGCATCCTCTATAGATTGAGGAATCTGTTATTAGGCGTATTCATTATTACAGCATTTGATGAGCAAAAGCAGTTTGAGGTACTATATAGAAAATTCAGGTCTAATTACTAAAACATTACATCTTTGTTTCAAAGAAGTGTAGAGGAGGATTAAGAGCACTCGCAATTCAAACTGAAGAATTGAAGGATTATCTCATGGTACAGTATGCTTCAGTTGTGGTCTGTCCGAAGGACTCCCTGTTGAGATAATGAACACAGTTTCTGTGTTCATGTCACTGTTTGAGTCTTTGCTTGTAATTTCATGTTACAAGCAGGGCATTTAGTAGCTTGCAAAGTCAGTTCATAGTACACTTGACAATGGCCATCACATGGAGTAGCTTCAGCTTTTTCCTGGCCGAGATAGACAGTTATCTGAAAGATATAAATGTTGTGATACATTCTAATCTGGTTGTATTTGCAGGTAAGGTTTTGTTTCCCAGGACTCCTGGAGAAATGGCAATACCTGCACTTTCATTCTTTCAGTTGATACTATTTGAACTGGCTTAATTAACTGATAGGAAATTTTAATCTCTCTCCTTGTCTTTACGAACTGGTAGAAATTTAGTTTGACCACTTTTGGTTTGAATTTCAGTAGATGAACTTTCTACCCTATCCATTTCCTCTGAATTGGCAATTTTCTGCAAAATACTAACTGCTTTATCTGTCAGTAATTACTTTTGAAATGCTGGTTCCATTTTTGCAAAGGTTGGCAATGACAGTAGATGATACCATTGCTGATACAATTTTGAGAACATAGTGTATTTATGATAAATTATAATATCAAAATACTTGTAGTCTTACAAGATATATTTGCTCTTCATCCTGATTTCTCCCTTTTTTTTTTTTTTTTTTTTTGAGAACTTGCCTGGTGTGACATTTAGCATGACATTCAGTTACTTTGTTTTCTCTTTACGATTTTTTAAGATGAGATGATTAAACTAGAGTGAAAACAAATCAGAGGGAACTAAGAAATTGTCAGTGCCAGTAGATTGGTTGTCACCTTTAGGGCACTCATTTGAAGTTGTTGTAAAGTTACTGAAATAAGAACTTATTTAGACAGTTCATGTGTTAAAGCTAGCTCCTCATGTTGTACAGCACATAATTTAGGGATAAAGCATCGATGAGCCATGCGTTTAAATTAAAGTTAGAGGTCAGTGCTTCCCTTGCAACTTGGTCAATTTGCCTGACAGTTAAGAAAACTTTGTACATGGCACTATGTCAGCTCACAATAGCAGTGGATAATTTAGTTTCGTCTTGTGTGCAACATCATCTGTTTTCAGTTTCATACACCAACGAAGAAAACAAAAACCAAATCAGAGGATGCCCAAGTTCAGTCCCCTTTGGCAAGGTTCACAGACTCCCACCATTGGGACTACCCTTTAAAAGAGGTAAAGAGAAGTTCTTTGAAGTATGATGTACATAGGAGAATGTTGTATGGGGTTTTGGTTCTGTTTTGCAGGATGGATTTTTTTCAATACTGAATGCTCCCTTGTGATCAATATCTGACCCAGACTGTCTTGGAAAGAGACAAGTGTGTAGATCTGAAGTCTACCTGCAAACATACAGTTACAGGACTAGGAGTCTTAGTGTTGTATTGCAGAATAAATAATTAAAAAGCAGAGTAGGTCTTCAGCTGACCCAAAATTATCTTGAAAATCACAAATTTAAAAGCAAATATATATAAATATATACATATATATATATATCTAAAGTTAGTTAGATGTCTTCTGATTACTGAACTTTTAGGTTATATTTAGCTCACTTATCAAACTTCCTGTTATGATATGGAAATATGTTTTACATTGAGTTTTTAATTAATCATTATTTTTATCTAAGAGCTTAAACATTAAGAGAAAATAGGAAGTATGACATTTGACAGAATTTTAGGTGACAGAAATAGCTGATTTCAGTATTAAGGCCAAAAGACTGTAGAAGTACTTATATGGTGTTTATCATTTCTTTATCATGCGTGTCTTTATCATCTCAGTTGCTTATGGAAACAAATATTTGATTCTATAAATCTGTTCCAGATACAGTAAACATTTTTAAAATGCTAAGTTTTGGAAACCTATTTTGCTACTCTTGACTCCTTCAGCTCAGCACTGAGAGTTGCTGGTTGTTGTTGGTTTTAGTGATTTCAGAATCATGGAATAGACGAACAGGCTCCCCTACAGAGGAGTATCAAAAACCTAGTGAGGGAAGTTAGGAATTCTTTTGATTTACGATAGTGGTGATAATGTCACCCAGCTCAATTCTTTGAGCATGTTGCAATACAAACTGATTGTGTGGTTCTGTACTTTTAATACTTTAAGTGAGCAGAGCATCCGATTGCAGTCAGGTTTTAAAGCTGGAAATAAGGTCTTCTGTGGTTGCAAGGAACAGCCTTTTAGGTGGAGCCAGGCAGCACTTGCACGGAATTCCTCCTGTCTTACTCTCTGCTTGTATAAAAACAGTGATTAGACCTGGTGAACTGGGAAAAAAAAAAAAGTAATCTTTTTCCTTGTTTTGTGTCTACTGGCTGATTTTTCCATTTCTCATTTTTCCTATCTCTGTCTATATGTTTCAGATTTTCCCACATAATAGGGGGCTGACTAGTCTTAAAAAAAAAAAAATTGCTCATGAAGTATCATAATTAAAATAAATATTGCTGGTTTAGCCATAAAGCCTGTTCTAGTTGTATTTAATGTTGCTGGAGTTTGCTCCATGTTGTCGTAGAGATTTTGTGCAGCTTTTAATGATTTTTGGCGTATAGGTCTCTAACATGTTCAAAGACTAAGTGCTATGAGGTGTACTAGATAATGTTTGAAGGTGGGAGGAGGTGAGAGCACCTTCAAAGAATTTCTTGCTCCTAGCTGTTGTAGTAATGAGGGTATTTTCCATTAGAGTCAGTCCCTATATGACAGGGAAAAGACTGACTTGAGATGCACCTTTCAGTCCTCACTGTAAATTATGCATGGGCATAAATTTTTCTAGTGCTTTTTCACCCCATGCTTTAACAGAAATGAAAATGAGTTTGCTTTCAGCCTGACTGGCATAATTTTCAAACATCTGTTTGGTTTATTATCTTTTATGTAAAAAAAAAAAAGTGAGGAATGATTAGGAGGTAATGGTTGAGGGAGATAAGTTTCTGGAATTGCAGAAATAACTATATGGCTTAGTGGGGCTTCACTTAATTTGAAAAATGTAAATACGTTCTGATAAGGTAAGAGGATTTGGAAAAAAAAACAAAGTCTTGCTGTTGTGTTTTTTGCCACTGAAGTACCAAATATTCAAATTGCTTTTCCTTATCTGAATTTTTTATCTCTGAGTGGAATGTAACTATCTCTGAGTGGTTAACCTCTGCTTTGTTTAATTCCATGCATTTATCTTGCATATTTGTGATTATGTAAAACAGGCCTAATACTTAAGTCCCTGTTTAGGATAGTTCTTGTTTAAATAGGGATATAATTGAATTGTTCTGTATTGTCAATTTTCTTTAGGATAAGAAGGTTCCATTCAAGGTCAGGTGGTATGTGGGTGCTTTAAATCAAGCAAACTAATTATTCCCGAAATTGTTGTATATACTCTTTGTGGCTCTGCTTATTTGCATCAGTTGCATTGTTTCAATGTCTGGCATTGTTCCCTCTTTCTAGTGTAACACCTATTATGACATATTGGAACCTGGCAGTTTTATTTGTTTTATTTCAGTGCACATTAAGTGCCAGCAACAGAAAGTATTACATAAAAGGAAAAAAGCAAAAGGACTGCAACAGACACAGCTCTAATGATGAAGAATTTATTGGGTAAGAAGTCATCTTAAAATTGGTTCTATGTATATTAAGAGTTTCATAATCTTTCTTGAGGATGGGTATCTGCTCTCTAGTTAATTGTCACACAGGGTTTTCTCAACCTTTGGAGAATCATGTTTCAGTGATTTAATGGCAACTGTAACTTTTTCTTTGTTTTAACATAACACAAGACTGCTACATCGGAATGTTAGTGCAACACTTACTAGAGGAATTACTGCTTCTTGACCTGATTGGAATACTGAAAGGTGTTTGTTACTGTTTAAGTGTAAATTATCATTCCAGCCCTAGGTATTTAGGATATTTAAGAAGTTTGCCAGATTATCTTTTGCTTGTCACTTTTTGCTCTGTAGTTCACAGATGTTAACCTGGTTTTGTCATCTCTTAAAATCAAATAAACAACAACCAGAGCAATATGATGATTGTTAGGGGAAGGCCATAAAAAGCTAGAGGTCTTTCACCTTGTTACAGTGAAGACACCTAAGGGAGTAAATAAGACTGCTGATATGCCACTTCTTTATACTTTGTTGCAAAGAGCAGGTTTCTTTGAGAGGATGACAAATTAGTCAAAATCATCTTCTATGAAGCTGTCAACTAAGTAATTGTTTATCTGAGGAAATTTTGAAGCCAAGTGTCAACTACATTGATAAATGGAAATGAACTAGATTCATTAACAGCTACAATATATAATGACTTTGTGAATAAAAGAATTATCTTAACGAAGCAATCTTTATTCCACAAATCAACTCTAAACAAAGAAGAGTATGCATTCTCTGCCCCATTTTCTGACTGGAAGATTACTTGTTCATAAGTGATTTCTTATTAAGAGGCTGTTGAAAACAAAGTGCACACAGGTAATGAAAATACTTAATGACAGTAAATGATTTTGACACTGAATTTGGTGTTTTGCAACCTAAGAATAGTCATTGTTTACCCTGATGTTTATATTCTGAATGCTTCCAGCTGTTGCAGGGAAGAGTTGAAGTTATAAAAGATTCAGAATTTATTTTTCGTACCTCCTTAGAGGCATAGCTATTAGTTAACATGTAGTTACTTCAAAATGCTTCTCTCAGTAATTTTGATTGAGGGAGTGGCTTAACCTAGCCAAGTATAAAAGTTATGTTAATTGCAGCTTCCTGAGTTTTAATTATGCTGTGAAATGGTTGATACCTGATGTGAATCTCTAAAGGCCTTTCAGTAAGCTTTGAACTGACCTTTCAACTTTGAGTTACTTTTGGATCTGTTACGTATGTTAAGAGATGAGAGAATTTCAATTAGCATTTGTAGATGTTCCATCATTTTAACCAAAATTCTTACTAGCACATTAGCGAGAGATAATTTAGACTGTAAAAAGACAGTTAACATTCAGATATCAAACCTGTGCATTTTTCACTTCCTCAGAAAGAGATGTGTGCTTAGAGACTAGCTGAAGGTACGTTGTAAAATGAACTTAATTTACCATATGCAAAAAACCCTTGTTTTAAGTTTTCCACAAGAGTACCCAGTGTTTCTCATTAAGTCAAAATCAACACTGACCTTGTTGCCTAATAAGTAGAAAGAGCACACAGGTTCTGAAGAAGTGGTATTTGTTGAGCAAAAGTCAGAACTGGTAACACTCCTCAGAAGAGGAAAGGTGAAGTAGCATGCTGAGAATATTTCTAATGCAAAAGTTTCTCTGTTCCTTTTTTCGTTTGCAATGAAAAGCAGTAAATAAATCTTAATGACTTACTTACTAGTTGCTATTGGCTTCTGTTGTTTTAAAAACAGTATTCTTTATTGATAGGAGCTAATTTCAAATGTTTAGGGAAGCATGTTTCATCTGAAATAGAGGTCAAACATTTTCCCCAAAGGGGTGCAAACAATTAATAGCTTTTGGTCCCTTGCTTTGGAAGGTAGGACAATACTTGTTTTTTTTTTTCTGTGATAGAATTGGCAGGAGCAGCTAATAGCATTTTTCAGAATTTTTTTTTTTTCAGCTGTTCCATTCTTGCATATATGTTTTCATTACCTTTGCTTAGGTATTTTTTTCAGTTTTGTGGAGGTAGATAAGAAGTGATATGATAGGTGCTTGCTTTAGGAACCTTTGTTTTTTCTTTACCAAGATGCCTCCAGTCTTAATCTGGTGCAGTTTACTTGCTGGGTCTGCGAGTGGGACTTGCTTTTAATGTATACTTGCCTTTTTTTCTTCTTGGCACTAATTTGTGTCTTTTGCATTACTTGCTCACTTTATTCAGTGGACAATTTAACAGGTAATTCAGGGATCTCTGTCTCTGCCATTGTTTACATATGTACAGGTTGGTTCAAGTGTAGATATTTTCCCTGAATCTATTTTATGCTCAGTCTTAATGACAGAATTTTTCAAGAAGTGCTGCCAGATGCCATTCCCCCTTTAGAAAGGGAAACCGTTGAAAGGTCTGATGCCACTGTAAAGCTCTGAAGATCAGGTCATAACCAGTTGTCCTGTCAAGGTCTTCAGTCAAAAACTGATGCCACATAAGAAGTGATGCCTTAGCCTGGCAGTGACATCTTTAAGAATATCCAGTTGTACATGGTTTTCTTTCTTGTTTGTTAAAAGTTTCTCTCCTTGCACAGATTTACAGTGCAAAGCTAGTTGCACGTGTGGTTTTGGTTTGGTTTCTTTTTTGGTTGGTTTTTTGGTGTTTTTTTTTGTGTTTGTTTGTTTTTTTTTTTTAATTCTAAGATCATTTTTACAAAGATACTTGCTTAAAATGTATAGATCCATTTAAATCAAGAGACTGGGAAACATTACAAATTCTGTACCTAATAACAATCAAATAAACCAAATTACGTTCAGCCCTGGAGCTTGCCAAGGTCTGTGCTGATGTGAATGTGGGCAAAGAATGTCAGGTCTGAGTTTCCAAGGTGGCCAACAAACTATATGTAATGAAATCCAGTTTCACTGGAAATTTTGTTTCTGACTCCTTTACCTCGTGCTTTGGGCTTTCTCTGTCATAATGGTGTTGCTTAAGTCCCTACAGTTTGGAATCTTTTTTTATGTTATCTTTACAAGTCCCGATCATGCAATTAAAATAAAGATTCTGTAACCATGTATGTTCCCACTGGACTAATTACCTTCCAGGTTCACTCTAAATTTAGTAAAATTTCATTATGATACCTTGTGTTTGACAAATAGAAAAAACATACCTGGCATTTCTGTGAGGTGGAACAAGGAAAACAGAAACGATTTAGTTTATTTGGAAAATAAACTATTAGGCTCGGCATGATCCTAGGTAGGAGAACGGAAGTATTCCGTAGAGAATAACACATTTTTGTTGTCTCTTAGTGCTCTAAAGGAATAATTTTAAAATGTTTCTGGTTTTGTTTGGTTTCTTTTAAAGGAGAAACTTTGATTCACATCTTTGTATTAGTATGGCCCACTTCTGCAACCATTTTGTATTTGGAGGAAAACTGGAAAAATGCTATTTAAATACTTCAAAGTTTGATCTGTAATTTTGAGTCCTTCTTGAGGAAGAGGAGAAATACGTGGATTAGTTTTTCATTGCTTCATCTTTTCTGGTACCCCAAAAGATGAAATGTCTTTCCACTATAGCTCTTTAGAAACTGGACCTCTGAAGTAGTTTGGGCTTTATCTTTAAGGAGGAAATTAAAGCAGAAGTGTAAATGTCTAGTGTCCTAAGATGAATTTGCATGATTTGATGACTTTCACCTTGTAATAGCCTTTAACTGTTTTACTAGTTGCAAATTTTCTTAATGGTCTAATAGGTTCTTACGTAGCTGAATTTTGGATTTAGTAGCTACAGAGTAACAGGTATAGGTAAAAGAACAAATGTATACCTGCCTTTTCCTGACTCTGCCTAAAACATTCTGAAGCAATTCTGTAGTTTAGATCAGTCATCTAATGAGACTGTCCTTGTACATGTGTCTTCTCATTGCCTTCATAGATTCAGTTCAGAAACCCTGGATTACTTTTTTTTTTCCCAAGAGCTAATTAGGGCCAATCTGTTATATAACGCTTTCACCTCTGTCCAGATTCTTGGCATCAGGTTGTCTTTATTCAGGTTGGGGTATTTTGTGTGGGTGTTTTGGTTTGTTTTTGTGGGTTTTTTTGTTTTGTTTTTGTTTTGGTTTGGTTTCTTTTACTTCTAAAAGAAGTCAAAGAGATTAGAGGAAACTGCCTTCACTTAAACTCAAGTTACCTAGCTTTGAATGGGAACCATTTAGGTTATTGTCCTTTGTCTAGGCAGAGGTCTCTAAGGTGTGGTGTGAGCAAGACAATCCATTAGGATGCAGGAAGGAAATATATTTTGCACAATTAATGAATAGTTTACTTTATTGCATCCTTTTAAAAATTTCTGTTTATTTCCTAATGTATATTATTAGTACATATGTATAAAAATTAAACATACTGAAGATACATGCTCAAAATATATTTAGTGATAGAGATGTATGATTAAAACAAATGAAATTTGAAGACCACTGGTCTAGGATATGCATAGCAGAGCTCAAAGAGGAAGCAGCTAATTGCATGCATGTTAAGGTAGTAAGTGATACAGAGATCTAGTAAGCTTGACCAGCATTCATATCTTACATGTAGGTTGTGCAAGCTGTGCATAGGAACCTTGCTGGCTTTTCAAGTTCAGTGAGGGGTTATGTGTCTTGTTAACATAGAAAGTGAACAGGAAAAGAAATCTCAACATGCAGCAGCTAATGAAGGAGCAAAAATAAATGATGATGTGAAACGTCTTCCCCAAGTTCAGTGTGTTTCACTAGTAATGTGGTTCCAGATTAATTTTTTTTAGGTTTAGATATATCCTGCTGTTCTCCAGCAGTTTTTATGCCATACTTATATTTGTTTACCACAAGGTACCCCATAACTGTGCTGTTGAGCTGAATGCAGCATGTCTGTGGGAAAACTAATTTCTGGCAAGTTGCTTGCAGTGCTTTCAATCCATTGAAGAGTAACAGCAATTTGCTTAATAAATGTCATTGTAGCATGCATATAAGAACTATGTGAGTAGTAAAAGGTTTCTGTAGCTATAAAGGAAGGCTTCTTGCTCTGCAGTATGAACAATTTAGTTTGTAAAGCAAAGCATGCAATCCAAAAAGCAATTTTTGCCTCAATTTTTTTAAATTGTCAAATGAGCCTGAACCTCAGTGTCTGCTTAGGACCAGCCCTGCAAAAACAATTCCAGGTCTCATCTGTTTGAAAATAAAGTCAATCCTTACAAATTATCTATGATATATAATGCTTACCAGTTCATAAGGAAACTTTCCAAATTACTGGTCATGCTGCACAATTAATTCTTTATGCAAAGACTTGAGTACCAATCTAGCAGGATCGGCAAATTATGAATACCTTTTTAAAGAACTTCAATAGTGTAGTGAGTTTTTACTGACTTTGTAATTTATAATTGTATGCTGTTTCTTTGCCAAAATTCAATAAAAATTAGTTGGAGCTTCAGAACTAAGAGATTGTACTAGCTTCTTGATTCTTCCACAAGAAGAACATAAGCTAATTTGTGATATGGGAACCAGTATCATGATTACCAAATATGATGCTACAATATGAGTCCTTGTTTCCATATCCTGCAAATGCTCAAGTGTACACTTTCAGGACTGTTTGTAAGACCATAGTGACACCATTTCTAACATTTTGCAATAAGAAGATGCACCAAGATTTCCATGTGTCTGCACTGAACATTTACCTCTTCAGAATCATATACGGATGTGTTAGTCACTGACGCCAGAAGAAAAAAACCTTGGAAGGCTGTCCTGGTCAAGAGATGCTTGTGTTTCCTCTTCTCCAAAGAGAACTGTTTTATAAATTGTCAGGGAAGTGAATGTAATTCTGGTGAAGATACAAGGTCCGATACAGAGACAGTAAACTTGTAGAAAAATGTTGTTGAATCTGTGTGACTTTAGCAGTTCTCAGCACCCTATTATTAATTTATTATTAAATGGCAGGCAACCCAAAGTTATCTTGACGAATGTCCTGTGGACAAAAATAGGAAGAAAATACACACAGATGCAGCCTAAAACTGGTGCTAATTTTTCTGATGCTGGCAAGCTGCGGTCAGATCAACCACCCTCATCATCTGCTGCTAGCATAAAGATTTGGCAAATTTTAAATCCTACTCTCCAAAGCCTTTTTCTGTCTAAAAGGTATGTTGTCTTCACCTTGTGTCACTAAAAATAATTTTCCTTGCAGTTGTTTTTTCATGAGAAAGTGTTCTTTGTACCACAGATGTCTTGTTCATGAGCCATGTTTTCATTCTCGTTTCATCTGACTTGATTCAATTCCCTTGGACTGGTTCCTTTTGATAATCATTGAGAGAGATGGTGCCAGGCACTCTGTAGTGTGCCCTTTTATAAAAAGGCTTCTAGGTGGTCATGTGCTAACAGGACCAATTAATTCAATCAGCCATTGGACTCTCAAATTATTTTTTTTTTTAATCTTGTGAAAAGAATACACTTGTGTTGTCTTCTTTTCTCAGAGAAGTTATCAAACTGTATTTTTACTGTTACTGTTTCAGACTCCATGAAAATAGGAAAACTGACATAAACGGTCAGAAAAAAGCATATTGAATTCAGTATCTCTCCTTCTCCCCTCCACAGAGTGGCCAAATTGCCAAAGTATGGCTACTGTTGAATGAGTTTTCTCTCTGAGCTCCTAATGGTAACAGTTTAGGGACTTCATTTATTGGACGTTACATCCAGACTACACTAGTGTTCTCATATTAGACCTTTCTTCTCAATTGTTATCCTCATTGGTTATCACCTGTGTGCCTCTGCAACATCTTGTCTGTAAGATAGTCTCCTGATTTAAAGCAAATTTACATCTTGGTGCAAGAGGAGATCTGAAGGCTCTCCAGACATCACACAGTCTGTGCTGGAGTGTGTTTTGTGTGTGAATATACAAGACAGAAGAATTACACAGCCAATACCCAGACAACAGTTTTGTTTACAACAGATTCAAAAAGAGGCCATGATGTTACATCCTCATGCGGAATAAATTGCAATGAAAGTGGTAGAATTTAAATCACAGTATGAGAAACTAAATGTGTAAATCAAGAGCTGTACAACAAGCTGGCTGCAGTGGCATTATATAAAATAAGTTGTGCTGCTATTACACATGTGTGCTCAAGTGAGCAGTTGCATCTTCATATTTCTGGTTAACTTATTGTTGATGCTTGTCTTCTCTAACCCTTGCTTGTTTTTCTGAGCCTTGCTATTGCTATACTGTAGAATGCCATCTGAAAGTTGAAGAGGGGAACAAAATCTAATGCTACCTTTTTGTGTAAGTGCTTGAGAAAATTCAGTGTATTTTATTGGAGGCTTCTTGTTCAGAGGAAAATCAAGACTGTTTTCTCCATAGTTCTAATAAATGTGTATAGATAAGTATGCATGAAAGCTAGAGATAAACATTTGTCAGTTTTTAAACAATATTTAAATTATGCGTTAGAGACTATGTGCAGTATCAGTTATACCTGGCTAAGGTGAAATTATATGGCTAGTTTTAATTACCCTGGTCTCTTGTTGCTTTTTTTTTTTTCGTGTGTGTGTTTATCTGCTTACCTTGGATTTAAGTTCCTTGGTAGAATTTTGTTTTGTCTCTAAGGGACTGCAAATAATTGTGTTTGATAATTACCAAGTTTCTTTCTCTAGATTGCAATGCAGTATTTATGATTTACTGTTATATATGTGGCAGGCAACCGAAAGTTATCTTGACGAATGTCCTGAGGACGAAAGTTGGAAGAAAATACATTGACAGCCATGTAATAATTGATGCAAATTTATCTGCTGCTGATAAATTACAATTGGGTCAACTACCCTCATCATCTGTTGTCAGCCTACAGACATGTCAGATATTAAATTCTCCTCATGAAAGTTCTTTTCTATCTGAAAGGTATGTTACTGCTGATTTTGCCAGTTTTCCTGAAATGACATAACTTCAAAATGAAAAGAATTTCCGTGAAACAAGTTTTGTTATATTGTTGTCTTGAATCATGAGATCAGTTTCCCGAATGCAAGCTAACAACTAACATGCTGCTCCAGTGAGCAGTTTTAACATTGCATTTGTTCTGATTTGCTGTACTTGATGTGAGTAGTCTACTTCTCTTGTAATAAATTTCTGTTTACCATAGATCAGTGTTTTGATCCATGGAGATGGCCAAGTAATTCAAATGCATTTAAGTTGGGTTTGTGTCCAGAACCAAAATCTTGCTTTCCTGTTGCTGTTAACATGTTCCATCATGATTTCAGATAGCTTCTTTTGCAAAATTTCTGCATATTCCTCTCTGTGATAGTTCATTTATTTTCACACTGATCCACCAGAGGTCTTAGTCCTAGAGTGCCATTGTTTAAGGGCTGTGTGTCCTTTTATTGTGTAACATCTACTTTCCCTCTTTTCTTCCTACGTTTAGGTTGATTGAGCATCAGAGTAAGGCTTGACGTATAAATGTAGCAGAAATCAGGTATTAGAATTGTATAACGCTTATTTCAGTGTAAGATGGCAGTTGAATTCAGAGTAAGCTGTTTCTTCTTGTCTTTTATAGCTGCCTCTTCGCTCAACAGCAAGGTATCCACAGGAACAAATAGCAAGAAATTTGAGGGAAGAAAATAGGAAGAGGAAGGAAAGGAAGAATTATTTGTGAGGGCAGCAATAATCAGCAGATGCCGGGTTAAAGAAATCTTAAAAATTTTTGAGAAAAGCAGATCATATTCTTCATTCTGATACATGAACATTTTAGAGGACATAAATTAGTGAGAATTCCTTTCTTTTTCTCCTTTTTTTTTTTTCCTGTTGGGATCCCCATTGCTGCTTAAATTAATGTGATGAAGCTGCAATTTAAATGAGGGATTTAGAACAGTTCAGTAGACTCTCATTTTAGAAGTTTTATATTTGTTGCTAATAAATATTTCTCTATGACTTTGGGCTGACTAAAGTGGGAGGAATTTGTTTTGAATTGTTATGGGTTTTGATGTTTTTGTTTGGTTATTTGTTTGTTTGTTTGTTTGGTTTGATTTGTTTTTTCTTTTTTTTTCTTTGTTTTACTACAAAGTCTTAAAGATATATAATGTTAATAACTGATTTTTCCACTTGGTGTTGTTCTGGATGATGGGAGGTAGTGCATTGTTCAAGAGGAATACATGAACTCATGTATGTAGCCCTCTAAATCTGAGGAAATGTTGCATATGTTTTCAAGCTCATGTCTGAAGGTTGGCTATTGAGTTTTATGTTAAGCACAAGAATGGTTTGAACTAGTCAATTAGTCAATTTTTTTTAGTAGTTAGTGTACTTTAAACTTGCTTTAGATCTGGAGTAGTTTATTGTTTGAAGGATTAATATGTTGTTCCTGTGCTTTTCTAGTATATTAAAAAGTTTGTCATTAGCAGGATTTTTCACCCATCCCCAGTGACCAGCACATTACTGCAAGTTGTAATAGATACCATATAGGAAATAGAGAATTTAGGAATTGTTTCAACAAAGACATGACTTAATCTTGGTCACCTGTCTGTAACTAAGGTCTTGGCGCTGATTCTTTTGGTATCTCTTCTTTCAGAGGAGAGTAAAAGCTTCCCCTTATAAGCATTATACATATGTATGCACATGGTCATATAGAGATTCTTCTGTATTGTCAGAGTAGCTAGAATGCATGCTCTGTTTTACTGAAAATTGTGCCAGTTTTGTATTATGGAATTTAAGATTAAAGAATTGTGTGTGATCAGAACAGGGTGGTAATAATTTAATCTTTCTCTGTCTGCTAGAACTTGCTGCAAGTTCCCTGTTTCCTTTTTTGCTTTTGGTATTACAGAATTGGTGGATTTTGCATTGCTCGTTCATTGCAACTGAGTGTGAAATGCATTTAAGTCACCACTGACTTATCATTATAACTAAAGAATCTGAGGTAGGTTTTAAATGTAAAGAAATTTAAGGGTTTAAGGTGTTGTTTCTCATGGCTGTTAAGAACACTTTAGTAAATAATGACATAGATTCTAAGGTTACGCATATATCTGTTAAGTGCATTTTAAACTGAGTTATCAGCAAAGATTAGAAGTGAAAATAAAATGTGCAGAATTTGTGTATAAAGTAAATATATTCATGGAATTCTATTAGCTGAAATATTCTTACTGAAATATTTGCTATTGATGAAATGCCTGAATTGTGATGTTGCTGTAAAACAAATGCTAAAAAACACATAATGGTTTTGTATGTCCTTTTAAGGTAGTCAAATCTAGATAGCTGTTATGCATACAAATATGTAAGTTGAGAGAGAAATGTGGATTCCAAAATGCAGTTTTCTGTAGTGAAGTTATTTCAGAACTAGAGGTGCCTGATCTATGAAAGACTATGACTTGCTCAATGTACAGAATGAATAATAACACTTACCAAACACTTGTTCTTCATATTGGCCAATTAATGATTCTTCAGTTAATGATTCTTTGGTAATTTCTTCATAATTCTTATATACTGTTCACTCCTGTGGTGTCAGAACACTGTATTTGATTGGACTTGGAATTTATTTGTCTTTCCAGTATTCCCAAAGAGAACCGATATTCTACAGGTGTGGCACTGAAGAGCAGGCACTTATTCAGAAAGTGTCCAACAGTTTTGGCTGTCTAGATTGAGATGTCAAGACTGTTCTTTCCCATAGTCAGTGGTGTTCTTCATTAGTCCAAGCTCAGCTGTCAGTGATTTCAGTCATCATGATGATTGGCTTATCTTTTTGCAAATTAGAGACTGCAACAATTTGAGTTAGGCACATTATAAAACAAAACAATGAACACAAAATCTCTTTGGATTAAGTGAGGTGACAAAAGGAGGAATGAAACAGATTTTCCAGAGCAACATTAAATTGCTTTATCTGTGATATCTTCTTTATTTTCTTTTTCATTTTCCAAGTCTCACAGAAAATGAGGTGGAGGTCACAGGGGTTAGTTTCTTTTATCTTGAAACCCTGATAAATTTTCAGAAATCTTGCATACCTAATGTAATGAAGTTCATGTGAGAAAGTATCACATAAGCATACAGCTAAATGTTACCCTAATGCATACACTAGAAACCAAAATCCAGTTACATAGATTTTTGTCAGCTCTAACTAGCCTCCAGAAAAATTAAGAGTATGTTTACAAGATCAGACCTCAAATGTGAGGATGTCATACTGTTGAGTTGATCATTAAGTCCTGAATATCATAGAATGGTTTGGGTTGGAAGGGACCTTAAAGCTCATCTAGTTCCAACCCCTCTGCCACAGCCAGGGACACATTCTGCTGGACCAGGTTGTTCAAAGCCCCATCCAGTTAATATTCTTTACAAGTATATTCTCTTATTCAAAAAAAAAACCAAAAACAACACAAAAAAACAACACAAAAAAAACAAACAAAACCCCAACAAAACAGAAACAACCTCCCAGAAGTTCCAAACTAATAAAATTAATTCCAACCCCCCTCAACTGATTATTTTGTCGTGTAACCTTCTTAGAATAAAACTACAAACACAGCTGAACACCTGTAGTTTTCCTAGTTTCTGGTACTGTAACCATTTTCTGTTTCTTCCTCTTTCATAGAAACATAGAATCATAGAATAGTTAGGGTTGGAAAGGACCTTCAGATCATCAAGTTCCAACCCCCCTGCCGTGGGCAGGGACACCTCACACTAAACGTATCACCCAAGGCCTCGTCCAACCTGGTCTTGAACACTGCCAGGGATGGAGCATTCACAACCTCCCTGGGCAACCCATTCCAGTGCCTTACCACCCTAACAGGAAAGAATTTCCTCCTTATATCCAATCTAAACTTTCCCTGTTTAAGTTTTAACCTGTTACCCCTTTTCCTATCACTACAGTCCCTAATGAAGAGTCCCTCCCCAGCATCCCTATAGGCCCTGTTCAGACCTTCTTCAAAGTTGCTGTGTCAGGCCCTTATGATCAGGAATTTCTATTTAAACTCTTTTCTCATTGCAGGAACCTACTCAGTGGATTCTATAAACCATTCTAAATCTAAGTTAAAAATGTACTACATTGCCACATTCCCATTGTGTTAATGACAAAGCCAAAGATGCACTCAACTGACATTGTTCTCTTTTTCCTTGTTATATTTTCTTGTTGCAGTCATGCTTTACAAAATAATATTTCACTGTCTGATGTCAGGCATGTCAAATTTTCATACTTTACATCTTTTTAGAAGCATCCTTTTCATTCATAATGTTAGAGTATCTGTATTTCTGCAACTGGAACTGAATTGGTTTGTGCTTCATTTGCCACACTCCGCATGGTTACAAGAAAGGCAGAAGTCTGTGGTCTAACCAACAATTGTTTCTGTTGGGATTTTTATTCAGTATTCTTTCAAAATTAAAGATAAGTCATAGTTAATACTCTTTACAGATCTGAACATTGCCTGAGGAAGACAGATGATGATCTCTGTAAATTGACCAAGGCTTCTAAGGAACCAGAAAAAAATAGTGTCCTCACTTCTAGAAGACAGGAACTGCAAAAGAAAGGTTTGTAGTGAGTAATAATCTGGGATTTAAATATCAATTCTGGAGAGTGTTAGAAATTTTTTTGTCTAGTATTATGAGGAGAGCACAGAAACAAAATAGCTGTTGCATGCAGTGTATGTGTTTTCTCAAATTGCATGGAGTTTGTTCACTGATATGGTAAAATATGTTGAATAGCTGATTTTAAATAGGAATAAAGCTATGGTGAATCAGATCTGTGGAAGAAAAAGGAAATTTAGGGCAGGCTCAGTGCACCTTTATAATCCTTATTTTATAGGTCTTTTATATTCAAGAATGTAATACATTAAGAATGCTCAAATGGTTTGTAAACCTTTTTAAAATGTTTATGCTATATGGCAATGTATTTACTGCTGAAAAATGGTAAACTCTAGGCTGAGTCTCCAGGGAGAATTTTCTATCTTTTTTTAATACTGGCTAGTAATATTTGCAGATTTAGAACAGGAAATTGAGAATATTGCATCCAGCAGAAATAAAGACTGTTGAGTATGGGGTGGTAATTCTTACTCAAAAGGGAGCTAGGAGTTTGGTTATACCCTTACCTTAACTAATGGTGCAATAATAATCTTTCCTGAATTATTTTAAGGAATATATTTTGGCAGCCATGCACAATTAAAAAAAGGAAGGAATTGTTGTGGACGGTATCTGCTTCCATGCATTTTATTTAAGACATATTGTTTATGAAGAAATGGAAAGAATTTTAAGGGTAACCCATTAAATCACTTTTTCTTTTTTTTTTTCTGACACAGAAAACAAGAGCTGTGATGAACTGAAAAAGAGGAGCAGTCAGAAGCAATCGGGTCCTTTTGATTCTGAGAAAAGGAAAAGAAGATCTAGTGGCCATATTTCTGGTGATTGTAATGCACACATTCCAGAAAAATCACTTCTGCTATCTGTAAGTTGCATATGTGTGTTTGTGTACACACAAGCATACACACTTCAGTAGAAATAGTAGCAACATCTGAAATAAAATAATTGTACTAATAACTAGGGTATCCAGGGATGCTGTCATAGCTGTTGAGGGGAAGTAGCTCAGTGGTGCATCAAGAAGAGTGATTATATGTGACTCTTTTTGTCCACAACATCAGAATAAGCTCATTATAAGAGAGAGGTTGCAAGAGATGAATGAGTGTTTTCTTTAGACAGGAGCATGGAGTAAAACAATCTTGGAAATGAGGCATCTAGGTACTTAAGTGAATCTTCTTTCACAGATGGTGTAGAACTTATTAGGGACTTCAACAGAAAAATTACAAAGTATACCTCGGGTTATGGAAATCTTGCAGATGTCATCTTTCTCCCTCCTCCTCATTCTATTGTATTCTTCCCTAAAGTTTTATTCTTACCTGTCATTAAGATTTAAAAGGAAGGAGGGAAAAAAAAAAAAAAAGACAGAAATGACTGAGGGAGTCAATCAGACCAGTACAAACTGTGATTTATATTCAAGCATTTGAATATAATAAAGGCATCTCTGTAACCTTCTGATTGAAACCCCATAAAAATAGACAGTTGCTGAGTCCTGTTTGCCCAGCTGACCAAGCCGCACATTTGCAAGGTAATGAACATCACTGGTGCTTAGTCTTTCAGTGTCAAGACAGTGAGAGCTGCTAAAAATTCACAAATAGTTTCTTGGTTAGTTTGAAAGAGGGTCAGAGTAGACTTCTAAAAGGTTGGTCCTCATGCCTTATGTAACAGCCTTTGGAATATGGGGAGAAATTACTGATGAGCTCTAAATGCAGTTACATTAGGCTATAATTATTTTATCTAGCACATAACTAAATCTCAATGGTCACTAATCTGAACCATCATAGAAATGTCAAGAAATAAGCGTATATCCTGTCTCTGATACCTGTTTTCTAGAAAGAGCAACGATTGAGTTCAACTCAGCCTCCTGGTGTCAGCACACTCTGTGAGAATGGACAAGATTGCAGATCTAATGCAATTCTGGTGCCAGATGATATTCCCCAGCCATTAGAGAGATACTATAAAGATGCTTCCACCCACAACCACTTAAGACCTGCTCACAGCTGCCTGGAGGAACCTGGCTCAGAGTCTTCATTCAGAAACTTGTCAGAGAAACAGCTTTCTGCCATCAGTGGGGATGTGGCTTCACCACAAGTTAGTACCATCAGGAAATTAAAGATGGACACGTCACAGTACCTGAGCAAGCTGCGGAACAGACTCTACAGGGGTAATCGGCAACTTGTTTCAGTTGATCCAAGTATGTACTGTATCTGTGCTGCTGACAATTACTACTGGTACACTTAGGTACCAGGAGAACTCATGTATGACTGGTTGAAACATGAGAAACAAAAGATTGAAGACAGAGTTCGTGTTGTTTATAATGCATTATGCAGGTTAGAGAGCAGTGCTTAGTGCCAGTGTCCTCTACTGAAGCGTAGAGGGTCGTGTACTTGTGAAACGGGATAGACAGCAGGATTTTCAAACTCCAATCCTTATTTTGCAGCTGATTTTGTGGCTATGGAAAATTAAGCTTGTAATTTTTAATGTTGCTTAAACTGGGGAAAAAATACTTTTTCTTCTTTGAAATAGCTGTGTTGTGGCCTCTTTCTTTTAATAGTTTTGAGGATCTTGGGTAAAGAGTGTTAATAAAGATACAAAGCAGTACTTGTTGCATTTGCTTTCATGCATGCCGACTTGTTTGAGCAATGTATTTTGATATTACATACAAGAGAGAATTTTTTGTTCATCTGAAATCTGTAGTGAATGAAATATTCCGAAGTCTGCATTGTGAAGTATGTGCATACTTCTTTTTGTCTCTTTAGTTGTCCTTTCCAGTGATGATGAAGATAGACCTTCTGAACCAAAATGCACTGAGCTGCTTCAGGATAATATCACTGATAGTAAAGAAACAGACCAACAGTCTGACTTCAATTTCTCAGCAAAGCAGGTGGAAGACAAGATGGAAAGTCACACAGAGCAGGTACTCCAGTTTTTGGCCTATGTATTGTTATGCCAACCCTTTATTTCTTCAGTGTTTATTTTTTTCTTTCGTGTCAGGACAAAAGTGAAATGCTTAGAGCAGATATGATTAGTCCCAGCAACAAACAGTAGCTGCAGTAATTCACAGATAGAATTCTGGACAGTCTTCAGAGAAGATCTCTGGATCTGAAGCTTAAGTGCTTTTGCAACATACAGTGTATTTCATAGTTTGAAAATAAACATTTGGGAATGTTTAATACTACAAACAGGAAGGATCAAATACTAACCTGAGCTAGAGGTAGACATGATGAAGATACGTCTGTGAAAAGGAGTGGGGGTTTTTATTTTTTTTTTTTTCACACAATGTTTTATATTGATCAAGTTCAAGTCCCCAGTTTCTTCTTGTCTTTCAGTCCTCTGCTGTAATTCAGTGCATGGAGTTCAAGGATCTTTGTTGACAGCAGACAGAGATAGGGTAAAGTTCCCATTCCTGTGTGGCTAGCACTGAATCTGAAACTAGCTGTAAATGTTGTTGCCCCATTTTGGCTTTGACTTGGATTTGGGTTACCTCTGTAATCCTGAAACAAGCCAGAAGACCCATTGCTGCCTCTTCATACAGATGCATCATTTTGATCATAAACACTGAATTGGATCCTGTACCTTTGATATCAAAAGAGGGTATTTGTTATTGCTGTGTTATTTGAGGTTTTACTTGGCTCTAGATTAGTAAAGAGCACAGACTATATCTTTCAATGGGAAATTTAGTGGTGAAGCAAGATACTGTTAAGCCCTTAAGGGTATTGTAATGATTGTAATAATATTTACAGCTTTTTAATATGGGATTTTTATATGGAACTTGGCTTTGGGAGTAAATTCTTACAAACATGCAAAGAAAATTCCTGAGGTTCAAGAGGGAAGTATCTCATTTGGAGCCCTTTACTAAATACATATTTTTTTTTATTTATTTTTTTTTTCACCCTCCAGTTTATAACAGAGTCAATTGAAGATAAATGTCCTATCAGTTTACCTTCTGGAAGCACACCTAGAAAACAGACAAACCCAGCATTGGCAGTGAAATTTGATAGTCTTTACATTGGGAAATTTAACTGGCTATCAACAGGTCCTGCTAGGGTGAGTTGTTTTGTTATAGTGAAATTTTGAGAATATTTAAAAATTAAAATTCTAGTTAAGCAATGCTAGTGGTACTTAGTGTGGAAGCACTGAGTTTTGCTTTGGCTAAGCAATGGAGTATGTACTCCATTACCTTGTATGTTTGGATTGCTGTCAGTTGAAAAGCTAACTGGGATTATCTGTGGGTCCAGTTTTCAGAGATAAAGGTTCTGTGAAAACGCTGTACTGGAACAGAAATTATACTAATGAAGCTTTTAGTGAATCTTAATGGAAAATAATGGCCATGTTAGAATTAATGTCACTTGAAATAAACACCAATTACTTTTCTCAGAAATAGTACAGATATTTGAATAAAGTAGTCCATAGTGATCAGAGTTCAAATATATACTACGTGCTGACCTTGCTCTGGTTGTAATAACCAGAAAACGCTTATTTTGTCTCTTTAAAGACCTAAAAAACTAATACTAAAAGCATTAGTACATACGCAATGTGCTACTCACAAGGTGTAGAAATATACTTCAAATAAAGTACCAGCTGCAGGACTTTCAACAGGTCTTTGATGAGACTCATTCTGTATATTGCAATAGAAAAAGACATGTTTGAACATGTCTGCCTTTTTTTATTTTTTTTTTTTTTGCTCTACAGTAACACATTTTGAAATCTTGGATTGTAATAATAGTTTTAGCTTTGCACTAAAGAGCAGTTTTGTGCAGTAGTTCTCATCCAGCAGTGAGAACATTTCATGGAAATTCCCAGAATTGATATGCCAGAATAATTAGAGTGACTAGTTGAAATATTTTGAGAGTCAAGCTTTTAGGTAGACATTGAAAATTTTCCATGGGGAAAAAAAAATCTTTATTCTTTGTGCGTACTGTGGTAACGTAAAAAAACCCTCTCAATGTGTATGACAACCTTCTGTCAAAGTGAAAAGCATTCTTTATTTAGCCAAGTCTTTTTAACATAGCAGTGGTGTAAACAGACTGTTCAAAGGCCTTTAATTCAAAGTTTATTCTAAATAGCAAAATATACCCCAGTGTTGGATTGTCTATATAGCGTCCTTGATTCAAATAGTGTAGGTAGTGGTCTTGATCATGGGGTGCTTAACCTCCTTTTGTCCTAAGTGTTCATGATTTTTTTCTTCTTAAGAAGCCTGTAGGCTTCTCCACAACTTTCTGCTTATTTCTCAGTGCTTAGCACCTCTGGAAGTTACTTGGCTGTCATTTAGATTCTGCAATATGTGTTGCAGTAGGAATGTTCTTTTAGGTCAAGTAAGCAGTATTCATTCTCATACTAGACATATTGGGCTTGTTAGATTAATGGTTGGACTTTATGATCTTAAGGGTCTTTTCCAACCTAAATGATTCTGTGATACTATTTTCAGTTTATTTGGCTATCAGCAAGAAAAGATAGCAGATAATTAACAATTCTACTTTGTTTTTATCAATTTGTAGAAAGCAAACTAATTTTTTTTTTTTTTAATCTTATTTCAGTTTACAATCAAGTATATTGTGATCCCATTTCAGGGTAAGAGAATTTTCTTCTTTAGCCTTCCCTTAACTCTATATCATTAAAGTATTGCATTAAAATACTTAGTATTTACTTATGAGTAATTTATAATCTTACTTGCCTCACAAAGACAATTTTTAAAATTTCATTTTTTAATAAATAAAAATATTATTGTCTATAGTGTAAGCATTAATAACTTAGCAGCTTCTTACACTTTTAAGGTGAATTTGTAGTTTTAATGGCCTTTCCGCCCACATCCCTGCATATATTAAGTGTTGAACTATAGTAAATATGACTGTATTTACTGTGTTTTTGAGGTGAAACCTCAGTCTTTTCAGATTAGGATTTTAGATCCTTAGGTTTATTAAACAATAATGTAAGTTGAGTAAAGCTAAGAGGGATATAACTGTAGATTTTTATTCAGTCCATTTTCCAAAGATGATATGTGGTTTCTCTATCCCATAGGAGAAGGTTCTGAGAAGGTGAGAAGTTCTGAATTGGATTGACTAATAGGAATTAATGATTTATAGTGTTTTTTCTATATTTGTAGTTATTAACTCTGATTATCCTGAGCAAAAAAAAAGGCCATATTTTTTATTCCATGAAGAATAGCATTTAGATGTTTAGCTTTGGGTGTTACAATTTGGTAACTTCATTTTCCGTAGTTTGATATAGCCTATTTAAGTATTAGATTCTCACAATTTACGTAATACCAGGAATAAAATCTACAAGTACTGTTTTAATACGCTTTGATCATACTTATGTCTTAGTGTGTAATTACTATAACATGTATGACTTTATCTATGGCAATGAAAGATATGGATATTTAAAACTTTATTTTCTACAGTGGCTCTTAATAAGAGTATTAACCTGACAGTAGATACTCTGGATCTGAGAAGGTTTGGTATGTGGAGAAGTGACGGTGGCTGTTCTGCAACAACGATAATTTTCCTTTGGTTGTCTGTGGATTATGTAGAAAAGATTGAAACCCAATTAGGAAAGTTAGTCATGAGCAAGCCATGTAAGTAGTATTTTTCCTTAAATGCAATAAAAAGGTCAAATATATGGCATATCAATAAAGCAGTTATTTTACAGCTGTGTTTCTGGAATGCTGAGGATAGCCTGTAGGTTTTTTTTTAAACATAAGTTGGCCAATTTTGCTTTTCTAAAATGCCTTGTTGTACTTGGGGAAATAAAAACCCCACAATGTGATTCACAATCTCTTCTACTTAAACAAAAAGACCTTGTAACACAGTTCAGTTGTAATCTGTGTGAGGAGGCCCTCTGAAACTGGGCTTGTGTATAAAGTATTTCCCCCTTTAAAATAAATTCTCGAGAAAAGTACCTGCTGGTTGAAAGGATTGGCAGGTAAAGGTTGATTTGATCTTTGACAAGACTGCAAACAGGTTGGGCAGAGATGTGATTCAGAGCAACCCTGCAGAGAAGAACTTAAGGGTGTTGGTCAATGAGAAACTTAACATGAGCTGGCAGTGAGTGCTCGCAGCCCAAAAGGCCAACCATCTGTCGAGCTTCATCAAAAGGAGTGGACCAGCAGGTTGAAGGAGGTGATCCTGCCCCTCTACTCTGCTCTCATGAGACCCCACTTGGAGCACTGTGTGCAGTTCTGGTGTCCCCAGTATAAGGACATGGAGCTCTTGTGCAAGTCCAGAGGAGGGCCGCAAGGACCATCAGGGGCCTGGAGCACTTCCTGTGTGAAGACAGGCTGAGAAAGTTGTGTCTGTTCAGCCTGGAGAAGAGAAGGCTGCATGGAGATTTCATAGCAGCCTTCCAGTATCTGAAGGGGGTCTACAAGGATGCCAGAGAGGGACTCTTCATCAGAGACTGCAGCAATAGGACAAGGGCTAATGGGTTTAAATTTAAACAGGAGAGATTTAGGCTAGATACAAGGAGGAAATTCTTTACTTTGAGGCTGGTGAGGCACTGCAACAGGCTGCCCAAAGAAGTGGTGGATGCTCCATCACTAGCTGTGTTCAAGGCCAGGTTGAACAGGGCCTTGGGCGTCATGGTCTAGGCATCCCTGCCCTTGGCAAAGGGGATGGATAGGGTTGGAACCTTTCCAACCCTAACTATTCTGTGATTCTATGATTGCATTATTACAATTTGCTATTAAAAGACACTTTGCTCAGTTGCTGGCCCTGGATCCCCGTCTTCCCATTGCTGGCATCTGTTCATACAAGCCAGTGCCAGTTGCTTGTAAAAGCTGTCATGCACACACAGGCACATAGCTGGCCAGGACTCCCCTGGTCCCAGTAGCTGACCCCCCCCGGTGCTCTCATCCTTAGAGATACATGGTGAATCCCACAGTGAGAGCTGTCCCTTAGGAACTTGCTCACCCTCCTGCCTCCCAAGAGGCTTCAACTATTCATTTAGTTTGGCTTGATCCGCTAGCAGTTGTGCTCGCTTGCACTTCAGTTGCTGTGTTCAGAGACACCCACACATCCTTTCCCCCCATCAAATAGAGAGTTCACCCAGGAGAGAGCTAGAAAGGAATTTAATGAGAAGATGGGATAGACTGCTAATTAATGCACAGGGCGTGTCAGACAAGTGTATTGACTAGCAAAGTATTTAGATGTGACTGGTCCTTTTTATGCCTTTAGCCCTCTATTTTCCCATACTTGTTCCTCTCCAAATTATCTGAATGCCTGCCTTTGCTTCCTCCCTTAAACATCCCATAAGAAGTCCTGGGCAATCTCCAAATGCTCTTCCCTGGTCTCTCATCATGTGTGCCATACACCTCAGCACAATCTCTCCTCAGTCTGAAAGGTGATCTGGCGTTGACTCATCTTGATGGGTTTCAGGTCTGAACCCTGGGCCTGAAGGTCTCCAGGGACAGCCCTAGGAAGGGCCCAGACTGGGTGTCCCTTTCTCCCAGTCCTTAATTTGGGTTCTTACAGCCGTTGTGCTCCTGCGCTCCTCTGGGCTTACGGAGGTGGGCCTTTGGTTGGCTGATGGCCTCTGAGAGGAACCTGGCAGTATATTACTTTGGCTTCCACTCCTGCCATTGTCTCTCAGTGCTCCTTTTTGGTTCTGCAAATGAGCTTCTATCATGTAACCTAATAGTTAATACTCATTCTCTCCTTTCTCCAGCTAAATCTAGTGAATTTGTATTTCTTAAACTGTCCCAACCACTCACAGAATGGGAAGAAGACAGACTGACTGAAGTGATTACAGGTGTGAGCAAGAAGAACAGAGCACCAGATCTCCTTGAGTTTTTGTCTTTGAAGGAAGCACTATCCTTGTTTAAGGACCTTTCTCCTGAAGAGAGCTCTTTTATAAATTACAGTAAGGATCTACTAAAGCAACGTATACCAAAACAGAATATCGCAGATGCTTATAAGCCTGCAGTTCAGGTTAGTTGTTTGATTCATCACCACCTGTTGGCAGTCACACATTTTAGTAAATTTTAGATACATCTTCTGTCCATAGCTAAATAAAAAGAAAATCAATCATGTTTGTTATTTCTCTCATGTTATTTCTCTTATTATTGCACAATGGGGCAAGATTTGCAGTAAACTAGATTGTGTCCACAGAGGGATAGTGTATAGACCTCGTCAGTAAGTGGCAAATAGTGAAGCTTTGTCAGCTCATGGTTGATTATGCCTAGAACCATGGGAATTTTCTACCCTTGTGGTGTCTTCAGGGCAGCAGTTTTGGAGTTAATCAAGTAGGGAGTGATGGAGCCATTTTTTCAGTTGAGCTGGAAGTGAAGGGATGCAGCAAAGGAGGAGCTGTGTATCTTGCTCATTCCAGACACCTCTAGATGATGTACTGCTGGGCCAGTCACAGCTTGAAATGCTAAATAATTCCTAATGGTGCTGGAAAGATGGAGTTGTGCAAGGTACCTCCCTCTGAGGAGCACTGTCTTAACACAACCCTACATCCTTGTCACTTCAGAAATTACATATGTTTGATCCCATCAGAAAAAAAGCACAGAGACAATAGATCAATCTGTCTGTGAAACTGGGAACTTAAAAATTAAGCTAGCATGTCCTAAATCTGTATCATCTTTAGGCAAATTGGTTAAGAACTAGATTTTTAAACCTTCCAAACATTCACAGCTCCTGTTAAGACAGTCTGATACTTTTCTTCATCCGTTCAGGTCCAACAGGTCCAGTTTTCTTCCCCAAAACCAATTCTGTATCAGTTGGCTGAATATGCTTAAACAGTTTTAGAGAGAGGTTATGAACAGAGGAAGAACTGTCATCTTTTTAAAAGGGATATAACTTTTTTAGTTATATGACTAGTGGCATGTTTGCCTAAATCATGATGTTTACACTTCTGCTCTCCAGCAGGATTCCTCTTCAGAGATGCAGGGTATTCCTGTGGGCTTCAGGCTTGTTTATTGTGTGTTCTGTTTTACATATTAAGCTGTATAATGATTTTTACTATTATTATTGTTTGGATTTTTTTCTGGTAGGAATCAAAATCAAAAGTGGCTAGGCCCAGTTATGCCCTTGCAAATAAGCAGAATAGTGGTTGCTATTCTATCTCTCTGTCCTCTGCACTGAATGAAGAATGGAAAGAAGTAAGAGAAACTGGAGCAGTTAAGAAGTATGTATATTTCATATAAATGAGAGGATGAAAATATAACAGATTGAATAAACAAATTGCTGGAATAAAATCCTTGGCTTCAACTACTATTCTGTAGTTTATTTGAAAGTGTTATCTTAAAGATGCTCTAGAAATCTAAAGTACCACTGAGTATGAATATAGTTATTCCTGTTTCCGTCCTAATAGTTAACAGACAAAATGGATGTGTTACAGGATGACAGAAAATCTCACAGAAGTCAGAATACCTTAACTGTGACTACATCATATCATGGATGCATCAATGGGAGGGTAGGGACCTCATGGCTTCTGTGAGTTTCCATCTAAGTCTGTATCACGGCAAAACTTTAAACTTCAGCTGAGTCTTTTTTTTCTTTTTTAATATAAGCAATGTTTTCTTTTACTCTTCTGGCTCTCTATTTATAACTAGTTTGTCATACAATTTACTAGTTAGTACAGGAGCTTGGTTAGCTAAAGACACAAAATTTTGAGAACACAGAGGTGTGTAATGCAATGAGGTACTAGGAGAGTACTGACGTACCTCAGTTCTGTCTGCACTAGTCTGTTCGCCCTTGTGCTTCTAGTACAGCAAACATTACTGGAATAAATTGCTCCTAAGAATTCTTGCCTTCTGCAGTCACTGACAGTATAGCAGTTGTTTTTGTTTCTGCAACAGCAAAACTGCTCATTTTGTCATTCCATTTAAGTAATATGTTTGTTAATACACAGCTTTTAAAATATATTTTAAATACTAGTAGTAGAGGTAACTTGGGCAGTTTCAATCTACTTACAGTACATATGGTGCGTAAACCCAAGTTTCCTGCTTGGAAACATGGGAGTCCTATTGGACTCTTAATGAACAAAAAGTCACTGTTCATTAATACCATTTGAGAATATCTCCCCTAGAATTTATTTCCATTTTATATAGCCATTTGTCAATTACTTTCTATTAAAAAAAAAAAGAAAACCAAGATGAAGGTAAAAAAATAATCTCCTTTTCGAAAACTTTTCTCAAAATTTCAGTGTGCAGTGGGGTGCACGTTTAATTTGTAACTCTCAACTGTTGGAATAAGAAATGGTAAAGGATGTTTGAGTTAGTCAACAGTTTTGAAAATCACCATTTTTAACAGGTTTTCTAGAAAATCTTCTACATGTGAAAAATAATGTTTGTCACTCTTACAACTTGATTTTGATTTGTATTTTCTAGCTTAATTATTTATCCACCCCCACCTGCAAAAGGAGGACTGGGAGTCACAAGAGAAGACCTAGAGTGCTTAGAATATGGAGAGTTTCTCAATGATGTCATTATTGATTTCTATCTTAAGTAAGTAATCAGAGCTTTAATTGTACCCTTCTTTATGTGACCTAATCTGGACTTGAACTACTGTAATGCTGGTCTCTAAATATGATACAATAATTTCTGAAGTAACAGCATGATGAATTTGTAAGTTGGACTCCTTGTAAAGATTTGTGTATTCTCAGCAGATTCAGCAGGTTCAATTGTTTCAGTTTCATTCCTCTTGTCCCTCTAAAGGGCTGTGATATCATCCAGACAGAATAGTGTGGGGAAAAAAGCCTCTTGGTGACCTCACAGAACAGAAAGTGCTGAGCAGGTTTAAGCAGGCACCTGAACAAAGTAGAGAGTCTGTACTAGTAGTTTATTTACTAAGCTCACATGAAATGAAGCATCCTTTCCTATTCCAGACAAGAGTTCAGGAATTCTGAAGTACAACTCCTGCAGAAAGCACTACAGCTAATTGTGGAAGCTTCTTGAGTTAGCTGTGCTTGGCCTACCTGCTTTGTGCCATCATCCTAAAGTTGTTTGTGAAAGCAAGTTTTCCAGAACCAGCATGGTGGAACGCAATTCTCTGAAGCCGAGATTTATTTTCCTTGTGCTGACTTAAACCTAAGCAGAATTCTGGCTCTTTTGAAGGCCATCTGCAAGAGTTCCATTTTGCTTGGCATGCAGTATGGCTGCTGTAACTGTGAGCAATCAGAAGCCAGTTAAAACTTGTTATCTAAAGGATAACAAAGACTAGAAACCTAACCCTAAAAATAAATTCAGAAGCATTATTAACCTGAGTGTGATAAGTCATTAAAATATTTGTGTTGTTTTGTTTTGTTTTTTTTTTTTTTGGGGGGGGGTGGGTGGGTGGGTATTGTTAGTTTTTTGGGGGGGTTTTGGTGGTTTGTTGTTGTTGTGGTTTTTTTTTCAAATCAGAAAGTAATGGTACTTTCTAGAAAAGGAATTTAATAATTTCCTTCTTTTTTGTTTGGTAGATACCTGTTGTTGGAAAAGGTGCCAAAACATCTTGCTGACCGCACACACATTTTTAGCAGTTTCTTCTATAAGTGCCTGACCAGGGCAGAAAAAAATTCTGAGGGGGATCTCAAAGTTCCGTAAGTTCATTTTAGACACTGTTATGTGCAGAAATAAGCTGACAGTCGATGCCACTTGGAAGATCTGCAGATCTTCTAGTTAGCACATTAAATAGCAATCATTGTTCTTCAAGGGGTTAGTGATTAAATGTTGTAACTCTCATTTTAAGCATATTGATGTTTTTCATTTAAATGTGCATGTGATTCATAATGAATGGGAATGAAAATGTTATCACGTTTCTCCAACTTTATCTGAACTTTCAGACAATTAATTTATGTATTTTGATCTTTTTATTCTATGCAGTTTTGCAAGGTATGCATAATTTCAAGATATTGCACTTCTAAAACTATTTTTAGATTTATCACATATTTCATTATACGTATTGATAATAAATTCTTGTCTGAAGTTTTAATAAGACTTTTTACACACCATGTTTGCACATTTGGTTTTTAACACTTGTGAACAATAGAATTGGAGAGTTTCACAGAAAAAGTATCATTAACAGCTCAAGAACCCTGTATCGCTTTGTGTTTCTAGCTAAGATTCTATAAAAACAATCTCTAGAACACTCTCCATTTCTTCTCAGTACTGATGTTTGAGAGTGGAACTTGCCCTGCCACTTCACTTACAGTGATGATCTGCCAGCAACTTTCATTCTGTTTTCATCATTCGTTTTATCGGAGTTGTGGGTTGTTTTGTTTTATTTCCCTCATCCTGTTTCTCCCTGAAGTGATTTTTCTTCTTTTATCCATTTTTATCTTCTTTTATTCCCCAGGTTTTTATTCTACTGACAAACTCGATGGCCACCTGCCCAAAGAGGTGTGCCATGTTGTGTGTGTTGCAGTCACTGCTAGGTGAAAGCTATTAAGGTCAAAAAGAATGCAACTTCTGTAATATTCTCAAAGATGTCTCAAAAATTCAGGGAGCTGTGCTTTAGAGAATGTCTTCCATCGTTTTCCTGTCTTCTGACCCTGAATGTTCTGAAGTGGAAACAAAACTATCCATGTTAAGGCTGCTGTTGTGGCTTGATCTGATTCCTCTAGCAAGGCTGGGCTGTGCATAACCTTCTTAAGGAACTGGAGTGGCACTCGTAATTCCCCATACTTCAAGGACTATAGCTGCTCCAGATCAAGAGATAGCTTTGGAAGTTCTGATTTTATGTTTGGGCTTAGATACTTATCTGGTGATTACAGGTGGTTTGGGTTTTTGTTTCTGTGGAGTTTTTTGATAAATGGATAGGGGAAATTGGGCTCTGTACTGTTGTAAATGAAATTAATTTCAGCTTAACATAAAGACCTTTTGCTTCCCTTTGTTTATGCTGCTTAGGCAGTAGATGAGAACCCTTTCTATAGGTGCTTTCCCCTTTCAATTCCCAGTACTTATAGAGTCATGTAGCAGAGGAAGCTTTTATGGCAAGTCTTCACTTAATGCTGGCCCATGCAGAGTCCCACTGCTTTTCCATTACTCATTTTCTCCTGTTCACCCTGCGCTGAGGTTACCTTTCTTAATTGCTGATCAAGATGGAATCAGAATGGGAATAGGGATGTCTCCTGAGTACAGTGATTTTTGCTTTCAGATGATACCGGAGCAAAGTTTCATAAACTGTTTGTTTCTATTTCAACTTGTGCAACCTAAGAAAGTTGAAAATATACATTTGGGTTTCTTCTTAATTTTTTATTATTCTCCTAGTTACCTGTCCTCATGCATTATGTCTGTAGGACTGGAAATGAAATGTGCTCCAGCACTTAAAGCTCAGGACTGGAGGGGGTCCAGTCCTGGCTTTGCTGCAGTTGTGTTGCATGACTGTATTTAGTGTTTTCCTTCAAAAGATAAGGTTGTTTAGATAGGCCTTCAAAGTGGTACTGTGAATTTTAATTAATGGATGTTGGTAAGTTGCTATAGATCTGTTTTATACTGGCTGGTGTTTAGATGAGATTTTTGCATTTTGTGGAGAAAATAATACTTACTGGTTAAGTAACTGCAAGAAATTCTTTCAATTCTATGGATGGATGGTTTTTTTTCCAGAAGAGTTTAAGGCAGTTCGCAAATGGCTTGTTAGTCACGTGGGCTTAACGGTGTGCAGATTTGTTTTTTTCTCTGTCAGAAAAATTTCAAGAGTAAGTGTAAAACCTATTGAGGGATTGGGGAAGATGTAGGAGTACTAATCCCCATGCTTTGCTTTAACTAAAAAAGAACAAATCTGAACAACAGTTGTCATTTGGTTTCTGCAGAGCAGCACAGAGAAGACACAGAAGAGTAAGAACGTGGACTCGTCATATAAACATCTTCAGTAAAGATTATATCTTTGTGCCTGTGAATGAGGAGTAAGTCTGTGCATTTTTCACACCTGATATTTAGAGATTTAAATATTTGAATGTTGTGATAGATTTATGCCCATAAGTTTGGATCACTGGAGATTAACACGAGTTCATTAGACTTTTGAAGTCACCTTCAGTAAACTTTGCATCTTTGTTTTTTGTTTTACTGAAAACTGCATTTATCATAGAATCATAGAATAGTTCTGTGATTCAGTTTTCAGTAAATAGGTGACTAAACAGAAAATCTAACTTTTGAAGAGACTTAAAAATTACTCATTCTACACCTGTTCTTCGAGATCTTCAAAATCTAATGATCTCGTGTGTTTTTTTTTTTTTAAATATCATTTGTGTGTCATTATAATGATTCCTGTGCACTAAAGTAATGTTTCTGTAAAGAAATTACAGCAACTCTCAGTGTTAATGGATTAGGAGTACTACTTCCAAGGTCTGTACCTTGGCCTGGTTGAATAACTGACCTGCAGATGGCAACTCCAGTAAAACTGAATAGTCATTGAGAGTTACATGTGCAAAACAGCTGCAGAAAGAGATGAGGCTAGAAGCATGCCCTGCCTTCAGTTATATTCAAAACTGGGATCAGTTATATTCAAAACTGGGATCAGTTATATTCAAAACTGGTTTCAGTTATATTCAAAACTGGAACCCACCCCTCCAGTGATGGTTTTGTTGTTTTGGGGTTTCTTCTAAGGAATTGATACTTAATTTTGCTGTTATGCCACAATACAAAGTAAAATGAATTAGAGGATAAGTATGAGATGCCATGAAGAAACATGGCAACAGTGGTTATGTGTCACAGAACAGTTGTCCATGAGCTCTCAATATTATAAAAACTTCTCATATCCTTTGCAGAACCAGATGTTACACTGTTTTGACGATTTTTTTCCCCCTCACTCCACTGCTGGGCAGGTCTCATTGGTACATTGCAGTTATCTGTTTTCCTCGGTTAGAAGAAGCTGTGTATGAGGAGTGTCCCCATCAGAGTTTATTATGTCACCAGCCACAACAGTCTCCACTTTGGTCAGAGAGTGACAACACTAGAACTGGTTCAATGTTGGCCATTCCTGGTAACTGCAAAGATGAAGAAGAAATGGTTGTTAACAAAAATTTATCCTCTGAAGGTAGGTAATCTTACATGGCTTGACATAACTTTCTTATGGTTCTAATCTTGTCTTAATCCATGAAGGAGTTATAAGATGTCTAAAAAAGCATCTTTCATGTCAAGATTGATGTAATTTGTTTTTGTATTACCATGCATAGCAAAGACTGTGCTTCATTCTTGTTGTCTGCAACTCTGGAAAATACTGGAAGGGACATGTAAAATCAGTGGCTCAAATCCCATCAAAAGTGGAAAGTTCTTGGATTTCAAGAGTTCTATCAGGAAGGCAAGCCCTCAGTAACTCTGCTATTTGAACATTCAGAAGTGAAGCAAAAATAGTTTATACTTCACTGTTGTATTTCAAATACTAATAATCTCAAATTTGAAAATGAAAATATTTCAGGTAGAAAATATTTTCTTAAGACTTTTTAATTTTGTTCTCTTGAGCTAGGTGGCAAGGAAATTGCTGCTTCTGCTTCAGTCCTGCATTCGGCTATTTCTAAAGTAAGTATCTTTTCTACTGACAGACAAAACAGGTATTGCTCTATTTCTAAAGGCTCTCAGAATTGACTAAGTGATTTTGCATCATCTTTCTTGCACCAGCTGCCATGCATGTGCAAGCACTTTGAATTAGCTCAAAGTCCTCCTTTGTCTAACTGTGTTGCATACGCTATGCTTTCATGTGTTTTTAAAAATTATTTTTTTAGTTTCTCTCTTTCTGAAATGGGAACCTCTCTGGCTTTACCTTTAAATCTATGGACATCTTGGAGTTTATAATTGCTGATGGTTTTTTAATATTATTTTTATTTTCTCCCAGATCTCCCTAAACAATTCCAAAAGACAGATTTGTAAAAGGTATGTATCTGTATTCACACTAAAATTGTATTATTATATTAAATTCTTGAGTAAGATATGTGTCATAAAGCCACAGCTGTAGGAACTTACCAATTTTTTTTCCACATTTGTTCAGATATTGATGCTCTTGTTAAGTTGTATTCAAACAAAATATTTGCTTCAGTTCTGTTGGTAATGAAAGACTACAATTTGTTGGTTTGTTGTTTTTGTTGTGTCCAGGCCTTGTATACTCATCTTAGACTCTTTGAAAGCTGCTTCTGTGCAGAAAACAGTTCAGGTTTTGAGAGAGTAAGTAACTACATTTTCTGTTTATTAGCAAGAGATGCTGCTGGTCATACTTCTATGCTCAAAATACTTTTTTCTATAAAGGTTTATATTTCTGATGCTAAAGGAAAATCCATAGTCACAACAAAGAAAATTGTAATAGTAATACAGAAGCTTGTGTGAAAAGCCTGTCTTTGTTCTGCTGCACAGATATAATGCCAAAAATTGTAAAGTGGACAGTCTTTCTGAAACTGCAAAAAAAAAAAAAAAAAAGAAGTAGAGGGAGTTTGGGGCACTTTTTTTTTTTTTAAATCCCCTTTGGTTCAGTAATAGAGGGTGTTTATAAGGGTAGAAAACCAGATTGTTTAAAATAAATTCTTTGAAAATTAATTTTCCAAAGGGCTGATCGTCATCTCTTTTTTTAATGGAGTTTACAGAATTAGTGTTAAATCCACTCCTATCTATGTACAAAAAAGTAGAAACTAGGCTGAAGCTGTCTAGAAGCTTGATGTGTCAGCATAGTTATATTGGAATAGTAGTATTTGTTTTGAAATGTGAGAGTAAAATACATATTCAGTCTTTTATGTGATAAGTATGTAAGTATTGGAAGAATGTCTTCAAAGTTTCACTGCTTTTACATACTCCTAATGACTAACATTTTTTTAAGTTGCTAATATTAAATTTTTGAAGCTAAACAGGTTTTTTCTTTTTGTTTTTTGTTGTGTTCACTTTTCTGAAAGGAACAAAAATCTGTAAACCAAATAGTACCTCCTCCTTGTAAAAGTAAATTATTCAAAATGCTAAGTGATGGTTAGGTGAGAATCAGAAATATTTGTGAAGCCACTTTTCCCTAGAGAGGCCTCCCCACTGTATGTGTCTTGGGAGGGAAAAAAAAATGCAGTTTTAAAAATTAATTTATTTTTTGTTTCTTTTCTAAATCTCTGTGGGATGTATTAACTTAGTGTTCCATGCTTTAAGCTGCTCCTGGCATTGAAATTCCAGAGAGGGTAGTTTACTGGAGTTCAGAGAGATCTTATGAAAAGTCAGAAAACAGGGGTGATTTGTGGAGTTGTGAGATCAGGGAATTTTGGGAAGCAGACCTCTTATTCCTTCAGTTTGCAGTTTTACTCTGGAAACAGTTTAAGGACACTGATGCAGGGGTTTCGTGACCTCTTGTTTCCTTGAGCTGATTTTTGTTATAAGGACTTCGGGCTTTTTAATAATCAAACACAAGTTCTGACTTAATGTGTGTATTTTTTATTCCCTAAAGTCAGATGTTATGTTTGATTTTTTTTATAAGCTCTGAGCCTTTGCAACTCTGACTAAAGTCAGCGGAAAAGTTTGTTGCCCTTGAAAATTAGACCCTTTCAATCCCATCTTCAAAATCTTCTGTAGGTACCTTGAAGTGGAATGGGAAGCTAAACGAAAAATGCATCGAGAATTCAGTAAATCAACAATGATTGACCTGTATCCCAGAGTGCCTAAACAAGATAACAGCAGTGATTGTGGGGTCTATTTGCTGCAATATGTGGAAAGCTTCTTTGAGGTACAAATAGAAACTATCTTCCCTTTTGCTCAAAATGAACTTAAACCCAAAAAAACTATTTCTGAGGGAAATAGCCAGATACAAAAGCCTGTGATGGTCAGCCTCAAAAGTGTTAAAGCCATTTGAGGAAGAGGAAATAAACCCCGTTCTTCAATAAAACCCATAGTGGCAGGGGTCTTCTAAGTGGAAAACAGTTTTTTATCTGAGTTTGTTGGCAGACATTTCTGACCTTGTAGTTTAATGTTGCTTTTATATTGACACACTCAATATCCCTAACTATTTGGATGTATTTGGGGTCTATTTAGTTTACCAATTTCTGGTCTATAGGTGTTAAAAAGGCATCTTTTCTGTGCATCTGGTCTTGCAGCCTCTAAAACTGTGGTCAGCTTGTGCATTGAGTGGCTCTGCGGCAGCAAATTCTGCAGAGAGAGGCGGGGTGGAATCCTTCAAAGGGAATCCACAGAGCACTCTTTCCTGTTCTGCATATACCTTTAAAAGACTGCAGATGCTGGACTTCAGGCATTTGTTTTTAGGGTGTCCCCAACTCCTCCTCCCTACGATCAGTGCATTGTCCTCTTTCTCTGTCCTTTGAATAGCTCTGCCGGTTTGATGCTTATACATGTGGTCCGTGGTCTGTCTGAGAGTCCTTAGTATGGAAAGCTGTGTAGGGCCTTGGGCAGTGGACAGATTTTTCTTCCATAGTAGAACAAATTGCCATTCCAAAGTGCTTGTACACTACTGCACACAGCATGGGAAATAAATGTGACGAATTGGAGGGCTGTCATCTTGTTGAGATCACAGGACATGGTGGGATAGCTGACATGACTGTAGTGCTGTGATGGGTGGATACAGGCTTTTTAGGGAAGACAGGCTGGGAGGATGAGGAGGTAGAGTTGCCCTTAGTACGAGAGAGCAGCTGGAATGCGTGAAGCTCTGCCTAGGGTTGAATGAGGGACCAATTGAGAGCTCCTTAAAGAACAAATTAATATGGGTGACAAAGTAGTGGGGGTCTACTGCAGGCCACCTGATCAGGAAGAACAAGTGTATGGCGCCTTTTACAGGCAGCTTAGAAGCAGCCTCACGTTCAAGGACCCTGGTCCCAGTAGGGGACTTTTAACAACCAAATTCTCCCCTTCTTTATGTCCTGCTAAAACTGCTAGCAGTGTTCTTACTTCTTTGTTGTCTCTAATCAGACAGACCAGGTCATGACAGAAAACCACATGCCTAAGGCAACAAAACCTCAGCATATTTATCTGCTGTATGCTTGGTCCTTCCCTTAAAGGTGGAAGCAAGGACAGGCAGCCTGGGTAGAGTACAGGGATGTTGTCTGGGAAGCTAGGGACCAGGTTAGGAAAGCTAAGGCCCAGTTAGAATTAAACTTGGCTAGGGATGTTAAGGATAACAGGAAGGGATTCTATAGGTACGTAGCAAATAAAAAAAAGACTGGGGACAGTGTAGGCCTCCTCCAGAAGCTATAGAGAGAACTGGCTACCCTGGATTTGGAGAAGGCTGAGGTTCCTAATGACTTCTTTGCCTCAGTCTTCACTGGCGAATGCTCTGACCACACCACCCAAGTCTTGGAAGGTAGACGCAGGGACTGTGAGAATGAAGACCTTGGGCCCACTGTAGGTGAGCATCTGGTTTGAGACCGTCTTAAAAACTTGAATGTGCACAAGTCCATGGGACCTGATGAAATCCATCTGCGGGTCCGGAAGGAGCTGGCGAATGAAGTTGCTAAGCTGCTGGCCATCATATTTGAAAAATCATGGCAGTCAGGTGAAGTTCCCGATGACTGGAAAAAGGGAAATATAACCCCCATTTTCAAGAAGGGGAAAATGCATGACCCAGGGAACTACAGACCATTCAGTCTCACCTCTGTGCCTGGCAAAATCTTGGAGCAGATTCTCCTGGAAGTCATGCTAAGGTACATGAAAAACAACCAGTTGCTTGGTGACAGCCAGCATGGCTTCACGAAGGGGAAATCCTGCCTGACCAATTTGGTGGCCTTCTATGATGGGGCTACGGAACTGATGGACAGAGGCAGAGCAGTTGATGTCATCTACCTGGACTTGTGCAAGTCCCACAAGACTCTGTCCCACATGACATCCTTGTCTCTAAATTGGAGAGACATCAATTGGATGGATGGACCACTCGGTAGATAAAGAACTGGCTGGATGGCCACATGCAAAGAGTTGTGGTCAATGGCTCAATGTCCAGCTGGAGACCAGTAACAAGTGGTGTCCCTCAGGGATCGGTGTTGGGACCGGTCTTGTTCAGCATCTTTGTCAGTGACATGGACAGTGGGATTGAGTGCGCCCTCAGCAAGTTTGCCAATGACACCAAGCTGTGTGGTTCGGTTGATATACTGGAGGGAAGGGAAGCCATCCTGAGGGACCTCAACAGAGAAGAGATTCAGAGCAGCCCTGCGGAGAAGAACTTGGGGGTGCTGGTTGATGAGGAAATGAATATGAGCCGGCAGTCTGCATTCGCAGCCCAGAAAGCCAACTGTGTCCTGGTCTGCATCAAAAGGAGTGTGACCAGCAGGTCGAAGGAGGTGATCCTGCCACTCTACTCTGCTCTTGTGAGACCTCACTTGGAGTATAGTTTGCAGTTCTGGTGTCCTCAACATAAAAAGGACATGGAAATGTTGGAACAAGTCCAGGGGAGGGCCACGAGGATGATCAGGGGACTGGAGCACCTCCTGTATGAAGACAGGCTGAGAAATTTGTGTCTGTTCAGCCTGGAGAAGAGAAGGCTGCATGGAGACCTCATAGCAGCCTTCCAGTATCTGAAGGGGGGCTATAGGGATGCTGGGAAGGCACTCTTCATTAGGGACTGTAGTGATAGGACAAGGGGTAATGGGTTAAAACTTACACAGGGGAAGTTTAGGTTGGATATAAGAAGGAAATTCTTTCCTGTTAGGGTGGTGAGGCGCTGGAATGGGTTGCCCAGAGTGGTTGTTAATGCTCCATCCCTGGCAGCATTCAGGGCCAGGTTGAACGAAGCCTTGGGTGAGATGGTATAGTGTGAAGTGTCCCTGCCCATGGCAGGGGGGTTGGAAGTAGATGATCTTAAGGTCCTTTCCAACCCTAACCTATGATTCTATAGTGCAATTGTATATGTGTGTGTTGTGACCAAAGTGCGTCTGTCCCTTGTTAGATACCTAATCATGTCTAACTTTATCAGAATTCATGCAACCTGCCTTGAATATGAGCTTATAAAGATACTGATGTATCTTTAAGAGAAGTGGTGATAACTTATTTGGTGTTTACCATGAGTAGCTTGTGGTAAGGGTGTGTATATATGTCATTACCATGGAGGAACTGGAATTTGACTTTGAAGTCTGTCACTGTCTCATGAAAATTTGTTTATGCCTCCATGGTCTCAGCAGTAATGGAAGGGTTTGAAATTTTCTTCAAAAGGTTGCTTTAGGAAATTCATGTTTTAAATATTCCTTTTTTGTTACCAGAATCCCATAGTTAACTTTGAAGAGCCACTGCATCTGGAGAAGTGGTTTCCTCGTCAGCTCATCAGAAGCAAAAGAGAAGAAATTCGGGACTTGATCTTGCAACTGCACTTTCAACAGCATAGTGGCAGCAGCAGCTAATAAATCAAATAAGCCATGCCTGTTGCCATGTTCCAGTTGCTGTATAAAGCAGCTGGAACTCTACTTAGCAGCATTTGGTCTCTTTCTGCCTTGCAAGTTAAAAAACAAAACAAAAGAACCAGAAGAAGTGTTTTGTTTGTTCAGTGTGTACTTATTTAATTTTTTTTTTTTTTCATTTGGGTAGTGTGGCCATAGAATGAATTGCGGGGGGGGGGGAAGGTTGTAGATAAAAGCGTAAATACGTAAGTTAAGCTAGTACATATGGATTGCTAATTGAATCTTTACTTGGAATATGAAAGCTGCATACACGTATGCACCACAAGGAGGTAAAAATGTTCATCTTTTGAAGCTTGCTTTTTACAATTCTGTATGAACATGGATGATTATATTATAGTCAGGCTTAAAGACAGGATTTTGACCCTATATTCTATCTCTTTTGATTTTGGATCCCATGCAGATATAGTGAATATGATGTATTGGTTTTATTTAAGGATCTAATATTGACTCTCTTCAGAGATGTATTTTTTGTTTTTGTTTCTGTTCTCAGAAGTAGTCTGTATGTGTCAGGATTTGAGGTTGATGAGTTTTAATTTTTTTTTTTTTATTTTTATTTTTTCTTCTCCCTAGCCTTTTCACCATGAAAAGTCATTTTCATGAGTGGAAAACATTTGCTTGAGAATGACTGTTAGAATCTTTCAAAGTCTAGAGTGGATTTATGAAAAAGATCTTATTTTTTTTCTTAGCAGTTTTTAGAAGAGATCTTGCTGTCAAATGCAATACATGTATGCAGTACATTTTTAATCCTATTCACCTTGATTTGGGGAGTTATTTTTATGAATCTTATTGCATCACTTGCATTAGACAGATAAGAAGGTTGTAACTCAACAACCTTAAAAGTTTGAGGTGTTTTACTGGAAAGTAAGGCAAATTAATTCAAAAAGGTCATTCTATTCTACATAATATGTCTTTAAGATACATAATTTGCACATAAGACATCAGGATTTATACTTTCCTCAGGAGAGTTGAGTAAAGATGTCTGAATATTTGAGTGTTTGAACTCAGACTTGATTTGATAAAGTAGCACAAGTTTATCATTGTCTAATATGTATTTATGAAGTTTTTTCCTCAAACAGCCATCATGTTAAACTTTAATAACATTTTGATGTGCACGCTTTTTTTCTGTAGTTACTACATGATAGAAGGTTACTGTTTTAACACGATGCTTTCTCACTGGGGAACACCCCATTGTAAGTAAACTTAAGTATTATCACATCCGTCATGAGGAGCATGTATCAGATAATTCCAAAGCCACCTGTGTCATAAACATATCTACAAAACCAAAACCCTTAAAGCTGAAATTAGGCTAGAGGGTTAAAATAAAAATTGAGGGCAATCCAAAGATGTGAACATTTTTACAGCATTGCGGAATTCTCAGGGCACTTTCCCTCAATATAAATCTGAAACCTAGCATTTGGAAAATCCAGTTATTACTTCAGGTTCTGTACAGTCATCCAGAAAACCCACCACCATTGTTTCTCAAACCAGGAAGCATTCTTTCTGGAGAAGAGAGACGATTTTAAAACAAAATAATTTGCTGAGCAGTTACCTTCTGTATAGCTGTGAGCAGCCTAGTGCAACTACTGTATATTTTTTGGTTTTGTTTCTACTTTAATTCTGTACTTTGTCACTATTCCCACACCATCTGTCCCTCTCAACCCAGAATTTTTGTGGGTTTCAGCACCTAAATCACTACATCAGCATTACTTACAGGGATAATTGGTGTATTTATTGTAAGACAGATGAAGAATAAAATGTGGAAATGTTTGCCCTTTCTCTATACCTTTTTAGTTATAAATATTTACGGTGTTTCCTTTTGAAAAATAGTTTGGTCTTTTTCTCATGGTAAAGTTAGTTTTTATCATAATTTGTTCTTTTTTAGATTGACTTGGTTTTAGGTATGTAAAAGCAAAATCCGTGTATAAACTTTTCTAAATTGGTTTTATACATTAAAGGATTGCCTTTGTAGATTTGTTAGATATGTGCTATGAAAATGCCAATACATTTGATATTAAAATTATATCCAGAAGTTGAATGTGATTCTTATCATTCTTCTCCCAGCTGCCATAAATAGCCAGTGAGCTAAGCAGAAGACAGGCCATTTTACTGCTTTTAAGGTATGTGTACGGTATGTGTACAGTATGTGTCTCAACCCAAATTTCTATCAAAGTGAGTGCCTTTTATCAGAGGCACTCATCTGTTGGCCAGACCCAGGCTCAAGAGAGGTGTGTTGCCCACCAGAGGCTAAGATCAGGGATGTTGCTGAGAGGCTTCCTGGTCTAGTAAGTCCCACTGACTATTACCCACTTCTAGTCATTCATGTGGGTGTTACTGACGTAGACAGCAGTAGCCCAGAAAACATTAAGGACTATAGAACCCTGGGAGAGGTGGTTAGGGGCTCTGGAGCTCAGATAGTTTTTTCATCAACCTCTGGGAGAAAGGGGAGGACCTTAAAAAGGCTAGGAGGACTTGGCAGGTTAATAAATGGTTAGAACAATGGTGCCATAGTCAGGGGTTTGGGCATTCAGAACATAGAACTCAATTTGGGAGGCCAGGTCTACTGGAGGCTGGTGGAGCTGGACGCGTTCTGGTAGGAGGCTTGCCAGACTGGTCAAAGATGCTTTAAACTAGATGTGTTGGGGGAGGGGGACATCATTCCACCCAACACTCCCAGTCAATTGCCAGCACCTGTAATAAATGCTCGGAATGATGTAGAGAGATTTCATCCACTCCAGCCAATGAGCTGGCTTCAGTTGGAGCTCAGCTCAGATGCCTCCATACAAAAGCCCATAGTATGGTGAACAAACAAGAGGAATTAGAGATGTGTGCACATCTATGGGGGATAAGATACGATAGGTATCACAGAAACATGGTGGGATGGCTCCTGTGACTGGAGTGTTGGAATAGAAGGTTACAGGCTCTTTAGAAAAGCCAGGCCTGGTAGGCAGGCAGGGGGAGTTGCCCTTTATGTTAGGGATAGGCTGGAGAGTATGGAACTCTGTCTGGGAACAGGTGATTAGTTAAGAGAGAGTTTGTGGCTCAGGGTTAAAGGGAATATAGCTATGGGAGACATTACTGTGGGGATCTGTTACAGACCGCCGATCAAGAGGACTCTGTGGATGAAGCACTCTATAGACAGATAGGAACAGCCTCACACTTGCAGGCCCTTGTGCTTATGGGGGATGTTGTCTGAGAAACTAGGGACCAGGTTAGGAAAGCTAAGGCCCAGTTAGAATTAAACTTGGCTAGGGATGTTAAGGATAACAGGAAGGGATTCTATAGGTATGTCACAAATAAAAGACAGACTAGGGACAGTGTAGGCCTCCTCCAGAAGCTATCAGGAGAACTGGCTACCCTGGATTTGGTAGAAGGCTGAGGTTCCTAATGACTTCTTTGCCTCAGTCTTCACTGGCGAATGCTCTGACCACACCACCCAAGTCTTGGAAGGTAGATGCAGGGACTGTGAGAATGAAGACCTTGGGCCCACTGTAGGTGAGCATCTGGTTCGAAACCATCTTAAGAACCTGAATGTGCACAAGTCCATGGGACCTGATGAAATCCATCTGCGGGTCCGGAAGGAGCTGGCGAATGAAGTTGCTAAGCTGCTGGCCATCATATTTGAAAAATCATGGCAGTCAGGTGAAGTTCCCGATGACTGGAAAAAGGGAAATATAACCCCCATTTTCAAGAAGGGGAAAATGCATGACCCAGGGAACTACAGACCATTCAGTCTCACCTCTGTGCCTGGCAAAATCTTGGAGCAAATTCTCCTGGAAATCATGCTAAGGCACATGAAAAACAACCAGGTGCTTGGTGACAACCAGCATGGCTTCACGAAGGGGAAATCCTGCCTGACCAATTTGGTGGCCTTCTATGATGGGGCTACGGAACTGATGGACAGAGGCAGAGCAGTTGATGTCATCTACCTGGACTTGTGCAAGTCCCACAAGACTCTGTCCCACACAACATCCTTGTCTCTAAATTGGAGAGGCATCAATTGGATGGATGGACCACTCGGTAGATAAAGAACTGGCTGGATGGCCACATGCAAAGAGTTGTGGTCAATGGCTCAATGTCCAGCTGGAGACCAGTAACAAGTGGTGTCCCTCAGGGATCAGTGTTGGGACCGATCTTGTTCAGCATCTTTGTCAGTGGCATGGACAGTGGGATTGAGTGCGCCCTCCGCAAGTTTGCCAATGACACCAAGCTGTGTGGTTCGGTTGATATGCTGGAGGGAAGGAATGCCATCCAGAGGGACCTTAACACTCTTGTGAGGCGGGCAGATGCCAGCCTCATGAATTTTAACCATGCCAAGTGCAAGGTCCTACACCTGGGTTGGAGCAATCCCAAGCACAGCTACAGGTTGGGCAGAGAAGAGATTCAGAGCAGCCCTGCAGAGAAGGGCTTGGGGGTGTTGGTTGATGAGAAAATGAACATGAGCCGTCAGTGTGCCCTTGCAGCCCAGAAAGCCAACTGTATCCTGGTCTGCATCAAAAGGAGTGTGACCAGCAGGTCGAAGGAGGTGATCCTGCCACTCTGCTCTCGTGAGACCTCACTTGGAGTATAGTGTGCAGTTCTGGTGTTCTCAACATAAAAAGGACATGGAAGTGTTGGAACAAGTCCAGGGGAGGGCCACAAGGGTGATCAGGGGACTGGAGCACCTCCTGTATGAAGACAGGCTGAGAAAGTTGTGTCTGTTCAGCCTGGAGAAGAGAAGGCTGCGTGGAGACCTCATAGCAGCCTTCGAGTATCTGAAGGGGGCCTATAAGGATGCTGGGAAGGGACTCTTCATTAGGGACTGTAGTGACAGTACAAGGGGTAATGGGTTAAAACTTACACAGAGGAAGTTTAGATTGGATATAAGGAGGAAATTCTTTCCTTTTAGGGTGGTGAGGCACTGGAATAGGTTGCCCAGGGAGGTTGTGAATGCTCCATTCCTGGCAGTGTTCAAGGCCAGGTTGGACAAAGCCTTGGGTGACATGGTTTAGTGTGAGGTGTCCCTGCCCATGGCAGGGGGGTTGGAATTTGATGATCTTAAGGTCCTTTCCAACCCTATCTCTTCTATGCTTCTATGAGTATTTGTTCTCCAATCCTTATAAAGGCACACAGCTAGTTCACAGCTTCTTGTGGCAAGCAAGGCTGCTTTTTGTCTCAATAGCTTTACAGTTTTTTTCTGTAGGTAGGCTAACAGTCTTGACAGTCTGAATGGCTAGCTTGGGAAATGCATGGACCCATGAGTTGTAACCCACTCCTTTCCAGCCATTCACATTTAACAGAGATGTGGTGAATGCTAGGAAGTGTCTGGAAAAATTTACACTCCAAGTATCTTCAAGCTTCCTTTTTTCCTTGCTAGAACTCCCCAAAGATAACTTTTAGGATGTATAAGGCAGCAGACTGAGTCAGGGACCTTTTTGCACATATCCTTTGCCTCCATTTCCTGTATTAATCCCTGTTTAACTGAAATGGTGGAGTGGCATGATGCTTCAAAGCAAACTGATCTTTTTAAGACTCTTCACCCTACACTCTATAATCTTGGTTTCAAGGAAGTGAATTGTATTCAATTAGTGTTAGATAAATTTGGCTGACCTCACTTCCTGATTTTTCTGCTCTGAATACTTTACAATAATATCACGTGGTGGAAGAGTTGGTGGTACAACAGGTCATGGTGGGCTGAATTTGCTCAGCTGGAAGGCTAAGCAGTCTCGGACCTTGCTTGTCCATGGGAGATGGTTCAGCAGAGAGCTCTCCAGGAGCACAAACAAGAAGTGGTAACTGTGAAATGCAGGGAGTGTCTGCCATCATGTGGCTCTTTGTTAAAGGCGTCTTCACCAAAGTATACTTTTATTTTGCATTTTTTGGTTATAGATGAGTGGATTTAGCTTTTTTAATAAGTTGAATTTGAAAAATGATTATGTTATCTGGGACAGTATGTGCTCTATAGCAGAATTTCAGTGACCATTACCTTGTGTAGAACTATAATTCAGCTCATCACATTTGCAATATGAAAGTGCATGTCCTTTTCAGACACGAATTGTCAGAAAGTTGCTTTTTTATTTTTGGATGTACTCATGTGATCTTGGCATGTTACATCACTAGGATTATACTTACCTTTTTTCCCTAGCGAGGATATTATTTCCTGAATACTTTTTGAAAGCAGATATGATTTGGCTGCTGGAAATAAAGAACTAAGTGTTTAAAATATATAATCATACAGAAGCTGACATAGCCATGCCATAGAAAAGAAAAAAATTGACAGAGATATAAAGCAGATAGTTTTTCTACTGTTCACATTCTGAATGCATTTGAGTTCTTTGCCTATGAAAAAACCCAGCAATGCTGTAAATATGAAGATTCTCCAGGAAAACTTTTAAATTGGGTTTCAGTTTTCACGAAGCACATGTGTTCTGAGGATTTTCTCTAAAAGGATTAGTTGGCATGATTCTTGAGGTAAGTTAGACTTTGCCTATATAAGCATGTATAGTATTTCTTATCTTAATGCAGTTCCTTTTTTGCAGGGTAACACAAGCAAAAAAATTCACAATATTGAAAGCAGAGGTTTAAAACAGTAAAGGCTGGTCTGTGTTATTGAATCCAGGATTGTAATACAGGTACCCATGCTAGCCTCAAAAGTTGCTCTGTCTACCTAGAGATGCTGACTAGGACTTCAAAACATTATGGGCACCAGTGCAATGTTGTTCCTGTGCTTCATACCATCAGGACCATTCAATTTACAGCTCCTGTGTGGTGTACTGTACTTGGTGTTGCTGCTAGTATTGTAGTTAGCTGGTTTGATAGATACAGAATATCTGATTCTGAGAACACTGGGGGTGTTAAAGCAGCCTGGTGGGTAAACTTCAAGTTTAATTTAGTAGTCCTGTGGGGAGAAAAACCCAACGAAAATATGTGAAAATGTGAAAATGAAAAAATCCAATTGAAAAATACCTACAAGAGTCTATTAGATGTCAGGAGGCAGAGCCTAAAAACAAAGGGAAGTTTATTTGATTCCTGTGAGTGTCGCCTGTGAGTAATACTGGAAATTACCAGTGTTAGCTGAACTGCTGGGACTTCAGCAGAGCAGCTAGAAGCGATGAGTTGGAACTGTGTACCTAAGGAGCTCTGTGCAAATGCTCTGCAGACCATCACTGGGGAAGCCTTGGGAATCCAGTTCTGAAATGTTCACACAAAGCTTCTACCAAAAATAGCCCCTTCAGACAAATCAGCAGTTTGGTCAGAGTGATCTGAAGTCAGTAACCAGCAATTCCTGAGTAACACCACCCAGGAGAGAGCCCTGATGGGGTTTTTCTAGTGGTCTCAATGCAGGCTGCCATTGCAGGGCAGCTTCTATACATGTTTCCACAATGAGCTGACCCTGGACAGGAAGGGAGCTAAGAATGCCACTTCTTTCCTTCACTCTGTCCTTTTTGCAGCACTTAGCTGAAAATCTCTTCAGGTACTTCTGTACTAATTTCTTCCTGCTACTTATGTCTGATAATACGTGAACAGAGATGAAAGAATTGCAGCTTGCCCAGGCTTTATCTCTTGGAGAAGCACTGCTTCTAGGATGTGAGGGACAGTGGTGTAACAGCACAAGATTTTCTCCTTTAGCACAGACTCGGGCAGCAGGGCTCTATCAGCTCTGTCACCAGAAGAAACAGTCCTACAGAAAGGTTGCTTTGGTATTATCTACGTAAGCACCAGTGTTTAAGTGAGTCACTGCCTTATTAGATACATCTATTTATACAAGCAGAAGATAAAACACACTGAGACCTTCCACTCGAGACTACTGTGCTCCCTCTGACACTTTGTGGTCAGTGTGATTTAAAAAAAAAGGCATAATTGAAAGGCCAATTTAAAAACGTGGTTAATTAAATGTGAAAGGTGCTGTCCTTGCTTGGACTGTCTCTTAATGGTATGACAAGCTCTGGTAAAGAGCTTAGCTGGCCAGATTAAAATTAAAAAATTGTCTCGGTCCATCTGCTAGCTCCAAGAAGTTTACTTCCATCACCTTTACTTGCTTCTTCACCAAAGCGGAATATTGTCCTTGAAAAGAACATGCCCAGGATTGACTTTTTTTACCTAATGTTTTTTTTCCAAAGGTAATTATATGTGACATCAAAGTACTTTCAAAAAAGGACAATGCTTTTGGTTGGTTCCCGAACACGTTAAATACAGCTCTTCTGCTGAAAGGGATTTTTTTTTTTCCTTGCATATTTTTTGGTGGGTGTTTTTTTGGTTTTTTGTTTTGTTTTTTTTTTTTTTTTACACAAGTATGTTTGGTTTCCTTTGGAAAATCTTTTTTTGCCTTCCAGCTCTGGGAATTAAAGGCGACCTTCAAATAGTTACAGGTAACGCAGAAGTCTTATATATATACTTGTTTTCAAAGTTTACCTATGGCGATGTGTAGAAATAAAAATGCCTCTCTGCTTTAATTACAACAAAGGGGGGCTATAGAGAAATGTTTTGTCAAAACCATGCCATGATATCAGTGTAAATATGGAATACTTGGAGTGATTTCCAGGAGGTATTATTGTACATTTGTGTTGTTTTGCGTGTAGAATGTACCTACAGGAGGCAAGTTTTTCCAACTTTGAGAGACATTAAATACTGGTAAGTTTTTTACTATTTTCTCTAACAATTTTGTATTAAATCTTAAAAAGTGAGATTCTGTCTTCTGCCGAGGGACACTGAAAATATATCAGTTTGAGTAAAGATTGAGCTTTTGCGTTAGTGACTTTTTTACGTTTTCTTGTCCTTCTGATGTACCATCTGATGGTGGACTTCTGCACTAGAGCTGACTATTAACATACCATCAAAATATCCACATTCTTTATCCTTCAGTCATCAAAGTCAAAGGTGCTATTGCCTTTGAAGTATCAGAATAAACCCACAATCTGTGGGATGAAAAACGCCATATATTTATTATTGTTCTTTCTCTAATAAACGATTCATTGTGATTCTTCCTTAGGCATGATTTCCAGGTAAAAAGTAAAAGAAGAAAGTTGAATTAAATAATTCCAGGTTAGCTGACTGCCAGCTGTGGAGGATAAAGAATTAGACTGTCAGACTAAAATCAAATAGACAAATTTTCCTCTCAGAGGTAAAGTTTCCTCTGGAGTGATGTGGAACAACTATTATAAGAGGAAATTAAATTTAAAAAAAAGAAAAAAAAAGGCTTATGAGCCCTTTCCCCCCCTATGTTTTGCTGCTCTACTCATGTAAGGATCTATCTCATGGTGGTGACAGGTGTACCTGCTAGCTGTCAATTCAAGTAGCTTTCTTTTTCCAAGGGGTATAAATGTTTCATGTGGACAGAAAGTATAAAAATTAATCATTTATTTAATTTCTGGTCCTGAAAGCTTCTAAATACATGTTTATTCTCGCAAGTATAGTCCCGTTGGCTTAAACCAAATCACAGAAGGGAAATTAAACACAGCATTTGGCAGTCAAAGGGTTAGAGCTTTAGGTTGTGTTGCTATTTGATGGGATGCTGTAAAAAGCTTAAGGTTGTCTATAATAGTACAGTCATACAGACAGGTTTTGTTAAGAGAAAAAAGCAGTTATGCCTTTCAAAGACCATAACAATGGCATTAAGGTACATAAGATGGCGTTGCTATCTCATCTGAGAAATTTATGTGTCATTTTAATTTTTACAGCAGAAGGTTATTCAGCTACAAAAGCAGGACAGGCTAAAGATGTTCCACCAGCCCTTCAGCTCAGTGACTGGCATTTGGCAAACCCTTCTCTGCCTCCGGAGTTGAAAAAGCTTAATGGCATCATGGAGGCTGAACAGGTCAACAAGCATTTGCTGTTAAGAAGGAAGCGATCCATTCTGTTTCCCAGTGGAGTTAAGATCTGCCCTGATGAATCTATTGAGCAGGCTATTGCCAACCATCTGAAATATTTCAGGCTCAGAGGTAAGTGACTGTACGTTTCATGAGTAATTGATAGAGAACATTAATTAAAAAAAAATAGATGAAGCTTTAAACATAATAAAATACCATGTCATAAGAAATACATTATTACCCAAGAAACTTAGTTTTCTGTCATAACCTACCTTATGATAGCTGTTCTGAGCTAAAAAACTACCTTCTGGTTAAACTCATGTCATAAAAACTCTCAGTCCCTCAAACCACAGATAGTGTTTAATAAATACTAATCCTCTCTCATAGAACAATTTGAATTCTAAGAAAAATAGATGTTATGTACAGGTTAGCTAAATGGCAGAGGTTCTTGTTTTTATACAGTGTTCTTCCAGTGCTATTAGAATTCACTGAGGAATCTTTCAGAAAAGAGTCAAGTCTAAGACACCGATGTCTCAGCCATGTGACTTTTGATAAGGCTGCTTGTGGAAAGTGTAGTATATATTCTGTCTAGAAAGCCAATTCAGAAGAAATTATTAGAGAGGAGAAGGAGTTGGTCTCATGTTGCCTCAAAATAGAATATTCAGCCTGATTCAGTGCTCCTTGTCACTGTACATGTTTCAACTCTTAACTAGGATTTAACTGGGATTAAACTCCAGCACTGCCCAGTTAGTTACACAAATGGCCAGAAAGCCACCCTGCCCCCTACAAGGTGCCCAGTGCTGTCATATGGTGCTCCTTCTGTTAACCTCAGAAATCCCTGAGCGCAGACTGAGTGTAATAGGCTAATTGTCTCTTAAGTGAGATAAGTGCATTCTGAACGGTAATCTGGCAGGAGCCACAGATACGCTGTATCCACTTCAGGTGCATGAAAGGTAGCCATACAGGAGAATTTCAGAGAGAGAGCGAGTGAGGTCATTGCATCACAGATCATAGCTGGAGGTTTTGAAAACAATGGAGAAGTTGTTAGGGAAAGAAGCTTCAAATAAAGAAATTTTTCACCACTTCCTGCAGATGTGTATGACTGAAAAATCTTGTGCCTGCCTGTGTGGTTTTTTTTTTTTTTGCTTAAACCACAATTTATCTGGCGCTTTACAGGATATTCTCTATTATTTATTAATATTAATTGAGCATAAAGACCTCATTTGCAGCAAATAAGCTCCCAAAGGCTGGGCTTTTTTATGCTGGGATTGACAAAGTCTCACTACATGCCCGACTTTCTGAGGCAGACTTTGAAACCTGTTATGACCTTTAAAAATCAAGACCTTGGCTACCTAAGTGTCTATAACACTTGCTCAAGTGGAAGTTTGCACAAGGGCATGGGCCATACATGCTGATCTTTCAATTTTTTCCTACCTCCTTTCTCACCTTGAAGATGATTATCTCAGTGATGAGTTCTCGTTTCTTAGGCATTTCAAGATAGACTACATGCAAAATGTTGTATATGCATGCAAAATAGTCTTTGGAGAAAAACTGCAGAACAAGTCGTCTGGTTCTCATTCTTGGTTTGAGTTCTGGTTTATCATGTCAGTCAGTTACATGTCTTCTACATGCCTGCTTCCTTTCCTGTAGACAGCTGGAACGATTGCATCTCTGTAGCAGGGAGCCTCTCTTTATCTCATAAGTCTTCATTTTGTTAACACTGGAATTCTTCAGGGGAAAACTGCAGAGTAACAGTGAGACCAGTTAACACTAAAATACAGGTTAGTTATTACTGCAGCCATGGGATGAAGGAAGTAATTTTCTAGAGGAGCTTACCTTCCCACCCACGTGTAGCTTCAAGGTTCTCAGCTTGCTGACTTAAAAAGATTGATCTTGATTTTCTGATGAGTTTAATCAGTATTGTTTGCCAGGGATTAGAGACCTCATCACAAATCCTGTCTTCTCCAGGGCCTCATGTTGCTAATGGTGTCCTATATATCTGTGCCTGTGGCTATCCCTGCAGCAGGGCAGTGAAAGTTTGGTGTGAGATGTAGCCATAAAGACAGGCTTTTCTCACATACCTTGAGGGCTGTTTGGTTATTCAGGTGGCACATGGCTTGCACTGCTGGGTCTGCTCAGGAGTTCTTTCCTGATCCTGGCAGGCCTGGCTGCTCTGTGGGTTGGCCTTTAAGGGGTTTGTAGCTAGTCTGATTGTCTGATTCCTGGAAAAATCGTAACACAAAGTCTGTACAGCAGATTTGTTTTTCTTAATAGTAACAGTGTGAGTACATTAACAGGGCACATTGTATTAAGCAAGCTTCAGTCATAACTCTGAACTGCTGGGCTCCTGACAGTTTGTTGTAAGCTCTGATGATGCACTTTTTTCCATTCCCTATCTACTTGAAACATTTTATATTTAAAATTTAAAGTTATATTGCTAGTCAAAAAGCTTACTGGTAAACTTGTTTGGTTCCTGTGTCTGGCCCTATTTCCCCCCTCTCCTTTTATTTCTAGTTTTGTTTAAATGAATTGCTATTTTAAATATTAGTCAAAAGTTACTTCATTTATTGGCAGCGTATGTAGATAGCATATGTAGCTTAAATACTGGCAAGTTGCTGGAAAGTCAGAATGGAAGCATAGTGAATTATTTTTATACAGTAACATATATTTACTGAAGCTTTCAGTCAAGGCTGTTTAACATTGTTTACATTTTAATGTCAATGAGTTTTGTCTACAGAGTCTCAGAATGTTTATAATCAGGTTATGAAAAACATGTTTTTCTTCTATGGGGGTTCTTCAGAGCCTGTTGATAAGAAGCTTTGAAAAAACTCCCTTGCCACCACTCTCAGACTAGTCAGGAGGAAGAAATTTTCCTTCTGAATACTGAAGCCATTTGCACCATGTTGTTCAGCTTGTTACTGCTCATGGCCATGGAAATGGCTGGATAGGACACAGGCTAAAGAGGACACAATGTGACTCTTTATCTGCATCCCCTTTCCTCCTTCCACAGAAAATATGACCCTGCTCTGACATCTTAGGTCTGGTTAATGGGCTTCAAGCCCACAGATGGCACAAAGCCTTTAGGCTTGGAATTCAGTGAGGTGTCTAATTGCAAATGAAAGGACCCACAACAAATCCTTAATCTACTGGGACCTGACTGGGACAACTGTTCCTAGAGCAGCAGCTTGTATTCAGGCAATGTCTCATCACATTTATTTTAATATAAGAGATTAAACATTTAAGAGCATTAAGGAAAATTGCTTTCAATTATTACTGCCAATTACTGCTTGCAACTGGAAAGCCAGTTCTTTGCCTGTTGCTATTTGAAAACTGTGAGATTAGACAGTGCCACTGCAATGTGTTTGCAAACTAGTGCCATAGCTTCAACTCTTACTGATAGCCTGCTGAAGACTTAGCCCAGCCACAGGGAATAATGTCATTGCAGTATTGTTGCTGTACAATGCACCTGGATTGAAAGATCCATCAATCAGAAAGTATGCAGGATACAAGTACTTCTAAAAGAAATGAAAGCAAATTATATTCTTTAGTGTAGGCTTCTGGATTTGAAACTAGATTTTAGATTTAGTGTTTCCTGGATGCCCTGCTCTTATGAGTGTGATGGTAGAGAGAATGCTTGTTGTGGTTTGAGCTCAGCTGTAACTCAGAAAACCACGTAGCTGTTCTCTCACTCCTCCCCCCCCTCTTTCTATACCCCCCCCCCCCCCCCCCCCCCCACTCCCAGAGGGATTGGGAGAATAATTGAAAGAATGTAACTCCCATGGGTTGAGATAAGAGCAGTCCAGTAACTAAGGTATAACACAAACCACTGCTGCTGCCACCAATAATAATAATGATAAGGGAAATAACAAGGGAAGAGAATACAACTGCTCACCACTGATACCCAGCCCGACCGAGCAGTGATCTAGCCCTTCCGACTAACTGCCCCCAGTTTATACACTGAGCATGATGTGCTGTGGTATGGAATACCCCTTTGGCTAGTTTGGGTCAGGTGTCCTGTCTCTGCTTTCTCCCAGCTTCCTCTTCTCCCTGGCAGAGCATGAGACTCAGAAAATCTTTGGTCAGAGTAAATATTACTAAGCAGCAACTAAAGACATCGGTGTTATCAGTGCTGTTCCCAGGCTGAAAGTCAAAACCACAGCACTTGCACCAGCTACTAAGAAGGAGAAAAATGACTGCTACTGCTGAACCCAGGACAATACTACAGATCCCATTCTGCTTCAGGAAACTTATTAGTACTCCAGCAGGATCCAGAAATCCAGAGCAGGATTATGGCTTCATTGCCTGAGGTCTGTGCAGAGGTCGTACAGAAATGTTGTCCCTGTCTTAAAGAGTTGCTTCCTTAGCTGCTGAGGAAACAAGCATAACTTGAGGCAGAAAGTCAGAGGATGCATGGATGCTTGTGAATTTGGCTATTTTTTTCTGATTAATACAGATGCATAAGCAAAACTGATTGGAAGCGTCTCCAATACTCTTTACTGTGTATTACAAATAAAGTTAACTACCTGGAAGCTGGAGGGGTGCTAGAGCAGTCACATGCTGCTGAGAGTTAATAATGCAGAGTTTGAAGACTGCATTCTTCTCTAGTCACACATACCAAATGAGCTACAAGGCTAATTATTTTCATACAGGAAAACTGTCAGGAGTGTGATATGGAAATGAGAGATATCTGTGTATCTGTAGAATGGAGAAATAGCCTCAACTGCTCTGATAAACTGAAATTAGAGGTGGAGAAAAGAGAGCTTTTTCTGTATGGTGCAATCAAGTGTGCCAGAATCAGCCAAGCTTCATGGGTGCTACTGCCTGTGAATCAGTTCCTTAAGGTTGTTATTTATAAAGCCTTTTCATTTAAGAAAAATGTCCATCTCTTGGTTACATGAAAGTATGTTTCCATGTGTGTTCTATGTGTTAAGTTTTATGCAAGTACATTTAACCAATTTTGTAATTCAGAACACAGAGAATCAAGAAGAAATAGCAGTAATGTACTGCTTTTTGGCAGCCTGGAGCTGATTTTTAAGCACATTGAAGAAAGAGACTTTCTAAAGATAGATTCATGGTCAGTCTCCTGTAGGGTCTTGCTTGCAATGTCAGGACTTATCCTGAGTGCAAAGCATTCCTTTGCTGAACTACGTATATAACTATATACTAGTATATATAGTATAACATACTGTATAGATACTGAAATCTGATTAAGGCTGAGCAGCAGGTTTGTCTGCCACTACTCCAGGCTGGCATTTTCTGCAAGTGATTTTTAGAGTTGTTCTCCTTTTGATGTTTTTCTCTTCCAGGACACAAAGAAAATCCTACAAATCTTCCTTACTTCCAGTTATCCTGGGTCACAGAAGGTTCTTCCTTGGGCATTATGTGACCAACTCCTCTGACTGGCAAAGAGCACATGTGCAGGATTGGGAGGTTAAAGCAGCTGTCATAGTACAAGAGAATTTAACCCTTAATTCACACACTCTCTGTTCAGTCAGAGATGTCCAGTTCTTTGTCAGTGCATACATATATGTTATTGGGTCATTATCCTCATTTTTCAAATTACTAATGTAATTATAATTTCTGAATCTTTAAGTTCTGTGTAAAGGTGAGTCCAAAGGAATTATTACTGGTTGAGTCTCTAAAACTTTGATCAGTGCCACTATTATTCTTATTAAGTTAAGCTCCAGGTCTACTTTCTGTGAGGGCATTTGCAGTACTATTTTGGTTTTCTAAGTTTTCTAAAACTTTGACCCACTGATCAAGGGTAGTTTCACTCAGTGAAAATACTGTTGTTCTTGATGGTTTTTAGATGACAAGTGTGCTCTCTCTTGCTTTCTTTTCAGTAAAAAAGCCAGGGAGGAAAGTAGTATGAGTGTGAAAAATAGGACATTTAGCTGTAGCTGTCTAGTCACTGCATTCTATCAATTCCTTAGACATTTAGCTGCAGCTGTCTAGTCATTGCATTCTATGTATTAATGTACTAAAAACCATAGAACATTTGGACAATGCTATCCTCACCACCAATGCCGTGGAGGCATTCTCTTTGTACTAACACCAGACCTTTCTTGTGCTGTCAGTGTGTCAGGAAACAGTCTGGGAGGTGTTCAAGACGTTCTGGGATAGACTGCCAGAGCGTGAAGAATACCACACCTGGATGAGCCTGTGTGAGGAAGGAACGATGAGTATATTTGAAATGGGCATGAACTTCAGTCAGTCTGAGGAGCACCGAAGTCTGATTGTGAAGGTGGGTGCAGCAGCTGGTTAGTGTTTTTTCATGGGCAAGTGTATAATGTCCCACTGCAACATGCAACTTGGCATATTGCAGGCAGTAACAAGGGGAGCCCTTAAAATGGACAGGCATGAGTATCACAGCGCTTAGATCCATAGTTCTGAGACCATTTCCAAAACCAAATTTTAGCTAATCTAATAAAGAGAAAGGCAACAATGACAAAGAGAATGTTGGCTTAAATAGGTATGTTCCTGACAAGTAGATGACGTCCAGACTCCTTGCCTGAAAAGGCAGCAGGCAGCATGATATGAGGCAGGCTGTGGTGCATTGCCCTCTGTGGTGTGTAGCAGCCTTCCTACTCTGAACTGCACATGGAGATCCCTTCAATCCAAATGCACTTCGAAGCCAAAAGTTCTCAGCTGTATTTTCTGATGCTATCAAGACAAACGGCAGAATTACCTGACTGTCAGTTGCTGTAGATTTGTGATGCTTAGTGTGCTGCAGCCTGACTGAAATAAGTGTGGTTATGAATATAAAAAGCTTTGGTGTCCTATGAAGGCAACTGGTAACACTGTCACTGTGGGGAGCTGCAGAGGTTAAGATCAGGGTACAAGTGTAAAAAATTTAAAAATTGCTGAATATCTTCATATATTTTCCGTTGTTTCAGTTGAAACAAGCTTATTTTAGCTTAAATAAAAAGAATAGGCTTCTTTAGTTTAACTTACTATCTCAACTGAAATATGAAGATGCCTCTTCAGGAGTTTGCATTTTAAAATTAAGTGCTTAACTTTGTACACATCTAAGATACAGTAGATATCTTAATTTCTCTGGATAAAAGGCTACCTTAAAATGTATGGTGATTTATGGATCATCTTAAGATTACAATGTCTTCTATTTTTGCAAACTAATGGATGAGTAGTTTTATGACACTTATGATAACTCTAAAATATATGAGCCCATAGAATCAGTAATGTTTTGTGAGTATGGATGTGCTGACATTCTGCCTTTCTGCCTGTTTTGGACTCCTATGGTAGGAATGTGAACTAGAGGATGAGTATGAAAACTGTTGTGGATAATGGAGAGAGGGGTTTTTTTCAGAGTCTGCATGTTAGCCTCAACAGGTGTATGCTAGCCGAAGTTTGCCTCTGTGATGTCTGATGGTAGTTTTGTCCTTAGAAGACTTGGCAAAAAGATGGACACAAATAAAATTAATGTGACCTTTTTATGCTCACAGTGAATAATACTTGAATAATAATTGTATGTTTGAATAATAATGTGAATATATTCACAGTAAATGTGTTAGTGATTTATGAAGCATTTTGGCAGTGAGATGATCTATAGTTTATTAAAAGAAATCAAGATAATTCTTGGAAGCAAGATGATGCATCTAAGCTCCCACTGCTGCTTTACCTTTTTGGGTATATGCCCCTTCAGCATTACCACAGAATCAGCTGAAGTGCTTTGTGTTTGGTGATTTAGTCAGATGCTTTACGTGTAATTTAGGTTTCCTTTCTCCTGTAGATGGATATATTCCCTTCAACATTGCACTATTATGGAAAAAGACTGTTCATCCTTCTCTTTGCTTTCAGCACAGTTGATAAAAGCTGATGGTTGTTGGCTTGATTTGATGGGAGATTGATCTGTGTTAAAGGAGATTGAGTGCTGTCACCACTGCGCTCCACAAGAAATGTCATGAATCTGTCAAATGACTTATTTTGAAATAAAGGCTTGAACTCAAATTTGAACTAAAGACTGAAGGCAAGAGCTCTCTATCCCATCCCCCAGTCAGCCACCTTGAGAATGTTGCATTTTTGAATACATAGGTCAGAGTGCAGATTTAATTGCTAACTCTATTACTGACTTATGTTCGGCCATAGTTCTTTGTCTTGCCATTACATGCCTCATTAAATACCATTGTTTCTAATCTTCGCTGCTCTCCAGTGTCTGTGAGCCATCTGTGGCTAATTTCAAGAATTTAAGTTAGAGCCAGCAGCTGATCAAAGTATTTCTGCTTTTCCTTTGGTATATATTGGTTATTACTGCCACATTGATCTGCCACCTCTTCTGGCACTCTTATTCTAGAGTGTCTTTCTGTATTGCTTTGTGGTAGATGGCAATATGAGATTCAATTTTTAGAAGTGCTGCATGCCATGATTATTGCCTCTCTCAAAAGGGCTTCAGCATATCTGAAAATCAGCTCTCTATAAATAACTTGGTAAAATAATTGCTCTCAGGTTATTTTTTTTGTGGTAGCATGGAGTTTCTGTTTTGAGCAGTGTAATTAAATTACACTTTATTAGCCTTCTTTCTTGGTTTGATTTCTTACCCTTTCCTCTAATCCCTGGTAATCACTGTCACACACTTAGAGATGTTGTGATGTCCTCTCCAGCATGGCTTAGGCTCATGTAAATAAATCAATTTCTCTTGCTTTTGACACACTTTTTACTGGATATCAGATGGAGCTTAGACCAGCTCTAGTCCCAGCTCTCATACTTCTTTCTTCAGGAAATGGTTGCTGGTGAGAAGGATCTCTGTGGCATGTGCACCTTTTGGTGGGGCTGAGAACCAGCAGTTGAGAGCTAGCTGTGGAAGGAAAGGAGCTTGTAGTAAAGCTTTGTCTAAGAAGCAAAAGATAAACAGTTTCTCTGGGAATCCCCAAAACTGTGACAGGAGGTACTCACCTACCAACAGTCAAAGCAAAAAGCTCCTGGGACAAGATACAAAACCTGCAATTGTGTTGACCCAGGACTGACTGTTCAGCCCATCAGCAGCTCTCTTTCTTTCAGTGTGTTTAGAGTACAGACTTGCTGTTCAGTGGCAGGAACTAGGATTCCTCCTCATGGATGCAAAAAAAAAGAATTTCTTCTGTTGCCTTATTTTGAGCCATTATGTCAGATTTCCTTCACCCTCTTTCCTATCCCTACACTTACTATTATCCTATTGACTTTGGTTCTTTCTTTTTTGCATTGCAAGTTTTAGCCTCCTCCAATTTAAAAAAGCACCAAAACCCACCAAAACTTCACCAGACATGCAAGTAGATTAATTAGCTCCAGTTACTTCTCCCAGTCATGTCTCATCTCCTTTTCATCTCTTAAGCTCCCTGGTCACTCTCCTCCAGTTCCAGCCTTAATCTTCCTTTTCAGTATCTCTGACACCTGGCACAGCAAAGAAACTATCAGCCATGAAGCCTGTCTCATCTCTTTCCAGGCAGAGCTCAGAACCGATGTTTCATCCTCATCATCCTTGTCTGATCAGCTCCTTTACAAAGCTGTACTTCTTCCTTGTTTTTCCTGTTTTCCACCTTGTTTCTAGATAGCTCTGCTAAACGCACACTGAATAATCACTTCCATTTGAGAGTTTACCTCTACTGTGGAGATGATTTCTCCTGGAAAAACTGGGCCCTTAAGTTGTTTCTGACACCTTTTGTGGATCTCTAGCTTTCATTTTGAATTGAACAGGGTTAAATCAATTTCTGTTTCACTAAGCTTTCCCTGCTATCTCTCCTCTTACTCACTGTAGACCATCATTTTCACAGTTTTAATGGTGACTGATAATTCTGTTAGCAACTCATTTGTAATTTACAGCTTTTAACTGTTTTTGCAATAGATTCACAGCATTATGTACCAATCAAACCTAAAGGAGACACTCTGCCATTATTTCGCAAAGCTGTTGAACCCAGTGGGTGATTTTGTCTGAGAATCAATGTTGAAAAGTCAGGGTATTTAAACAGTCATTTAAAGTATTTAATAGAATCATAGAATCATAGAATAGTTAGGGTTGGAAAGGACCTTAAGATCATCAAGTTCCAACCCCCCTGCCATGGGCAGGAACACCTCACACTAAACCGTATCACCCAAGGCTTCGTCCAGCCTGGCCTTCAACACTGCCAGGGGCGGAGCATTCACAACCTCCCTGGGCAACCTATTCCAGTGCCTCACCACCCTAACAGGAAAGAATTTCCTCCTTATATCCAATCTAAACTTCCCCTGTTTACGTTTTAACCCATTACCCCTTGTCCTATCACTACAGTCCCTAATGAAGAGTGCCTTCCCAGCATCCCTATAGCCCCCCTTCAGATACTGGAAGGCTGCTATGAGGTCTCCATGCAGCTTTCTCTTCTCTAGGCTGAACAGACACAACTTTCTCAGCCTATCTTCATATAGGAGGTGCTCCAGTCCCCTGATCATCCTAGTGGCAATCTTTAAAGTTATTTTATTTCATGAAAGATATGATTTGCAATGAAGAGAGAGTCATCTGTACTGAATTAGGTGAATTAAGGAATAAGCCAGCTACACTATGGCTGTCATTCAAAGCCAATCATATAGGCTTTGCTAGCTTACTACAAAATTGGATGAGAATGTGTTAATTTGATGCCTTTTTTAAAAGAATGTAGATGTGGGGGCAGTATGTCCATGTCTGTAGGCCTTGGCCATTGAAATACTAATTTGGCATTTAAGGTTTGGTTCTCACAAATTCTTCTTGTAAGTTATTGAATAGAAGACTTGAAAATAACAAGATATAATGGCTAAGTTCTGGGACCCAAGCTGGGGAAAGGTGGATGCAACCAGACCCTCAGGCTGCCCTAGAACAGAGCTCTGGACAAGGCACCCATCAGTGGGGCATATCGGTTTCCTTGCTCTACGAAATGATCAGGACTATGCTGACCTCTGCTGTCAATGGCCTTTGAGTAGCAGTGAGTAAAGCTGCTGGGTACAGACTACCAGTATTAAAAGGATGTGTAAGGTCCCTAATAACCAGGTCTGGTTTTAATGGCACTTGCAAGCTGCCTTGACTGAATGAATGAAGTCTCTTTTTCTAATAAACAAACACTGTTTATTACATGGGCTACTACTTACATATAACTTTCCAAAAGTAGAAAGGGAATCAGTCTCTGTTGCTTGCAGATCCCAGCACACTAAAGCTGAGTACAGGCACTGTGTAAAGCTATGTAATGACCCCTTAAAAAAACTACCCAAAGGCCAGTATATTTCCAGTGGCCCTGAGTTAGACTTTTCACTGTAGACTACCTAGTCTTGCTAGATTTTTTTGTTTGCCACCAGTAAAACTGGTCTTACTTGTTAGTGTTTCATACTAACATACCTCCAAATACTTCATTTAGTGGGCTTCTATGATAAAGATTGTCAAAAGATATGCTGAAAAGCAAACTAACTGAAATTAGTATTTTGGCAAGCCCTCCTCAGGCTGACATTCAAGCTGCCTGCCGTTCTAGCTGTCCACAGATGTTTTGGAAAGAAGAGAAATGTAGTCATTGACATGGCTGCAAATAAATAAAGACTGAGCTTCTACACTTAGAAACACAGGTGAAAAGAATGAGCAAGTTAACCTGCTCAAAAAGTCTCTTTGCCTCTTCACCCCTCCTTCACAAAAAGAATCAACAGGGTATCTTTGAGAGACAGTCCTTAGATCCGTAAATACATATGGGTGTTTTGCTGAGAAGTCTCTGAAGTGGAAATAGTATGTGGTCAGTAAATTGTAATTTAACTTCAAAGTTGATCCACTTTGGGTTGAATTTTTACTGAAAAATAAAAGTATATTATGTCAAGAAGGCCAGCCCAATGAACAAAGATCAAAACAACTCCTTTGTCCCCCAAAACCAGAAAGAAAAAGAAATTTTGTGGCTGGACAATAATCTTCTATAAGTATTTTATATTCTGTTCACATTGGTGGTGTGGCAGGATACAGCATTACTCCTCAACAGCCATCATGCTGCAAACTGCTCAGGATCTTCTCCAGTTCTTGTGGGGCTCCTCACAGAAACTCCCATGACTCCTCTCTAGAACCAATGGCACTGATACCATGAGAATTTTGATGAAAAATTGTGATTTGTGTGGCTTTGCCTTAGTCTTTATACACTAGTAAATGAAAACTTGTCACCCCTGTCACTTGTATAACCAAAACCAAAGTCATCAGACTGATCTTACTATGTTACTTTAAGATGTAACTGTACTTTCAGAAAGATGGTTTTAAATCTATGGGTGACTATCAGAAGTAATATTGAATCTCTTAAGATTGCTTGCTGAAAGGGATCTTATTGCTAGCCTCCTAGAAGGTGGAGAACAATGCAAGAAAACACAGAGCATCTCCTGATAAACCTGGTGCTCTTTACAGTGTCTGTTGTTGAGTTTCAGTTGCATTTTGGAAATGTGGGACACATTTCTTGTCAGCAGGAAGTTTTAAAATAAATTTTGAACTTAACAAATGAACACAGAACAAAGAAAAGAGAATTATTTTTGCACAGAGGAGAAAACAAAGTGATATAAGCTGCATTTCAATTTCTTTCACCTTATGATGCGTAAATATATTTAGAATTTGTTTGTTTGTTTTCCAGAAAATGTCCTATACAAAGGAAAAAATGGGCAGGTGAGTATCAGGGTTTGCCTTGCATTTTAGTCTCTCTGGAGAGGACAACAGGGCTGAGTTTTGACATTTTGTAACTTTTTCTTTCTTTTTCTTGTCAGCTTCTGCACTGACTGGTCATGTGGGTAAGTAATTTTCCTTTTTTAAAGGCTCCAGATTTGGTGCTTTCTCCAGTTGGTGTTGATTTGTGCACTGAAAAAGAACATAATTCTCCTTTGTGCGAAACAGCATATTTAAAAGTGTGGCGGAGAAATCCTGTGGTTCTTGCATGTGAATCTCTGACCTGGCATGCTCAAAATATCTGAGCTGATCTGGGACTTGTACTTTTGCTTAAGTATGTCATCACCTTGTTGGCTGCCAGGCGCAGACGCAGACTCTTTACCTGAAGAGGTTTAGTGGGCGAAATCTATTCTGGGAAAGAGATGTGTCTGTAGTTACTTGTGTTAGTATTCCAGTTATCCTGCACAGCTTTCCCAAAGGCTTTAAGTTAGTTTTGGTCATCATTGCAAAAAGTAAAAAAAAGGGCAATATGTTTTTGAAATGCTTTAAGAAGCCATAACTGTTGAGAGATGTGATCTAAAACCAGGTACAAGGGAATTGGCTGCTTGGGCTCCTCATATTTTTTAACAAGGCAGTAAAAATGAAAACTAGTCTGAGCTGTGGCTTCATTTTACCAAAGCAAACCTGAACTTGACCTGTTATTACCATGTCTTTTTTTGAACTGAAAAGAAAACCAATCCATATTATTATTACTCCATTCCTACTCAGAATTTAATCTGTTCTTTTTAGAGCAATTCAAACCCAAACAACCTAGTGCTGAACTCATCTGAAAAATTGGCAGGTTCAATTCCCTGCTTTTACAGGCCACATAAAACTGTGATAAATATGACTAATTAATTTATTGAGAAGAGTAATGACTTCAAATAACCCACCTTCCCAAATTAGGTACCCTCATAATGATTTCATGACCACAACATTGTTTATTAAATTTCATAACATGAGATGATAAGGGCAAAAGTGATTCTTGAGAGACTGGTGTGTCTCTGTCCTCTTGAGCTGAACGCTCCTCTGTCAAGGGCGCTCCCTGAAGCCTCCATGTCAACTGGGTAACATACATTTGTTTGGAACTTTCTCTGTTGAGAATGCAACATTGATCTAACCTTTATATGCTTTTCTTTTCAAAGAGAGATTAAGTAAAAAAAACCACACCCAGACAAAACAAAACTTATCCTTGTAAGGATAGGACCTAGGACCCAGTCTTATTCTTTCTCATTAGCAGCAGCCATTCTCTAGATAGACTGCCTCTTTACACAAATGGAATGACATCTTATGTATCAGAAAATGTGAAGAGATACAGTTTGAATGTTGAAAATTCTGAAAAAATTAATCTTTCTGAAGAAGCTTGAGTTTGAAAACCTGCTGTATCCCTCTAGGTGATCATTCAGGAAATCTAGAAGATGTAGAGATATGTGAGAGGAACTAGAGTCAGCACTAATTAATCTAGAGTCACTGCATGCACTGGGCTAAACAACTTAGCAATGTGAAGAGCCCAAAATTTGATTGAAAGGTGGATCAGAGTGGTTATTGTACTTGTAGAGAAGCCATCTTATCAAGTGCTTTATGACAGTTGTTAAAGGGACTTCAGTAGACAACTGACAAACTTTACCCAACTGAATTCAATATCGGGCTGTATTACATCTCTCTCAACAGTACACTGCTTTTATCCCAGTATATATTACTTCAGATTGTTCATAGCTTTAGGATGGGATCTTTGTTGTCACTGTCAGTTTAAACTTCAGTTAAAAGTTGTTGTCTGTCTTCTGCTTGTATATGATACTGTTTTATAGCATAAAGAGTATGATACAAGACTGGAGCAGTGAGATAGAAATAGATTTACTCTGGATAATGGAGCATCAGGAAGAAATTAATATAAATTACTTTGGCAATATTGAAAATCCCAAATTTTTTCTAATAGTGTTCTGGACATCTTTTAGCATCCATGGTTTAAGATGTGAGGTTTGTAAGCCAAGGTCATATAAAATCAAAGCCATGATTGGCCATCATGGGTAGAAGATGCCTCATTTAACATCAGATGTCTTCCATCAAGAGGACTGAGTGAGCCATCTCAGTATTGCCAACAACTAACATTTATTAATTCATGCAAAAATAAGCTAGGCCTCCCAGTGCACATCAGAATAAAACTAAGACCTTTTTGAAGCGTTTTGTAAGAAGTCAGAGTAGGTCCCAACTCAGGATCACCGCAATCCCTAAGGCACAGTGTGGGAAATTCAGCATCATTTTCTTCCTGCAGAGAAGGAGATGTTAATGAGATTCTGCATTTCCTGGGCAATGCTGTCATCACCTGCTGCTGATCCACATGTGCAGAGAGAGGCTGGTCCGGAGCAGGGCAGTGTTGTGATTTGAATGTGAGTTTTGACACCCAGCTGTGCCACCTGTGTCAGAACCGGGAACTGTGCTGCTCTTGTGTCTCAAGGGATGGCAGGACTATCCTAAAACACCAACTTTGGGTATCTAGGTGAGATGTTTATGTAAGGCTGCCACACTGTCAGGGAAGGACAGGCTTCTCCAGAGGATGTCTCGAAGCAGGGGTCTAACAGGAATGTTCTGACTTGTCTTCTGGTGAACTCCAGTTGCTGTGATGATTGTGCAGAAGCAGTGATTTCAGTTCAGAGGCCAAGCACTAAACATATTTCTCAGTCTGTTTTCCCACTGATGAGAACACAGGAAATTTTGCAGTAGGTTTGTTTTGTAAAGCATAGTCAAGGCACAAGAAACTAAAGGAGTATTTTTTTTTTATGAGCTTTGACCAATCTTATTATTTTACTGTGAAATAATTATTTCTGTGAAACAATTTCTTAGTTTGGGGCTGATCTGGAATGCAAGACAGGCCCTTGATATCTGTTGATCATTTTAACCACACTACCTTTCTAGATGTCCTACACCTGTATCAGAGCAATCCCAGGCACAGCTACAGGTTGGGCAGAGAAGAGATTCAGAGCAGCCCTGCGGAGAAAGGCTTGGGGGTGCTGGTTGATGAGAAAATGAACATGGGCCGGCTTCAGTGTGCGCTCGCAGCCCAGAAAGCCAACCGTATCCTGGTCTGCATCAAAAGGAGCGTGACCAGCAGGTCGAAGGAGATGATCCTGCCCCTCTATTCTGCTCTTGTGAGACCTCACCTGGAGTATTGTGTGCAGTTCTGGTGTCCTCAACATAAAAAGGACATGGAACTGTTGGAACAAGTCCAGAGGAGGGCTACAAGAATGATCAGGGGACTGGAGCACCTCCCGAATGAAGACAGGCTGAGAAAGTTGTGTCTGTTCAGCCTGGAGAAGAGAAGGCTGCGTGGAGACCTCATAGCAGCCTTCCAGTATCTGAAGGGGGCCTATAGGGATGCTGGGGAGGGACTCTTCATTAGAGACTGTAGTGACAGGACAAGGGGTAACGGGTTAAAACTTAAACAGGGGAAGTTTAGATTGGATATAAGGAAGAAGTTCTTTAGTGTAAGGGTGGTGAGGCACTGGAATGGGCAGTCCAAGGAAGTTGTGAATGCTCCATCCCTGGCAGTGTTCAAGGCCAGGCTGGACAGAGCCTTAGGTGACATGGTTTAGTGTGAGGTGTCCCTGCCCATGGCAGGGGGGTTGGAACTTGATGATCTTAAGGTCCTTTCCAACCCTAACTGTTCTATGATTAAAGCAAAGCTGTGCTGAAAGCTATAAACAGCTGTAGAAATGAAGAATTGACTTAATTTAATACATTTCATAATCCCACCTAGATATCAATACTGTGTCTCTATCTATCTGGAAAAATCTAGTTTCAGCTTGTTAAATGCTAGGGTAGTTTTAGTGTAGCCTACAGGAGATGGCTTCTACTTGTGTAATATAGTTCCCAGAATAACTCACAATCTGGTATTACTGACAATTACGTAACAGCAGGATGAAAGTTTCTTCCTGTAAGGCTGCACACATTCACACAAGTTAAATGCTCAGGTAGCCTGCATTTTAAAGGAACTAAGAATTAAACTAAGTACCACTGAGGAGAAAACCTCAAAGAAAAAAAGGTAATACATGGGAAATAATCCAGGTGTGCATACAGCAGCCTAGTGGACAGCAGTTTTGCCCCAGTTGGAAGTGCGAGAGCACTACATCAGCTAAAGACTTTTAATGATTGCTTTATTCAATAGGCCACTGGAAATATGCATAATGAATTTTGCTCTCTTAACATTGGAGTATGTCTTGTGACAATAGGACAGTCGTTTTGCCTAATTGCTAGGAGATCAAAAGGCAGATTTTAAGAATAACTGAAGGCAAAGGAGTAGCACAAAATGGCTGCAGTAGAAAACTAAGAGCTTTATTTTGCAATAGAAGCATTAAAACAATAATGTTTAAGAAAAATAAATGCTTGACATAGAAAATTAGACTTTAGGACATTGGGATTGATAAACAATGGTATCAGTCACTGATAAACTGATGGATGTCCAGAGCATCCAGTACAAATCTGAGGATGTTATCTCCTTCAACCACAGAGCTGGGGTTGTGTTGAACCTTAAGAAGCAGTGTATTTAATTGAACCTTAAGAAGCAAATGTAATTAATACCTTAATAAAATTTCATTGCAGGAGTGAAATGGTATCACTGGTGCCCTATTTCACGGATTTAGAGTGTTATTTCTCCTTAATAACACAGTATGGCTGCACATAAAGAACTTGTTCAGGCTGTACAGTTGCCTATGAGTCAATGGGACTGTATATGCTTTGGAGGACTGGAAACTTCCTGACATTACTTATGTCACACAGAAATACATACCATGGAGTTTGAAAAGGGGTAATATAGGCTGCATTTGTCAGCTGTGTTTGCAGTGTTAATGCATACAGGCTGTCTGTAAGCAGTCTTTGCTTCAGATCAACTTCTAAGGCCCTTATGGGCCTTGTCTTATGCCTGCCTAGATCCTGGTGTCTAAGAGAGCTGTGTGTTCTCAAAACTGTTGTTTCTGCCAAGGAAACATGGTGCAGCATTGTTTGTTCTGCTGCTTAGACATGTGCTTGTGCATATTCCTTCCTGCCTCTCCATACATATGTGTGTTTTTATATATGAGCTTACTGCTCAGGCAAGGGGGTCCAGGGTCCTACTCATGCAGGTAGGACAATAGAAACTATATTTTGTATGTATATGTCTCAAAACCACAGTAAGCTTTTGCTAGAATATAGTCCTTCCACATGGAGTGTCTTGCTCATGTAGGTATACTTAAAAATAAAGCCTGGCCCTTAATTAATCTTGTCTTTTAATTGATGTGACTGAAGGGGAATTTGAATCTGTGCTTACCATGAGGAGCAGTATGTTCGGGCAAATCAGTATATACATTGTCACGGGCATTTTGAGTGACTTCTTTAGAGATACCTAGTACTTGTTCAGGAGATTAATGAAGTGGGTATTTGAAAAATTAAAAAGTTAAGGGGAAGTAGAAGGCAGAAATAAATGGATACAAAAAGAAAGCAAACCCCACTGTTCTAGTAAACTAATGAAATAACAACGTTGTTCATAAAATGAGGTTGTTTATAGCACAGATTCTTAAACCAGTATTTTTATCCTCCTGAGAAAACTGTTAATGTGACCAAATTTGATACTGACGGCTCTTGCTTCGTTAGATTAGGGTTTTATGAGGTATTATTTAAGCCTTTGGCTTTTAATTTTCAGACAGCTATAAGCTGGAATCAGAAAATTGGTTAGCTCTGGGAGGCATGTATTTAAAAGCCTCTTGGTGCCAGTAAGAGCGTATTACGTGGCCCTGACAAAGACCATGGCCTTTTGCTGGTTGAGGTGTGATGGGTAAATGACAGCAGCCTTCTTCTCACCTTGCTCTTCAGCACTCCCATGGTGGCTGCATGGCCATATAGTTGCTACCTTACAGCTTACTCAGTGCCTAAGCTGGTGTTACAAACTGAAGTGTCCTGTTGGAGAGCTGCCACTCATTTGGGCTGGTGACACAAAGTCCTTCGGGACCTCTGAAACTTAGAGAATTTTATTTCAATATGCCTATAGCTAGTTATCTAATCTAGAAGCAGAACTCCACCCAGAAAGCTAATTTCAGGCTTTTCCCTTTTCAAACCGCTCCTTGTTTGTGATTTATGCCATAGCATTCTCTCTGGTTTTTCTTGCCTGCTTTGATGATTTTTCCTCAAAGAACTCAAGAAACTTAGTTAGAAGTGATCTGTGTACAGGCACCCAGGGGCTGGGGCTGTCCCGAGCTGGGCACAGCAGGTTCTAGCCAGACCCACCCAACCAACCCACTGCAGAGCACAGCTGAGCCCTGCAGTCTTGGAGGCAGGATCTCAGGAAAGCATGTGTAAGGAAGGGCAAAAACACTGCATGGGGAGAGGAGGAGGGAACAGAAAGAATGAGAATGGCAGCACAGGGAGCCCCGAAAGGTTCCAGGCAGAGGACAAAGAAGTGCTCCATGGCAGAGCAGGTGTTTCCTGCAGACCAGGAGGGCTCACCCTGGAGCAGGAAGACATTTTTTTTCAGGACCTGCTGACCTGCAGAGGAGTCAGGAGTGAAGCTGAGCTTGGGAAAGGATGCGGAGAGGTGGTGCTGCAAGGTTTGTCTGTTTCCCACTGCTCAAAGCTATTTAGATGCACAATAAATTCATTTTCCTCAAGGTGAGGATGTTTTGCCAGTGGAGGTAATTGGTAAGCAATCTTCCTGTCTTTATCTAGACCCAGTAGCTTTTTTATCCTGTTTTCTCCCGTCCTGTAGAGAAGGGGGAGACATTTGGCTCTTACCCTGTGGCTACGCCACCACAGAATTGAGTGCTCAATTCAGTTACTCAGGTAGTCATTGAGGTCCTTTTGAGATGCCTCAAGTTACACCACACATCTGCAGAAGTCTGGCAGAGGTGACATGGGGTACCTGGGTGCCCTGTACCTCATGGGGCAGCAGCTGAGGTCAGGAGTGCTTGGAGGCCCCTCCAAGTGTACCAGGCACCGACCTGTGGGCAGCTGGACTGTGAGTCTCAGGTTGAACTCAGAGCCTGCCACAGCAAGCTCCTCACTGTCCCTTCTAAAGAAAAGGCTTAGCTCAAGTTTATATATGTGTTTGAGCACCTCAGCTAATCAAAACATTACAAATCCTGTAGCAGAGCTGTTTCACTGCACATCACTTTGCTTTTGTTTTGTGTTTTTATTCTGACCTTAGTTATGTGAAACAGTTTGTAATAAGTAAAATCCCAGGTTGTTTCACCTCTCCTGAAAAGCAGAATCATATTTGCTGCTGAACAATCATTAACCATGATCACTAAAATGCTTTATTTACTGATGTCATTTGGTGAGACTCTGGTAGAGATGTAATCTGTTGAAGCTGGTAAGAGTAATGCATCCTTGGAGTTAGGTGAATTTAATTCAAAAATATTTCATCTGACAAATTAATAATTAAGCAATAGTATTTATTTCAGTTCTAAGATGGTGAATGAGTAAGGAAACTAAATCCCTCCAGAATATAGCCAGAACCAGTTTAATGTAGGGTTTTGTTGTGTTGGCTTTTTTTGGTTGGTTTTGGTGGGTTTTTTAGCAGAAAGAAGTTGATGCTTTTCAAATGAGTTTCTTGTGACTTTTTACATGTGACAGCAGTGGCAGTGAGAATAAGAGATGATATCTTGTCTAAATTATACTTGCTAGTAAAATTTGGCTTCCCAGTTTTGAAAATCATTCCAAGATTTACTGAGGTTGCCAAAGAACCTGTAGAGAGTTACTTTACACTGTGCTGGCTTAAAAGAGGTACCGGTGTCCACGAGATGGAAGCAGACACAAGTAACTGTGCATTTCAGATCTTGCATAGAGCTCACTGAATTGTTCAAGAAAATACATGAAGGTACTGTTTAAACTCTTGATCCTGCTAGGATGGATGAGAAGTTTCTTGGCTCAAATAGAAAATTCATCAGATTTGTCTTTGGGTCTGCTTATTGGCAAGTGTTATGTGTCTGTGAGAGGCAGGGGGAGAAACTGTTTTTGAGATGTTAACTCAGTGAAGCTACTATATGTTTGATCATATACTTGTGCCCCAATATCTTTAGTATGTAACTTTGGATCTGTTTGTCTGGATGGTGCTGGAAACATCTGGGTTTTGCAGTGATATAGAGTCTGATAATACATCCTGAAGGAGAAAAAAAATCCATCAACTTAGTGGAGTTTTTCTTGAGCACACACTGCAAGACCTGTAATCTATTTTGTGAATCAAAACCTCAAACCTGGCAAGGCTAGGAACCATGGCTCACATGGTATCAGCGCTTGCATACGTATTGCAGTGAAGATTCCTTGCTGCAGTGCTTATTTTATGGCACAAGTACAACACCTAAAAAAAAAGGCCTTCCATTAGAAGTGAGAGAAATATCTCAGTGCAATGAATTTTAATGATTTCTTGAAGTCTGAAATGAAGTTTCTATCCAACACTTGAACTTGCAATCTTACAGATTGGGCTGTATATATTAAAAATATGGCAAACTTGAAAAAAAACATTTTTTCTTCATTCAGGAAAGACTTGTTTCTGTCAGAGCATGCCTCCCACTCTTGGTAACTTGACAGTTGCTCAGGGCTTACAGAATTGGCACCAAGGAGCTTGGATTTACTGTAAGAGCCATATCAAAGCTGTTAGTTTTTCTTCAGGCTGACAGTCTTCACCTGATTTTTATCTGAAATTTTTTTCACATTTGGCCTAGAGTTGTGTTATGTGTATGTGAATGCAATAATTGGATTGGGAAACTGATGCCTTTTGAAGATTTCTAAATAAGCACAGTAAAAGTCACAATAAAAAGAACCCATTTTCTTGCAGTGATTTCAGTACAGTTATGATGTTTTAGTGCACTGGAGAGTATTTTAAAGACTGAGCATTTTATGGCATATTAGAGGTTATCTTTGTATTTTATCTCTGGTCTTTGCATTTGATTCCTTTATAGACCTGCAAGAAGTGAAACTTATTTTTGGGTGGGATTCCAAGTCAGTTGGAATATAAGGTGGTTAGCAACCCACAGAGGCACACTGTTGAGTTATGCAAGTGACCCAATATCTAAGTTGCAAAACAGGACTGAAATATTGCAAAGTCTAATTTTTATGAGGTTATCAGCAAAGTAGTACCATGACAAATTTCTTCTGCAAATGTGCTTTTGTGGGTGGCAGCAGAATTACAGATAAATCAAAACCTAATAAATCCATCTCAGCATTTCCAAACTTCAATTTCTGACTGTATTTTTCTTTAGCAGTAGTGGGACACCAACTCCAGCTTCGGATGCTGATGTTACTACACTGAGAGGTCAGTTTTTACCTAACTCCTGTCAAGGCTGATTCTGAATTACTAGAGAATTGAGAAATTCAGTTGAGTTTGGGTTTCAGAAAGAGCTGTAAATTTCTGCTTCTCAGATAATGCTGTTTGTGATATGGAGATCAAGTTATATGCTGAAATTATTTTGTTATTGTATGAATTATAAAAATCCTACTTGAGAAATTAGTTCTGTGAACTGTTTACTGCGCTAACTTCATGTTCCCCAAAATGCTTCTGCTTAGACAGAACACTAGCATTTTATTCCAATTAGTGTATTTGATATTTTTCCTCAGACTCTTCAGGTGTTTTCTGTGTTGTTTCTGTCATGATGATGGGAATAGGAATCAAATTTTACTGTTGGGTTATGCCTGCTGAGCTGCTTCTGTGTGTATATACAGGTACATGTGTATAAAAAACAACTGAACAAAATAATACTGTTTTCTTTCAAACTCAGATGCAGCTGCCAATGTTTCTCCCCCTCATGAGATCTCTGTTGGAAGTCTTGTGGCTGGTGCCATTCGTGAGATCAAAGATGCAGACGCCAATGTGAGTGGCTTGATTGAGTTTTTTTTGGTTCAGCATTCTGTTGCCTTTCCTAAATAATACTGTTTGTGGTTATTTGCATAAACAACACTTAAAGGTGTTGTTAGCATAGCGTGTTAACACAGATTGAGATTTCATAAAAGAAGGGCATGAACTTCAGAAAGTTTTAAAAAAATTTCCGGGGTAGGTATTTTTCCTTTGCAGAGGCTTTGCAATGCCTCTTCCCCAACAGTGACAGAGAGCAAACCAGTTGTGCTAGGAGGTGAGGATTTTGTTAGTGACCCTGGGCTAGACAGGGAATGTCTAGGGCTTCTGTGAGCTCCAAGAAGAATGCAGAGCATTATTATTCCTGTGGAAACACAACATACCTTAAATTGCTGTAGTAATGTTTTGGGGCTTCAGGTCCATGTGGTACAATTGTGTAGGACAGCAGAGAGGTCGCCTGAATAGCCTTGAAGATTCCACCTGTTTCTTGCTCCTTTTCCTCTGCTGACGTAGCTGAAACAGCTTTTCTGAATTACATTTAAGCCCAAACTCTAGATCAAACTTCAGCATTCATGGGCTTACATGACTGAAGAAAATTTTGCAAACCAGTGATATGAACCAGCTGGCTTTTGTTTTCTTATAAACTTGAATTTTTTTTTGTGGATTACTGAGAAGGTTACAAAGTTGTAGATGCTGCATATAAGTAGGAACTGATTTATGGTACTGGGTTTCACTGTGCACTGTTCTGTTATGATTCGGAGAAAACTCCAGGAACAAACTTGCCAGCAGAGTTTCAAGTTGACAAGCAGGTATTCTTTATTGCAGCGCCGGGAGACACGGGGGATAGCTCCTCCTAACGTGTGTCCCCGAATTGCGATGCAGGTCATCCTTATATGGTCACTGAGCATATTACATCATTTTCAAAAAAGTTTCTGGCATGCATACAAAAATGTGATGGTGGTCTTTAAGGGTCGTTTACTTTTCCCAACAAGCTTAATTAACATTACAGACATAGCAATCATCCTGGCCTTCTGCTTATCAGTTAGTTTAACTGCTCTCATCCTGGACATCTGCTAGTCCGGGATACTTCTTAGTAGATGCTTACACCAGTTTAATGGGTTTATTAACACCTCAAGCATAGCAATCATCCTGTCCTTTTACTTATCAGTTAGTTTATCTGTGCCCACCCTGGACATCTGCTAGTCCCAGATACTCCCCATCCCCAGGTCCTGTCCTTCTATTCTGCTTTTCTCACACCTTTTGTACTGAGGTCACACACAGTTTCACAGTTTCACAGTATGCTAGAGATTGGAAGGGACCTCGAAAGATCATCTAGTCCAATCCCCCTGCCGGAGCAGGAACACCTAGATAATGTTACACAGGAATGTGTCCAGGCGGGTTTTGAATGTCTCCAGGGAAGGAGACTCCACAACCTCCCTGGGCAGCCTGTTCCAGTGTTCCGTCACCCTCACTGAGAAGCTTCTTCTCAAGTTTAAGTGGAACCTCTTGTGTTCCAGTTTGTACCCATTACCCCTTGTCCTATCATTGTTTGCCACTGAGTAGAGCCTGGCTCCATCCTCGTGACACTCCCCCTTTATATATTTATAGACACTGATAAGGTCACCCCTCAGTCTCCTCTTCTCTAAACTATAGAGACCCCGCTCCCTCAGTCTTTCCTCATAAGGGAGATGCTCCACTCCCTTAATCATCTTAGTTGCCCTGCGCTGGACTCTCTCCAGCAGGTCCCTGTCCTCCTTGAACTGAGGGGCCCAGAACTGGACACAATATTCCAGATGTGGTCTCACCAGGGCAGAGTAGAGGGGAAGGAGGACCTCTCTCGACCTACTAACCACCCCCCTTCTAATACACCCCAGGATGCCATTGGCCTTCTTAGCCACAAGGGCACAGTGTTGGCTCATGGTCATCCTGTCGTCCACTAGGACCCCCAGGTCCCTCTCCCCTACACTGCTCTCTTAACAGGTCGTTCCCCAACCTATACTGGAACCTGGGGTTGTTCCTGCCCAGGTGCAGGACTCTACACTTTCCCTTGTTATATTTCATCAAGTTATTCCCTGCCCAACTCTCCAACGTGTCCAGGTCTCGCTGGATGGCAGCACAGCCTTCTGGCGTGTCAGCCACTCCTCCCAGCTCAGTGTCATCAGCAAACTTGCTGATAGTACACGCAATTCCCTCATCTAAATCACTGATGAATATATTAAATAATACTGGTCCCAGTACTGACCCTTGAGGCTCTCCACTAGTTACAGGCCTCCAACTAGACTCCGCCCCATAGACTACAACTCTCTGGCTTCTCTCCTTCAGCCAGTTCACAGTCCACCTCACTACCTGATCATCCAGATCACACTTCCTCAATTTAGCTGTGTCCTGAGGGCCTGAAACTATGTCAGTTACCTTCAAGCACCGCAGTTATTTTCCATTACAAAGCCATCAAACTTAACATTACTTAGAACTGATTACATTTTGTACTTTTGTGCCTCCTTGTTTCAGTTACCTGCTATGGCCATGAAACAAAGCTGGGCCAAACTGTACTTACTTCTACAGCTTTCAGGGCTGACTGTGGAGCTCTGGTATTGTGCTTCCAAGAATAAATACTGAATATGAAACAGGCAGACAGCTTCTGACTCAAGTCCAGGGTCTGACTTTATATTATGTACCAAGAATGCTTGTGGTTTGGTCCCATGAACACCTCTATTCTTTTTTTGAAACAGAACTGCTTGAAGTATTTCTGCCTGGGCAGAGAATGGGGTCACTCAGTAAATCAGAAAGAAATCAGAGTCAGATTGCTGCTGCTACTGCAGTGGTTTTCACTCTATACAGTTACATCACACCTCATCATTGCTTTGTGCAGCCAATATGCATAGCAGATTACATGACCAAGAAAGACCTTCTGCACTCAGATGTTGACTGTATTTTTGGTTTTGGAGGACTGATAAATGATTTAAACTATGTGGCATTGCAAACAGCTATATAGTAGCAGCACATATATGCCTGCTAAGTATGTATCTCTCAAATGATAAGCAGCTTTAAGTAGTGTACCAGTCATTATGGTCCTTAAAAAGTTGTCTAGTAAAAAAGGGATGGAGGGGAGGGAAAGAATTTAACTAAAAATTTTTAGAGGGTCTGTAAACAATGTGTAAATTGCTCACTGGTGGCTGATAAGCTTTCTGGGGAAAAGTTTTTCCATTTCCTGCACCATACGTAACATGGGCTGCAGTTCTGCTAAAAAGGTCTGTTTTGTTGGCTTTTTTTCTCTTTAATGGGGAAAAAGCAATAACTGCATGTAAATAGCCAAAGACACTTGGCTGTTTGGCTAAAGTTAACTTAAGCCAGCCTTCCCTTCCCTCCCCAACAAATAGCAATTTTTTGTTTTAGAACAAAACCATGAAACAAGATCTGGTTTTCCTCGTGTCTTTTAGTATACTACAAGGAATACTGCGCTAGTTGTAAAATACTAGGGAACTAAGCAGGAAGTACTCTTCCTGTGTTGCTCATTCATTCAAATAAAATTAAAACTTGGAATTCACTGCTGCCCATGGCAGGCACAACTGGTAGATGCATGCTTCCCTGATGCATTGGGCAGCCACTGCTGTGGGGCTTCTTGAGCAACTGTTGACCTATCAGTTGAAGCCCATCACTTCAGCTCAACAAAGATCCCTGCAGATAACCCAGTGTCCTTTGTGTGTATCTAGGGGAATTCTTTACTTGCTAAGGTTGAACAACACAGGGCATTGTTCTGAATGTAGAACTTGGCAAAGGTAACTTGTCTTCTGTGTGGAATAGTAAGTAGGAATCTTATTATAAATGAATAAATTTGGGGTAAATCAATCTCTGACTGGGCTCAAGTTTGCTGTTAATGTCTGAATAATTGCCCTATTCAACTGCCTCATGAACATCTCATACAACTGGATTTCTGTTTGTAGCTGAGGTCAACTAAACAGCCTGGCACTGGAGTAAAGATGTGCAAATGGAAAATAGAATTATCTGCAATACACGAATTCTCAAAGAATGATTTTGCATTGTAGATTGTATCATTAATTGCAGCTTCTGTCCGTAAGGCTTCATTAGCACTCCATTACAGTGCAAGGCAAGCAGGTGAGCATGCTGTGCTTTGGACTGAGGTTTTCTCAGGTCATTAAGTACCATGACCATCAGTACAGCCCACCAGTAGTGCCCTGAGGTGTTCCTGTCCATACATTTTATAGAGAAGGCTCATCTTTTCTTCCCCATCATGAGCCAGAGAAACCTCCAAGTGTGCAGTAGTGGGAGAAGTTTACGGCCCATGTAAGAAAGATGTTTGGACTGAAGCTTGGGAATGTAGTGTGCTGTTGACAGATGGCAGACCATATGTACATATGCATATCATAGAATCAATCATAGAATCATAGAATCATATAATACTGGGTTTGAAGGGACCTCAGGATCATCTTGGTACAACCCTTCTAGACAAAGCATGACCTACACTAGATGTTCCAGCAGCCTGTGCAGCTGATCTAGGGGTGCTTTTTACATGGAGTAAATCCAGGACAGGTAGGAATTTGGTCTGTGGTAAGTCATGAGGATTTATTTCCTGGGGAAAAAAAAACAAAGGACAAAACAACAAAAATAAAGGAATTAAATCACCTCTTGTTTTCTCACTTCTTTCTTCCCTTCCAGATCAGTAATGAGATAAAGAAGCAGGATGAGAAGCTAGTGAGACCTGTAACTGAGCAGATGATTGAGTTCAGCATTGTGATTTTTGGTGAGACGTACATTGAGGAGCTGAAGGATCCAACTGCCTTGAGGCGTCAGCTGCTCTCTGAACAAATCATTTCACAGGTCATTACCTTCCCTGGCTTCCTTTTTCTTATTGCTGGCTCTTCAAAGCAATAGTAGCACCTGTGTGAGGACTGCCTTTTTCTCAGGGACTCTGCAAAACCAGCTTAGGGATTTTGTTGCCTGAGGCAGGCTGGAAAACATTCATCCACCATGAGAATAGACTGCTCTTACACGCTGCCTTTTTGGAGTAGCAGAGTGGCATACATTGTATGGAGTCGGTGACCAATGCCAGTCACCAAAGACCAATTACTCTAGTTTTTGCTTTTGTGTTTCTCATGAAATAGCCTGCTATAATTTTTGCAGGCAAAAGAAGTAGAAGAATGCTTTGGGAGGTTCAGCAAATTATGCTGAACCCCTGAATTGAGATATACTCTAAAGAGGGCCTTTCTAAAGAACTGCTCTCTCTCTCATTCTCCCCTGCCCCCCCCCCCCCCCCCCTTTTCTGATTTCCATGATTTATTTTGCCTCATGTTAACAAAAGAATAATAAATGAAAAAACTTTCCACTCACTTGAGTCCTTTAAAAGATGTGTTTCTACCAGGGCTAACTTTGGCTTTATCATCCTTTCAAAAATGTTCAGTACCTCCCCCTGTCAGTGTTACTGCAGTAGAGCTTTTAAACCCAGAGAGAAGTGACAAGATTGCCACTTGATGCAACATCATTAGTTCTTAAAGTTGTAGGACTTGACAATCTTACATTTTAAAGATGCATCTAACATCTCTCTAGTGACTAGTCTGTCAAAGAGTTTATTTCTGTGTTTTCTAACCTCATTGTCCAGTTTGAATACTTCCATAATGTAATTGGTTTGAAACTGGGGAGTGAAAAAGATAATTTGAGGGTCTTAGCAAACCAGCCTGCCTGCCTTCTCAAATGCCAGGGCATGAACTGACTGCAGTTCAGAGCCATCACTCTGTGCTGGGCCAGTGCTGGAAGGCAGCTTGAGCAATTCAGGTATAGCACAGCATCAACGTGGAGTTCAGGGAGAAGGCATACAGGTCCATCAGCATCTGCCTGTGTGGGCATGTGTCCTGCGTTCAGCAGTAGCAGTCGTTTTTCTCCTTCTTAGTAGCTGGTGCAAGTGCTGTGGTTTTGACTTTTGGCCTGGGAACAGCACTGGTAACACCGATGTTTTTAGTTGTTGCTAAGTCATGTTTAGTCTGACCAAGGACCTTCTGAGTCTCATGCTCTGCCAGGGAGAAGGAGAAGCCGGGAGGAAGCAGAGACAGGACACCTGACCCAAACTAACCAAAGAGGTATTCCATACCACAGCACATCATGCCCAGGATGTAGAAGGGGGAAGTTACTCGGAAGGGCTAGATCACTGCCGGAGTCAGGCTGGGTATCAGTTGGCGGGTGGTGAGCGGTTGTATTCTCTTCCCTTGTTATTTCTTTTATCATTATTATTATTGGTGGCAGCAGTAGTGGTTTTGTGTTATACCTTAGTTACTGAACTGTTCTTATCTCAGCCCGTGGAAGTTACATTCTTTTGATTCTCCTCCCCATCCCTCCGGGAGCGGGGGGGGGGGGGTGTGGGGGGAAGGGCAGGAGTGAGACAGAGACCGCATGGTTCTGATTTACGGCTGGGCTTAAATGATGACAGCATGTTCTGGGTCTTCTATAGAAGATGATCTGAAATGGGATATAGGACATCTTAATGATTGCAGTGGCAGGAGGGACTGCAGAAGAAACTCTGGCATCATTCTAGAGAATCTGTCTATCCAGAGTAGGTGATAGATGAGGAAATCACAGGAAGTGGCAAACAGCAAAACTCATTCACTATTTCTGCTCAGGAGTGACATTTCTTCAAATGAATCATTCTGCACTGCAGTGAGAGGCTCTCTGAAATTTAGGCTGCCAAGACACCTCTTGCATCTTATTTATGCCCAGAATTAGCAATGCATGTGAGCACATTTTAAAATCCTCCAGCCAGTTCTTAAACACATCCTTAAATCCCACTGGAGTCAGTGGGAATGATCCATGGATTAGACTGTTAGGCACCTGCTTAAAGGAAAAATACATAAATGCATACACATATAAATATATATACACATATATGCATGATTAAAACCTGATTTCAAGTTAATTTGATTTTAATTAAAATTTACTATTTTAATTACAAAGTTACTGGCTCACCTATACACAAAAACATATTTAAAGTATGAACATACTGCTGTCTCCTAACTTTCGTCTCCCTATTGTTTCCTGTATTTTTATTTTTTGTCAATTTTTGTAATTTAATTACCATCATTTTCTTGGGGCAGAGTTTGTCTTTCCTTTCTCCTGAGAGAGGCACCTGGGGTGCCTCGTGAGGCTTATCTTTTCTCTAGCTTTGCTTCCTTAGTGCCATCTAGTCAGGGTTCTCTGTTGAATACCTTTTACTAAGGCTAAACCTGTGCCACATCATAGGCCAGATGGGAAAGAGATGTACTCTTCACTGCAGCCAAAAAGCATCACTGCAACTGTCAGAAGTTGCTACCATAGGCTAGACATCTTAATTTTCCCAGCTGCGTGTCCAAGTAGCAATGCTGTAGAGTGTAAGAAACGCCAGATGGGACAGAGGCCACCTGGCACATGGATGTTCCACTGCTTTGATCCCTTGCCTGGTTTTCTCTGTGCTTGGATGAAGAAGGTCCTGAAAAAAAGAAAGTCAGCAGCACTTCGATTGATTAAGTCTCACTAGAGAGTTTAAAAATAGAGAGGGAGGCTGGGGAGGGGAAGAAGAATTTGAGGAGTAAAAAATAATCCTTAACCGGCAAGGATCTTTTGGGAGGGAGACAAAACAAACCCAAACCACCATGGACCTTTAATATTCTATTTCTTGTTTTTTTTTGTCTCATACAACACAGTTGACTATTTGAACTAAGCCTGGATGTGCTGCCATATTGCTGCCCCCATTTGTCTTTTTTTGAGTAGCACTGCCAATCACTCCTCAGCCCTTTGCATACTTATGGCAATGAAGATGAGGTGTGTTTTGCACTATTTAATGCATTAATACCTCTTTGGAGTCCAAGAGGTCCCTGTTCCTACAGTGACTACTGCCTTTCTTGTTTCAGTTGCTAAGGTCTAAAGCATTTTTGTCAATTCTTTTTTAATTCAGAGAGGTTTGGGAAGTAATGGAAACATTTTGGGCAGAGAAAAGTTCATGTTGTATAGATAAGAGGAAAAATATCTTCTGCTATGGGCAGTGCAGATCCTTGCAGAGTCTTTTTGGATTTCCCTTCCCTTTGAATGTTTCTATACAGTTCTTGGGGAATGATGGATGCTGTTCTTAAAACTTTTCCTTTTCTAATAATGAAACAATGTTACCAAAACTCTTCTTCCATGAGGAGAGAGAGAATATTTAACAGTTTTTCTCCTATTAGATGTAATAGCTCAGATACATTTTTAGAAAATGTTGAAAATACTTCCTGATTTTTCACTAAATGAGTAAGGTGGAGGAATTTCTGTGTTAATTTTTTATTTTCTCCTCAAAATAGATTGAAAGTGTATTTGAAGGACTACCTGGATACAAAACCATCCGTATCTTGGATTACAGGTAAAAAGATACTGATGCGTACATGGTAATTAAAACTGGTTATGTCTGATGATATGATGTGCTAGCATCATACTTGGAAAAATGGCAGGCATGTCTGTGGGAATTCCTAGGATGTACTAACCAAAGGACAAGTGCTTTCGTGTTTAGTACATCTCTATACAGAGGTTGAAATAGAAATACCAAACTGTCTTTTTTGCTCCTGGCATCCACCAGAGGAACTCTTATTATACGCTTGCCTTGATTTTAAGACAAGGCATTCTTATTCAACATTCTATCCTAAAATTTAAAGTGATATTTTCTATTTAAAATTAGCATCTGATACTTCTTCAGTATTGTTGACATGTCCTAGGATTCATCAAAGGATGAACAAAGAAACCTTCTGGGGAAAATGTGGTGTATTTAATTTTTTTTCCAACTTAATATGACTCTGAAAATTGGTATTTGAGATATGTAAACGTCTTTCTCTCCTTGATCAAAACATAAATCGGTGAATAATCTGACAAATGATATGCAATTTTTAACTCTCTTTATAATTTTTAAAATAAATTATATGATTTAACAAATTACTAAAATGTAATAATTAATAAAAATAATAAATAATATTATTTTTAAAGACTAGTTTCCTCAAATCAATTTGTGCTTTGGAATGACATTTTAAGTTAATTCAGGGGAAAGAGAGATCCTGCATATTATGTATCAAACATCTGAGGTCTGAGTTTTGGGGTACCTCAACCACAAGTTACGATTTTTCCTGAATATGACTTTCAGAATCTAATGAGACTGTTCATGAGTTAATACAAATTGTGTGGCTTTTAAGACTTTGTAAACTCTGTTTTTTAGAACATACTAGCTGGAATATCCTACTTGGTAAACATGTAGGTAACAAAGCAGCTATGGTGAAAAAGGTTTTATGGTTGGAACCCTAGACTGTGTTCAGTTTCCAGCCTGGAAGATCACAAAACCTTCTGTTCTGGTATCTGTAGTCTAATATATCTGCAAGCCCTTGGTTCATTTGAGAAGAGAAATAAAAGGTTTATATTTCTGCCAAAGTACCAAAGCACTGGCCTATGCTCTGCATGACAAAAAAAAAACATGTTTGTGAACTAAACCTTCAGGTAGAGTCAGTCAGCTTTGATTTTCTTGGTGCCAACAGCAATGTAACTGCATTATTTGCAATAAGTTGAGATAGCTCTGCTCTGCTGATTCCTTGTGATCAGTAAAGCACAACAGCTTTGTATGTAGCAGAGTAACTATGGAACTTACAACTATTTTGCTGTTTGCTTTTTTAAATTTGTGTTCCCTGTAAAACAGCAAAGCAAATTTTTTTAAGTTAGAAGACTTAAAGGAAATATTAACATTGATTTAACATGTTTTGCTGTTGTGTTTTGTTTTGTGTTTATATTCAGCTTTCCTGAGGAGGACAGGTAAAGACAACTTTTTTATAGATACTGTTATAATACAGATGGAAAAACATGTTTAGCTGGAAGATACAGGTTTGGGGATTTGTAGTTTATCTGGCTGTAGAACAAGATAGTTATCCAGTGTAAACATTATGTGAGGGGGTTCTACCAGAAACTGCAAGTAACTGAGCTGTTTTGATTATGGATTAACCCAATTTGCTTATTTAAGTCCTAATCATAAAAAACAAAACAAAACAAAAAAAACACTTGGGGAAAAAGCTACTGGGCTAACTTGGGCATAGGAGTCTCTTCTGTGAAGAGAACAAAATTGCTTAATGATGACTAAAGGTCTTTTTAGTCTGCAGGAAAGTCTTGACTAGATACAGGATTATTATTGTTATAGAAATTATAGTAGATAGGAAAGCCACAGTTCTCCAGCAAAGGCAGTTGGCTCTGCTACTGCACATCTTAGCAGTAGTTTTATAAACGTTCCTTACGGAAAATGGGATCAGTCTGAACTTGTTTTTGTCAGACGTATGCAGGTTAAGCATCCAAAATTTTCCTCCTTTAGGATTTTAAAAATTTCACAAGACAGAAAATGAACTGCAGCCTTTAACTTACCAGATGTTTTGTTTTGTGTGTTTCTCTTCAAAGGCATAACCATTTTTCACAGTTTGCAGAAAATGAGCATTTAATTTTAGAATCCATGTTAGAAGACAGAAATTTCTTCACAAACAATGGTGACATAAAGCCATCCTCTACTACACTACTGCAGGCTAAAATGCATGCCACTGTTCACACAGACTTTGTTCCAAGCACCAGATATTGTAGCCCTTTCTAGACAGATGATGGTGTTGATGGTATTAGTTAGGAATTATTAACTGCAACTGACAGCACAGTTGTATTAGATCTAAAAGTCTCTTTTGAGGAGCATACTGTATTCCATCTTTGCCCTGCCTTTTCACTACTGCTTCCTTTTTTATTTCCTCTGCTGACAGTGAGTGCCCATGGTGAGCCTATAGTAGGCTCATCTCAATGACAGAGCCAGCAATAAAATTCCAGCAGGATCCTGCTTTTAGTCAGCGTGTTTGCTGATTATGTCTCTATTGTATCTGGGCCTGGGGCTTTGCAGACTTCTCTGAACAGGGCCATTACTTTAGCAATCCAGACCAGCTCTGTGGAATGAGGAAAACCTGTCTTTGGAGCACAATTTTTAACACTTCCTAGATTACTTCGTTTTCTTGCTGTGCCCTGTGTACAAGCAAAATATGTAATATTTTCTAAAGCTACCTTGTGCTTTTGCCCATTGTATGGTAAATTGGATTGCTGCCTACACTGCCACGTAGAAAACACCATCCAGACATATTAAGGAAAAGAAAATTAAGCAAGTGGAGGAGCTAAGCTGTACACAGATGCAACACTTGAAGAATAAATGATCAAATGAGTCTAGAAAAATGGGTCTAGAAAAATGTTACCAATTATAAGCTGTATTAAATACCATTTTGTTGCTACTAAAAACATGATGTCAAGTAGATTTACACTGCATAGGGACAGTGATCAGGGCTCCCTCTTGCTACTGTAGATTACTACTATATACAGCCTGTTTTTCCTGGCTGTTTTCATACCTCAAAGCCATTCCCATCATTGGCATGATCTTAAAATCATCACTCACACTGCTGTATACTGGTGGGCCAATTAATAATGCTGGGAGAAAATCAGCGTTGTGGTCTGCTTGTGTTCTGTCTATCATTCACTAGTAGAAAGAAACACAGGGCTGGAGCCAGACCAGATGTCAGGTTCTGGTAGTCTTTTCTGGAGAACTTTGCAGTGGTGGAAAACACAAGCAGCCAAACACAGGTGTGAAGAAATAATTTTTATTCAGAATCCTTTAAAGCAATATGTTTTTTATTAAAAAAGGTACTGACACCGGGTCTTAGGAAAAAAATCATAGTGTTTGCTATACATTAGAAAACCTTGCATCTCTCATCTATGTTCTCTTTCTCTGTACAACTGAAGTGGGGTGGAAGTTCACTTTGCTGTTACTTTTGATGGAAAAGCCGTCAGCAACGCCACCTGGGACCTGATGAACCTTCATTCCAACAAGGTGGAGGATAACTCCTTTATGGACATAGAGGATAATCCAACAGTTGTGTACACCATCAGTGATTTCCAAGATTATATTGCTGACATCCTCCAGAAAAATGCCTTGCTTGGAAACACTTCCTTGTCTTTAGACCCTAACTCTCTCCAGCTTACTAATGGTGCGTATTAATTATGATGCATCGGTGGGCCACATACTTGAAGTTTTATAAAGTAAATCTCAGATGAGTAAATTATGCAGCTGCCCTCTGAATAATTAAAAAGAAGCAATAAAAACAACTTTGTTGCAGCTTGGTTTGCTCTGATTTTAACCAGGGCAGGTCATTGGCAGGGGTATTTAATTCTTACTCCATTAGACTAGTCTCTTCTTTTCCTTTGACGCTGAATTTTGTAGTATGAAATTTCAGCAGTGTTTTCAAAAATTAACAGGAATAGAAGGGGAAATGTGGTTCACATGATGAATGTTGCACCAAGATGACCTTTAGTTTAGTAGCCTTGAGCAGCACAGAGGAAATACCTGGTTTACTGTTGAATGCTGCTAGAGGTAGTGGAGGAGTGCTGTCCACCCTTCTGTTCTCATAACTACTCTGTACTTCCTGTTAGTGAGCTGGGGGCATTTCCAGAAATGAAATCTCACTGGAAAACTGTCTGAAAAGATTTTACTCATGAATCTGAGATGAGTGAAGTTTTTTCAGTTAGTCTTTCAAACCAGCTTCCTCACACTGCTACTGCAGCCTTTATATCCCAAGAATTTATATTTCCACAGTGAAAGAAATACTACACCCTATACCAGAAGACCCATCCTGGATTACTGAGAATTCAGTTGTGCCGGAGAGCCCAGAGTTCGATGTAAGTACGGTTCTGAGCAGTGGCCTTTGGACCCATTTGAACAACTTAACTCAGCAAGGCAGAATTGCAGTCAGCACCCAGAATATCTCTATCCTGTTGTTCATGCAGAATATGTAGTAATGAAAGCACACCTTACGCTGGAGTAAAACCTGGTGAAATCTCTCATCTGATAATTTGATATCTGTTTCACAACAATTTTCTGTTATCATTTTATATTACATGACAGTACTGTGCTCCCAGCTGTACAGCCAGGCCTTGCTTCTTATGTTTGGACTGTAAATTGCTCTAAAGACATGATTCTTCCCACAACACTACCTTTCTTTGGAAAGTGAGAAATAGATGTAAGCACTGAAGCTGATTGTTATAAGAGATATAATGTTAAGTGTCATATGCTCCTTTTGTTACTGTATTGCTTTCACAGAAAATTCTCAGTTCAGTTTTAAAATTTTATCCATTCCCTTAACATCATCACAGGAAACAATAATAGGCTGTGGTTTCTTTCTTTTCCCCTTGAATCTGTAATTATCTCCTCTACCTCTGGAACAACCTAGGACATAGACTGGAGCTCTCCACTGCACAGGAGACTTAGTATCCTTGACCATGTCTGCACAATGCAAACGGACTTTAACCAGAGATACCAAGTTAGGTGCCAGAAACATTGAGATCCGGTACACTTGTTCTGCCAATAGCTGGAACTGCTGAATGGTGGAGCATTGTCTGGGCTTAAGGATTTATCCGGCAGGTTTCTGTTCTGCATTCTGTTGTGTAACACAGATGTGGCTTCCAAGAGGTCAGTTGGTGCCAAAAAATCCAGGTCCAGCTATGCTTGGTGGTAGATTTTCTCTAAGTTTATTATGAGATAATGATGTGACACATTTAATTTCAGATCAACTTCTGAAATATTTATGGAAGCAAAATTCACAGCCACTTCAAAGAACTCAAATATTCTTGTTACAATGGTTGCAAGTATAATATCCTTAATTTCATGCCAGTATTCCGTAAGTTTTAAAAGTGAATCATTGATTTCTAAAATGCAGATTCATATGGATTAGCCATAATGGCTTAAACATGGTGTGGATAAAGATGAATTTAGGTTAAAAGTGAGGAAAGGGCTCTTTCTCTTATATGGAGCTATCGAGCTAGCTTGAAATGTTGCAGATGTTTATTTTAGTAAGATAAGTAATTCTGCCATCTTCACATTCTATTAGTGGATACTCTGACAGATGTGCAGGCAAGAAGACTTTAGAGCAGAGGTAGCTTTGCAATAATAAATGTTAAGCCAGTTTTAGGGAATAGTATGTACAAGAAACATTTCTGTTTTCTAATCATAGACTATGTATAATAATGTCATTGTGTCTTCAGAAAAAACCTCTTAATTATGTAGAAGATACCCAAAAACCTGCTGTGTGCAATCTGCAATACATAGATAATTTGGGAAGTAAATTCAGATAAATTTAAGAAAATCATAAACATAATTAAACAAAGTTGAAATGATTAGTCAGTTACTTCCACAGAACTCAAACCATTATGGTTCAAGTAGATAGAGTTAACTACAACTGTCATCTCTGAAAAAGAAATTTACTGCTATTTTTCTTAGCTGATTTGAGAATAAATTGATTTATATTATCACACTTCTATTACTCATGACATAATGTGGGGCTGTCATGACTTCACCATCTGATTGCTAGCAGATGGTACCAACTAAGTTCTTTTCTTAGAGTTGTACAGCTCTCTAAAAAAGCAAATTAAAAAACAAGTCTAGTTTTGAAATACGTATTTTATTGTTATTTCTGTTGAGCTGTAACAGGTAGAATGCTCTGGCTTGCTAAACACGATGCCTTTCTGGCAGCAGAAAATGGAAAATCAGGGAGGGGGTTCTGTGTTGGCAGTCATCTGTCACATTTGTAAGGCTTTCAAAAGACATTAGCAAAAACCAGAGCTTGCCAATATGATATTAAACTTGTTAATGTAATATATTGCACTGTAACAAGATCTTTGAATAATGTTAGTTGTCATAGGAACATCTATCCACATTCAAATAAATGAAGTGCAATCCCTGGCAACTAAATGCTCACCTAAAAAAGAGAAGTATTGTGAAGCTATTGCTGCTTGTCCTTATTCATTCTTTATGGAATTTATATGTATAATTTGTTTCTAATTTTGCACAGTAACTTTTTTTACAGCTTTATTTATAGTGGTCAGTTTTGCCAAGAAAAGGTAATTGCTGGAGCACATGTCTATATGGTGCATACATACTTTTCAACTGATTGTTACCATGTAAATTAAAAAATGTGAGGAGTTAGTGGTGGCATAATAACCAGCTATAAAAATGTGATCTATATAGGTAGGTAGACAAATAATTTAATGAAGATACCTGAAATGACTTGCTTCCAAAGCGTTCAAATGCAGCTTGAATGAAGCTGAGATTTTGTTTCACCCATATTTCAACAAGGAGTAAAATTTCAAATTGAAAAGTATTTTGATTCTTCCTGTTACTCATGCTGGTCAAGTAAAGGAAAGAGCATTGATACTTGGGCAGGTAGCCACATGAATCCCTCAGTTTTAGGCTGTCAGGTTGCTTTTGTAGCCTTAACCAAATAACTTAATCTCTTCTTGTTTTTTCTCAATATAATTCCTGCATGAGAGACAGATTAATATTCAAAGATGAAATGTGCAAAGTATTCTAGCTGTAAACCAAATAATGATTGGGATATGGACTAGTAAGTAAATGGTGCGCAAATTGAACATTTACAAACAAATTCTTTTTTCACATTTCAAACAATTCACAAAGTCATGGTGCATGTTCTTTGTTCATCATTACTGTTCACAAATGATTTATCTGTACAGGCATCTTGGCTTCAAGACTAAAGTTATTCCAGGTTCTAAATGCCCTTTTTTACATTATGGGGCTCTGTTTCCCCCCTGGGTTCTGACACTCACATACTAAAAGACAGCAATAAATGATCACAGGGCATGCATACGTTCATGTTCAGCTCCTAAACTGGTTTAAGTGTCATAATAACTATAATAATTACTGTATTGATTATGCAGTTAATGAATAAAAGCTGTTAAGAGCTCTTTATGCTTTAGGAAGGCAGGCATTTCTCTTTGGTTTAATTAGAAACAGACAGATCCATTTTCTCAGTAAAGGAAACGAAATGGGCTGGGTGTAGACAGTAAATTTCTTAGTACCTTAAGGGAAGCTGCACTCCCAACAATCCAAATTGCTTCTTTTCCTTTTTAGTGGACATGACTGGACATGAAATATATGTTACAAGGATGTGCATTTCACATGTACATTGCACATGATTAGCCAAGGCTGTGTATTTGCCAGTCCTCCCAGTTTAGCCCCTCCTGTTGTTGCCCATTATGTTCTTACAGAGGCAGTAGTACCAGATTTTGCTGTTGGCTGCTCTTAACACCCTCTATGTGTGCAGCCCAACACAGACTGCCAATGCTTCCCCTGTAATAGTGGAAATATTAATAGTGGGTTTATGTTCCAGGACAGCACCTTTTTAGCTGAACGCCCTTCAGCAGATGAATCAACTGTCAGCAATACCTTGCCCTTTGATTTCACCAAACCAGATTCCACTTCAGATAGTGAACAGTCCAATGGCATTGAAATCCGGCCAAGACCAGGAAATTTGAACTCTGAAGCAAGTTTGGCACCGGAAGCTCTGCTCTCCTCAGAGACTGACATCACTTCTTTGCCTGATGGGCTGAATTTAGAGGATGCAAATCCAGCTCTTCATTTGGTCACTGCACCAGGGTTAGGGCATGATTCTGTGGACTCTCTGGAATGGCTTTCAGCCTCCAGTTCTTTAGATGGTAAGTTAATGCTATTGACTGAAGCTTAGATTTGGATGCCAGTATTTTCTGATACTCACTAATGTATAGTTCACCAAATGACTTTGCAGAAAGGTTTAAAAAACTGCATGTCTTTCCCTGATAGTTTTTACCTTTCCTGCATGTATGTGTCCAAGAATAATATGCTAAGTTAAAATGTCTGTAACAGCTAATAATGTTTATCCCTTCAGGAAATGGTACCCACATGGTATTTAATTGCATAGAAGTATTTTCTTGTCTCTTCACTTGGCCCATAGAATATCTAAATGAAAAGTGGGAGAGGTCACCAGGGTTCCTTCTGATTTCGGCATACAAAGGCTGGGATGTATCACAGAATCATAAAATAGTCAGGGTTGGAACGGACCTTCAGATCATCTAGTTCCAATCCCCCTCCCATGGGCAGGGTATCACGGAAACATGTTGAATACTGATGTACAAACAGTAAAATGAATGTAATTTGACACCTTTTATCACAATAATTGGAAATTATTTATCATATTTATCATAACTAATTGGAAAATTATTTTTATTCTTATGGTTTGAAGATACTAGTCTATCTGAAAACCATTTGCCTTTGAGTCCTCTTCACTTCGTGCCTGAAGAACCTCCATCTACAGATGATTATGCAGTTCCTCTGCTTTTTGCACCAACAGTGGCCTCTTCCTCAGTAATAGAGACTGGTATTAAAGAAACAGAATCTGCTGAGAAGGAAGAAGTAACTCAGGATAGTCCTGCAGGCAGTAACAATGCAGACTCTGTGTTGCACGAGTCTGTGGAAGAAATTCCTTTTCCCTTAGAATACCGCCCTATGGAAGAGGGACTATATCTTGGAGACAGAGTTATATATGATGATGGGTCTGGTTCAGCTTTTGATGGTTCAGGAAAAGAAATGGAATCAAGTATTTGGCCTTGGGAAGATGCAACACTGGAACCAGTTTTCTACCCTGGTGCTGACAACTGGCTTGAAGATGACAATGAGTCTTTGCTAATTAGAACTGATGATATTCCTGAAGGCGTGATCTTGGACTATATTCTTAACTCTAAGAATAAATTAGAAAACAGTCGTTCCAAAGAGGAGAATGAAGGTATGGCCAATCTAAATGAAGATTTCCTTGATGAATCTGAAATATTTGTCTTTCCAGAGACTACAACTCAGCAGGTACCTCAGTTACAGACAGAAGAGCCATCACCGGTGGAACCATCTACACAGACACAAACACTGAGCAAGTACATTTCTTTTGCTACACCGTCCTTGGTTTTGGAGCCTTCAGTGGACAATTCCTTTGTAGACATGCCAACTGGAGAGGCCCCTGTTTCACCACACAATACTGGTCTTTCTGTGGAATATACTCTCATTGCATCTAGAGGGACTGTCAGTATGGAGCAGCCCGAAGAGTCCAGTATAGGTCAGAACATCATTTTTGAAGCAGCTGAGCACCAAAATGAAGATAGGACAATGACAGAAGAACTACTCACAGTGGAGCAATCAAATATAACTGAAGCTGCTACAATAGGCCGCTGGGACACAAGCTCCTCAGAAACTATTCTGACTGCAACTTTTTCCATGGTAAACCCTGATGCTTCCACCATCAACCCTGATGTTTCCATGGAAGACACTGATGCTTCCACAGAAAAGCAGCAAACCCTAGATTTATCACTGGCAGGCCAAGACACTACTGAGTCAGCAGTGAAGAAACCTGTTGATGTTTGGCCTACTGACAGAGAAATAGAAAACTCATTAGGTCAGACAGTACATTCAGCAATGCCACCTGTCACTCAAGCTGTGCCTGCAGTTCCTTCTGTAATAGATCAGACCCCTGTGCTAGAGGGCTTTGCTGGACAGGGTGGCACAGACCACAGTGCAGATGTTCCCATGGGCTTCAGCACTGTTATGAACTCTTATGTAACAGTGAGTGCAACAAGCAGCACTGTTGAGCTTCCCTCCCATTTCCCTGCTGTGGGATCCACAGTGTCATCATCTGTGGCTACCTCAACAAAGCTGGGAGATGAAACTGCAAAAGTCCTGGATGTTTCAGTGGACCTGGATCATGTGAGCCCTGTCCACTTTTCTCCTGAGTTGACTGAGGAGGAAAGGAGCATGACCAAAAGTCATGTGGAGCTAACGACTCATGTTCAGTCCACAGAGATGGCCAGTGTGGCTTGGGCCACACGTGAAAAGGGCTATATTACTCCTGTCCCCTCAAGAGCTCTAGTGGTGTTTTTCAGTCTTCGGGTTACCAACATGATATTCTCAGAGGACCTGTTCAATAAAAACTCCCCTGAATATAAAGCGTTGGAGCAGCGATTCTTGGAACTGGTAAGGGCCACTTCTGTTCAAAATGCCTATTACCAGGTAGAACAAAAATGTTGGTAAATAATAGTTTGTTGGCTGTCTTTGGCAGAGAGCAACTCAAGACTGGTGTTTAGAAATACCGTCTGTGTCCCTCTATGGGAAAATTCTGCCTGGAAATGGACAGTGGGCTGGGGTGTGTTGTATGTCTTTTACTCAGTTGGTAGTTTCTCTAAAGTGTAACTTTTCAGTGCTGTGGGCTGGATATTCTGCTGTTGTTAAGAAATGCAGCAGTGTAGCTGAAGTCACTACAACCCTTCCCTTACTTGCTTCTGGAGTCTTCTGTATTTAGTCTATAGGGAGAGAGAAGTAAATAAATTTGGACTGTGATGAGGTAACTTCCTGTAAAACATTCAACCCATCCTAAATAAGAGGTAGTTACCATAAAATCACAGAATGGGTTGGAAGGGAGCTTAAAGCTCATCTAGTTCCAACCCCTAGAGCTGAATGAAGTACTGCAGGTGGGGTCTCATGAGAGCAGAGTAGATGGGGAGAATCACCTCCCTTGACCTGCTGGTCACACTCCTTTTGATGAGCCCAGGATATGGTTGGCTTTCTGGGCTGCAAGCGCACACTGCCGGGTCACAATGAGCTTTTGGTCAACAGATACCCCCAAGTCCTTCTCTGGAGGGTTGCTTTCAATCCATTCTGTGCCTGGGATTGCCTTGATCCAGGTGTAGGGACTTGCATTTGGCCTTGTTGATCTTCATCAGATTTGCACTGGTCCATCTTTCAAGTGTGTCAAGCTCAGGGAACTAAGCTATTCCTAAATTGGCTGATGGCTAGCAAAGCCCCACAGGGGTTATACAGCTGCAATTGTCAAATTTTAACCAGGAAATTACCCTCTTCTGACTGAAATGAACGTTTTGTTGCAGGAGATGAAGGGAGCAAGGGAGAGAGGGGAAGGGGACTTGTGTGAAGCAAATACCCTGTGAAATGGCAAGTGTGCCCAATGGTTTGACCAAGGGAGAGCACTCTGTATATCCCAAGAACTGCATTTCTGAACTCTAGGTTTTTTTAGAAGCTGCCTGCAAACTGGGATACTCTTAAGAACTGCCTGAAGTACTTGGGTTTCTGGCATGCTGCCAGCACAGGCCTCAACTGGATAAAGTTTTAATGCCCTTGCTGTGGGATTTGGATAAAATAGTTCAGGCTCCTGCTGTCTGACACAACACCAATGCAGCTGGCTTGAGCAGAGATTCAAAGAGTGAGCTTTTCTGTTGTGTCCCCTGTGTTACAGCTGGTGCCCTACCTCCAGTCGAATCTGACAGGCTTCCAGAATCTGGAAATCCTCAACTTCAGAAATGGCAGCATTGTGGTGAACAGTCGAATGAAATTTGCCAAACCTGTGCCTCGGAATGTCACCAATGCTGTGTACATGATCCTGGAAGACTTTTGCAACACTGCGTATCACACCATGAATCTGGCCATTGATAAATACTCCCTGGATGTGGAATCAGGTAAGGATGGGAGGGAAATGCATTTTAGTGCAAGGAATTTAGAGCAACTTCTGCTTTAAGGACTTAAAAGGATCCCAGCACTTCAGACACAGCCCAATTGCTTTTCACAGGCTGGGCTTTAGAAAGACAGAATTCAGACAGATAGACAGTCCCTGTTAAGGGACTAAAGAGATAAAAATCAAAGTGAGACCCAGACTAAGCAAACTGTATAGGGCCCACATAGAAATATGGAGCCAAAGTTGGCTGAAGTAATACTCTGCATAATGCTGCTGCGCTTTCACTGCAGAGTGAGAAGGAAGGCTGCTCAGCAAGAACAGTGGTGTTCATCTCTCTTGTGTTTAGTTTCATGTGCAGTTTGACCTTACTCCATGTGGTTATTCCCACAGGTGCCAGCCAGTTTAGCTGCCAGGTGGGTATCTGCACAGGCAACAGCTGCTGCCTTACTCTTGTGGCAAGGCCTTGGTTGCACTAAAAAGTTACAGGCCCTCTTATTTCCCTCGTCTGATACAGGGAGAAAGTTCTTCCCCATTCCCAGTTAGCCAGGAGTTTACCATAAAGGCAACTCAGAAATATTTCCTGTTTTAAGGTCAAAGAAAAATAGCAGTGCTCACCTGTTGGCAATCGGTAACTGTTCTTCTGAGGTAGCTCTTCAATACAGAGAGTTTAATTAGCATGAAGAATCTTCCAATATTGATCATTTAACTGTATGCCAGCCTCTTATACTTGGTCCAAGTGAGGTATCTCAAATACTACAAGTTTGTGCTCCTAGCAGACAAAAAGGCAAACCCTGGCACAGGAGGTGACGAGTGCCCGAAGTCCCTTTGCCCTTTTATTGTACATTGCCTAGGTTTTCTGTAACAAGAAATACTGGAGATCAGCTGTGTTTTACTCATTATAGTTCCAGCAGGCAGAGAACATCTGAGGTACTGCACATTCCAGTAAGAAAAAGAACACTTCATACTTGCATTTTCAATTAGCCTGGTGGGTGGTCTTAGCCATGACACAGACTTGCAATGTGTGGACAGAGGCATGCAGCCTAGTGCTTGTTCACCTTAGCAGAACCTTCTGTTTTTCAAGAAGGACACATGCTGGATTTTGGGGGATTATTTTAACAAAGAGACCATTACAGAAAACGGCAGCAGCCAGCCAGTGCTTTGCCTCAGTTAAGCTTCTCCTCTAGCGTTAGTATTTTCTGCTCTGTGTACTCTCAGGTGAACAAGCTGATCCCTGCAAGTTCCAGGCCTGCAATGAGTTCTCTGAATGCTTAGTAAATCGCTGGAGTGGGGAAGCCGAGTGTGTCTGCAATCCTGGCTACCTAAGCATTGATGGGCTGCCATGCAACAGCATTTGTGACCTGCAACCAAACTTCTGCCTGAATGATGGGAAGTGTGACATAAGCCCTGGGCAAGGGGCCATCTGCAGGTAGGTCATCCCACTGCTTGAAGCATGTGCTGCCCGTATGAAAAGCCCTTTCTGTCTCCTCTCTTGTAGCATTCTATGAGATCTGTGCAAAATACCCTAAAATTATGTGTAGTAAGTGAGATTATAAGGATTATCATTCATGTTATGCTGCTGAGTGGAGGTACCACTTAATAGTGGGATATATATATTATATATATTATATAATCATTATATATATTCATATGTATATATGTATATATCAGAAGTGAGATATTAACACATTCCTTTAATAGAAAATAAACATTAGGAATTAAAAACAGCTACGAAAAATGGTAGTAATGGAATATATTCAGCTATTCAAGTCACCTTCATTGACCTCTGAGACAGAATTAATCTCCAGAGGTTTTCTCAAGTAGCAAACTGTTAAATATTGTCAAAACTTACTTCATATCAGAAAGGCACATTCATACAACATAAATATATTAAAAATAGTGTTCTTGGTTAGGAAAAAGTTCAATGGCCGTTTGGGAAAAAATATATGTAATTCATAAGAAGATTGCAGGCCTGTGTTTTACAGGTAAGGGACAAGACATAGTACAACATACAGAAAAAACAATGCTCCCTCTGACATTGCACTTATTTTTTCCTTTTCAAGCAATATTAACAGTCTGGTTTTAAAAAAAAATGTACCTAGCGAAAAAAGATAAAAGACTTACTGAAAAAAAGAATACTACTACTAGTAGTTATTATTTATGTTCCTTCAAGTGATTTTAACTAAGTTTACCTGGAACACCTCTGAAATCAATTTTGGAGTCCCAGCAGTTACCAGGCAAAACAAAAATGCTTTTAAAGCTAGACAAAAGGATGCTGTCCCAGATGTATTATATATTGTAGAATATTTGTACAGTACTGTTAATGACAAGCAGGTAAGTGTCTGAACTCAAGCATAGTCCAGCCAGTATTCAGTAAGAACTTTTTGAAAAATTCAAAGTATTGCTTACTACTCTCAGAAACTATTTTTGATACTTATGTTAGAAGACTTAATTTAGGGATGTTTCTTCTTATAAGGTTAATTGCTTTGAATAGTGAGAACACCTTATAATTCCTTCAGTTTTTATAGAAAACATGCTGGAGAGGGACTCTTCATCAGGGACTGCATGAAGAGAGGACACGGGGTAACGGGTTCTAATTTAAACAAGGGAAGTTCAGGTTAGATATAAGGAAGAAGTTCTTTACTATGAGGGTGGTGAGGCACTGGGGTTGCCCAAGGAAGTTGTGAATGCTTCATCCCTGGCAGTGTTCAAGGACAGGTTGGACAGAGTCTTGGGTACAAGGTTTAGTGTGAGGCAGGGACTGCCCATGGCAGGGGGGTGGAACTAGATGATCTTAAGGTCCTTTCCAACCCTAACCAATCTATGATTCTATAATGCAAATATGGTTTTAATGGTATATTTAAAGTCAGTATTAAGGTTCTTATGTTCAAAACTAGAGGCAGATAAAAATACTGAATGCTAAGGATACAAATCTTGGATGCACACTTCTTTCTAGCAATTTATTTTCTGTTTTTATTTAACTAACCATCGTGGAGTTCACGACACTATAAACATTCTGCTTGTTTAACACACCTTCAATTATATCTACCTCACAAGATAATTAAGACAACTTGCTTTCTACCTTTACAGTGTTCCATATGTCACGTGCAAGGCTCAGCCAAGGCCTAACGTTTTACTTAGTCTAAACTCCTTCTAGTTTTAACACATCACAAAATACTCAAAATTGCAAAAAAAAAAAAAAAAAAAAAAAAGAAAAGCCCCACAGGCTTCTTCCATCACAAATGCATAATCCTTTTTATTATTTTACCTATCTTCATCCAGTAGTTAGAGTTGTTCGGCTTAGAGAATGCTCCCCAGAGACCTTAGAGCAGCCTTGCAATACCTAAAGGGGGCTTAGAAGAAAGGTGGGGACAAACTTTTTAGCAGGGCTTGTTGTAATAGGACAAGGGGTAATGGTTTTAAATCAAAAGAGGGTAGATTCAGACTAGGTATAAGGAAGAATTTTTTTACAAGGGTGAAACACTCTGTCAGATTGCCCAAAAGGAGTAGATGCCCCATCCCTGGCAACATTCAAGGCAGTGTGACCTAGTTGAAGATGGCCCTGCCTGTTGCAGGGGGGCTGGCCTAGATAACATGCAAAGGTTGCCTCCAACCCAAACTATTCTATGATTCTATACCAAAAAGGCTGTTCAAAATAATAAAAGTATGTTAGTGCTTGAACACATAGAGGTATTTACTGAGGTGCCTTAACTGAGGGAACATCATACAGAAAGTTAAATACATTTACATTAACCAATGCTTTTGCTGGTGTTTAATTTCCCTGTGTTTCCTTGTTGCAGGTGTCGTGTGGGAGAGAACTGGTGGTACAGAGGGGAGCACTGTGAAGAATATGTGTCAGAGCCACTGGTTGTGGGTATTGCAATTGCTTCTGTAGCAGGATTCCTTCTTGTGGCATCTGCTGTCATCTTCTTCTTGGCCAGGACCCTTCGAGACCAGTACACAAAGAGTGACACTGAGGACTCACAGGGGTAAGTGACACCATCTAATATTTTAAAACACATCTGCTATAATAATAATAGGATGTACAGGAGCTTCCATATGCCAGGCTTCCTTAATCTGCCTGCTGCCTTTCCAGGCTGCAGAGAAGATCATAGTTTGTTTCTTGCTCCCCCAGGCAGGGTGACAGCCTCTCGTCTGTTGAGAATGCAGTTAAATACAACCCCATGTACGAAAGTGACACAACTGGCTACAGCCATTATTACCGGAGATACCCACAACTAACATCCTACAGCTCCACCAGTGCAGAGACATCCACAGACTACAGCAGTGAAGAGATCAGGCACATTTATGAAAACAGTGAGCTTACTAAGGAGGTAAATTACTTTGTTTTCACAGTGGCATGGAAAAGATCATGTAAACAATAAGCTTATTTCACACTTGTAACCCAAGAGGTGGGCCCACTCTTTTCCCAATGTCTATGCTCTGAAGAAACAGGCTGGAACTATGGCTACTGCAACTACTAAAGGGAAGAGCGAAAGGATTCCCTTCCCCACTTGCTATTAGGTACAGAGAAGGAAATGAGTGTGTTCTGAACTGTAATTAATTTCACATGATGAAGGAGCTGACTTCTTAAATGACTTCATGAGGGCTGGGGAGGTTTGTGCCAACTACTTATGTAAGACTAGTTATGCAGTGAGAACCTGGTGCATCCAGGCATTTCTACAGTTTCATTGTTTGGTTGTTTTTTTGTTTTTAAAGTATACATATTTCTATAACCTGCAAGCTAGATCACCTCCTCTCCTTTCTTCCTGTATACACAGTATCCAGGGTTTATGCTAAAGTGGATTTGATAAAGAGAAGGGATTTGCATCTAAGCACTAACCACAGATCCTTGAGCAACTGTGAGAGGTGTGAATCCAGCCTGTAGCTGGGCTTGTAGGGATCTATGGGAGATAAATGGTTTGTAACAGCCTGATGATACGTCTCACTCTGTCCAAGCTTAGGCCTTGATTTAAAAGTAAAGTATTACTGGATTCCAAGTGCTTCATTTAAAAATGAAAATAGCATGAAGTCAAATTTTAGTATTGGGAGTGCCCCTTTTCAAACTCTACTCCTTGAAACAGCAAAACATGGGAGTTTTATTTTCCAAAACCCATAAATCAGTTATTTCAGTAGTATTCTAATTTCTGTTATCTACTTACAGTGTGTTTCTTGTATTCTAGGAAATTCAGGACAGAATTCGAATTATAGAGCTCTACGCTAAAGACCGTCAGTTTGCAGAGTTTGTCAGGCAGCATCAGATGTGAGTGAAATGTCTTGCTTGGATAACTAACTCCTTTGCTGTTTTTTTATGTGCCCTTTACTACATTCCTGGATTTTTTCATTTCAAGAGTCTAGAAATGCTGGAACACTAGAGGTTAAGATTTCAACATTATTTCTGAAGTTCAATCCTTTGAAAGTACTTAAAATAATCAGTGTGAAAAATAGATAACCCCAGAAGGTATATTAAAAGCGTTGAAGAAGAATCCCAGAATCAAGGGGTGCTGGAGAAGCACTGCCATTAATTTAGGTCCCTGAAAGCACAGACTGAACCTTCTTAACTCTTGTAGTGTACTTACTACTGCATAGTGCTCTATTTAAAATAGAAATTTTAGAGTTCTCAAGACTTGGCAACTAACTATAACCTGACAGACCAGTAGTACAGCCCTGTCTGGTATGGTGGCACTTACCAGAACATAAAGCTTACAGTTCCAAACATCTAACCAAGCTGAGCTGTGTGCTTTGGTGAGAGCCAATCATGGCAAAGGCCATCAAGGAATAAATTAGTAGCATACATGTTCTTATGAACTTTGCTCTCCCTGTAGCAAGCAGCAAATTACAGCTAACTGGGGCAGTCTGAAAGATACTATGGGATCCTTTTAAAAATAGCTGCAGTGGCAAAAATTTAAGATCATCAACTATCTTTTTTTTTTTATTTAATTGAAACTAACAGCAGTTCACATGTTCCCATGTCAGTTGTTCATTTTTTCACCTTGAAAAGGATCAGCATGTAGATTTTCCACAGCTGGAAAGTAGTAAGGGTTGCCTCATACAAGCCTTGAACTCAGTGTTTGAAAGAGACTAACTTAATATTTTTTTCTCTATTTTTTGTTTCAGGAAGCTGCTTTAAGAAAAAAGAAATCAGTAGAATACATGTGGAAGATAAAGACTACCTTGTTGCCATAGCAATGGGCTCAGATGTTACTGCGAAGTTACTTATAGTCTTAACATTGCAGGGATGATACAGATGTTTTTTTTGCATGAATGGCTAAAGTGTACAGATACCTATCTCAATTATTTCTGGCTTTTCTGTAAAGTGACATTTTTAAGACGTGATCAGAAGTGGTAGAGGTTATGAAAGTTCATTTTCCTTTAACTCTGAAATGGACAGCAAAAGTTTGTATACCAAGGCAAAAAAAATCTCATCACGTAACAGAAGATACAGGTGCTACCAAAATAAAATGCATATTTAAAATCCCTCTTTGGCATTTACCCCCTCACTGGAGGCTTTCACAGGTATCCAGGTATGTAGCAATTTCACATGTATCCAGCACTAGTGGAAGAAATACTTTGTGAATGATTTGTGAGCGTGATTGTGCTAGAATTATGTTAGCATTATTTTAAAGCATTCCCATTATAAAAATGCAACCATAACCTCACCAGAGAAGTTCTTTTCTACAGATGCCTGAGGTACATTTTGTCACTAGCATTAGCAAAGCAGAGTGCAGCAAGGAGCCTACAAGCTTCTTGAAGGCTCTGACAAGCATCACCCTGCCTGCCAGTGACCCCATGGGGCACCCCAGCAAGGGAGCGCAGTACTGCTGCAGCACAGAACCCTGTTTTGAAAGCCAGGGCAGTTGATTCTCCAGCTGTTCATGGCAGACACACAAGTTGGGGCATAGAGGGCTTCTATCAAAAAAATGCTCTGTGAAGCTTAAGTGACTAACACTGACCTTTTTTATGTAGAGAATTTGTTTGATATTTTAAGTTAATACACATTATTATTTGTTGTGTGTTTCCCTATCCTCATGTTCATAATGGATTTAATTGTTTATATAGAAAGATGAATAGTTTAATGATAAAATTTGTGCCCTCTTTGCCCATCCTTTAAAAAAAAAAAGTTAGTTTTGACTCAGTGTTCAATTCAGCCAACTGATTTTTGAATTTTCTTTACTGAACTGGGCAATACACTGCCATGAGCTGTGTTTCAAAATCAGGCTGTACCACTGAAATGTATGTATATTTGGTAGATGGCAGAAATTTTTATGGGGAAGGGAAAAAAATGACAGTATTCTTGGCTTAGTGGAAGTCAGAGTAGAATTCCTTAAACCAAAAAAGCCTGAAGCATTTTAAAATAGCTGAATTGAGATGGGGACCTCTGAGGTACAGAAAGGGAGTTTTATCTTCAAATTACAAAGCAAGCTCTGACCACCTGTTAAGGTGGGCTCTGTTCAGTCACCCGGTGTCTCTTGTTTAAGGCATTCACGTGGCTGTCAAAGGTTAGAACACTCATAGCCTCACATTAGCTTTTGATAGCAAACAAGGCCAAGTTGTTTGTTCTTTCTGCAGTCTAGTTCTTGGCCCACATGTGCCAACAGTCACCTGATACTTTTAGAGTTAAGTGACAGTGAGAATTAATTACTTGTCTGTAGGCAGCTTAGCTAAACAAGTGAATGTTTCAAAGCAGTTCTACATCTTCTGGAAAACCTCACTGCATCACTTGTGTAGTATCTTCTTGCCTTGAGTGGCAGGGAATGGGTATTTGAGTCAAACATCTGAAAGAAATGCTTACATAAACCACTTCAAACCCAAATAACGTGACACAGCAGGCAATAATATGTGCTGACTATCACCATTGTGACCAGAGCCCCCATTCTGCTGGGTCACCCAAGGACTCTCAGAGCAGCTGGTCCAGAGTTTCTGAGGCACAGTCCACTGCCTCCTGGCCCTGCAGCAGCACTGCTAAGCCATCCTGGAGCACTGGGGACTGTGATTATGGTAACTGTACAACACAGGGAAGAACTGGGCCCAGGGTAGGCAGCAACTTGTGACTTGTCTCTGTGCAGCACGGCTGCCAGCCCTGGGAGCTTTGGTGCTGCTCCTGCTAAGCACAGTGGTGGATGGTGGCTGGTATCAGACATGTTTTAAAGGTATTGTAGTATCTGCTGTGCACAAGCTGAGAAGGGTCTTGGTGACACTGAGTATGAGGTATTTCAGTGCATATACAATTAATCTTTTTGTGTGTGTGTATACATACGAACACAATGTTATCTTATTTTCACTACAATAAAAAAATTATTTCCAAAATAATTTTTTGTATAAAATTAATGTTGAGACTATGAGCTTGATACAAAGACAGAAGGTATCTTAACCATGATGATTAGTGCATGTAGGATCAGAAAGTTTGTTGATTTTTGGGTGTTTTGTTTTTTTTTTAACAGTTTCTTAAGCTGTTAAACCCCTTTGCTGACAAAGTGCCAAATGTAGTTCCTTATCACTTGTAAGGTTATGTTCTGAAAATTTCATGCTGGAAAGCACATAACTGAATGCTTTCTTTTCAGTTAAGCTCTCTGCCCATTTTGAAGATATTTTTGTTCTAATCAAAGAGCTGAAACATGTTATTACTTAGGGGATCTTCAAGTCCTAACAAACCAAAACAAAACACATACTCCCCACCCCATTCAAGCCTCTTCATCTAAACTGTTTGATGATCTTGGACACCTTCCTAATCCAAGGCAGAGACAAAGAACTCTAAATATTCTAACAAAAAAACAAACAACCCAACAACCCAAACTAGTTCTGTGTATTAATCAACCAGTACTTGTTATCAGTTAACATTGTTTTTCACTTGTTAAGTGCAAGTTTGAAGGACGTGGCTTAATTTAAGAACATAGACAAAAGCAGTTACTGTCTACTGAACACTGATAAGTCTGTTGGCTTCTGTGGCCCCCCTTAAGGCTTGAAGACGAGACCCTGCAGGTCACTACCACCCACCCCCTTAGCAGAAGGTCTCAAACATGTAGAAACCCATACTGGACCACAGTGCCATTTACTGCACAAACCACTGGGTATAAATTCTGCCTGTATTATTTCGAGGGTGTCTCAAGGCCTTCCCTTCTACACCTCAAGGCACCAGTCCGCAGTAGAATTCCACCATAGCTGGAAATTCAAACAAAGAACAATTGTGCAGAACTAAAATACTGACAGTGCTTCAGGACCTGTGTGCTTGCCTTTTATTTGATAGTTTTCAGCGAAGGACAGAGCCTTGAGCAGCAAAACGATACTCAGTTACCCTGATATTCTTTTAGCTATTCTGTTAGGATCAGTTTTGTGTGGCTCATGTACCACTGGGTAACAATTTGGTCCCAGAAAACAGATTTAGCTGAAACTACAATTTCCTCCTATGTCCTCTGAAACAAGGAAACACAGATATAATTGCTAAAATGGAAAAAGCCTTCAACAATCAAAACTTTTCACTGATGTTCGTTATTACACCTTCTGGAATTGGTCGTTCTTGTGAAAGTGTGGACAGCAGGCATGCTAAGGTGCAGCAGCCCCAGCTCAGGAACAGTCATTCATGCTATTGAAACACAAAGCAAAAGTACTTACCAATACCACTCTACCTGTCTATCTGTAAGCACTGTAGGACAGACAGAGTGACTGTATAGCATAAGAAATGTGGTGTGACACTGCTGCTCTTTAAATATTAATAGAAAGCACACAGGAATTTCATGGTAGTTTGTTTAGAATCATAAAATCACAGAATGATTTGGGTTGAAAGGGACCTTAATGATCATCTAGTTCCAAAACCCTGACACGGGCATGGACGCCTCACACTAGACCAGGTTGCTTAAAGCCCCCTCCAACCCGTTAACTTGAAGTATACTGTAACACAGCAGGAGTTCTGTCTTTCCATTACTTGATCCAGTTTGGGAACAGGTACTTTCTGTTCTATATAACATCCATCCATTTGCTTTGGGTTTTCAAATGAAAAATATAAACATATCCAAAGCTATTTCTGGGCCAGTAAAGGAAATTTTTTTATTTGTCAGTCCAAGTGGGAAAGTTTTGTTTTTGCCACATTCAACACTCTCCTACTCCAGATTATTAATGACCCCTAGGAATTTTAGTTGTGTTCCTGTCCACTTGGAATCTTGCCCTGCTGCTTCTCACTCTCCTTGCTGCAGCAGACACTACATTTAGCAGTGGGAAAAGCACTCGTGGCAGGCAGCTCTGCCTGGAGGATGACAGCAGGCTGCAGGACTGAAATGACAGCTTGCCTGAGGTGCTACAGGTGTTTAGAAGGAGCCAGCTGAACACCACCTCAAAACCTGTGCTTTTAGATCTCCCTGAGTTTCCAATTCAACACAAAACCAGATTTTAATACTGGAATTCTGGGGGATGCATGACCATTTATTATCTTTTAAAAATCAATTCTACCATCAGTATGTCTAAGGAGTATGTTTTTATATTAAATATAGAAGTTGGAGAAACCTACACTTAAAGCTTGACCTTTTAAAGGGGACCCCCTCCTCTCCAGCTCTCATTTATACAACCAAAACCAACAAAAAATCCTATCTGTCTTGAATCACTGAAGACTTAAATGTTTTTCAAAGGTCTCATATTAAACACAAATCAGAATTAGTGTTAACTGGAGTTGCAATTGCATATCCACAGCTGATTACCAGATGGGGAAACTGCCTTTCTGGAAAGGATGACATAGCTTTAACAGAAATGAAAGCAGGAACAATAATGGATACAGCCATATATCAAAACTTTATGCAGTAACACGGGCATATGGCTGGATTAAGAGGGCAAGGGAACAGGCAGACTCTCAGCAGTGAGCAATCCCAAGAGTGAAATACCTCCGTCTATTCATGGGAGACAGCTATAGGGGAATTCACTCAGCTCCACCTAGAGGATTACACAGTGATTATATGATTTCTTGTTCCAGAAAGGGAGGGAGATACAAAGCACTTCTAGCAGCAGCATGGGGTTTAAGTCTCCCAGCATGACCTACAGGTAACTGCTGGCTGTGGTTCACTGTTCACAGTTCCAGTCATCTGCTTAGTTTGGGAGTGGCTGTTGTTCCCATCCCTATTTTCAGATGGGAAGATCAGAGAGTTCTGATCTACAAAAATGCTTTCTACAGTTCTCCAGCTTTTTCTTTTATCTCTTTTTCTTTTGTTATTTCTTAAAGTTTTGATTAAAAAAAACCCCCAACAATCAACAACAACAAAAAAAAAACCCCACCCTTCTGACACGTACTCTTTCTGGGTTTGCTTTCTACCTGCCCCTCTTAGCCATGGATGGAAACCCACTCCCCACCCACACCAGCACTTACAATGTCTGCTCAAGTGTACTACTTTAAAAAACAACCAACCCCACAGTGAAATGTTCCTCCAAGGCTTGCAGTGAACATGACAGAAAGCCTCATGCCGGCAGAGATTGACCTTTCAAGAGCCAAATGTTTGGCATTATGCTTACAGCTCATGATGGGACATGTCATGCCTAATGCAATGTTGAATACACCAAGCTAACAGAAAGCAGAATCAGAGTGCAGATAACTGAAGAGAAACGCTGATGGTTAAGTGTTTAAGGGCCATCTCTCAGCACATCACATGACTCCACTGACATTTTTGAAAGGGCAAAGCACATAATGGCTTTGCACTTTACCTGCCAAGAAAAAAATGGAATGGAAGCTGCTGGTAAGGCATTTAAAGCAGAGAACTAGTCCATGGTTTGCAGGCAGCACAAGGAGTCACTGAGCGTGGAAAGGAGGAAGAAAGTCATGTTAGGAGCAACAAAGTAAATGAACAGGTTACTTTTACGTTTCTATTTAAGGAAGAGGAGAAATATCCCATAATCACTTTGATATATGTTCAAGTCAATAAGCTACTCTTTGATGAGTATCCCTAACATTGCTTTAGAGACCATTCTGCCCAGTGAGACTCTCTGGAACCTGCCACTGCAACATCCAGAGATAAGGAGGAAGGATTAAGTACAGCGTATGTATCTGGCAAAGAAGGTTAACTGGAAAATTTTGCTTCTGAAATACTGGTGAGGGATGTGACCAAGCACAGCTGATGTTCTGCAGCTTCACTGCTCAGCACCTATGTGAGAACTGTCTTCTACCCAGTACCCCCAGCTGTCTGTGAACACACCATCAATCATTCCTCTCCAGATGGAGCATTGCAGAGTTTCCTATCGTCATGATATAAAAACCCAATTAGCTGTGCTGACCAGCATGTTCCATAAACATGCAACAAAACTTCCCACTGTTCACTTTATTTATTCACTGTGTACAAAACCCAGACTATTTTACAAAATGAAAAACTTGAGCAGGCAGATCATGGGAAAAACCCAGCAAGGGCATCCTTTTTTTAGATTTTTATCCAATCAAAATCCTTTTAGATTGGATATAAGGAGGAAATTCTTTCCTGTTAGGGTGGTGAGGCACTGGAATAGGTTGCCCAGGGAGGTTGTGAATGCTCCATCCCTGGCAGTGTTCAAGACCAGGTTGGATGAGGCCTTGGGTGATATGGTTTAGTGTGAGGTGTTCCTGCCCACGGCAGGGGGGTTGGAACTTGATCCTAAGGTCTTTTCCAACCCTAACTGTTCTATAATTCTCTTCTATGATTCTAAGAAGAGATCTGTTCAGCCCTGTAATACAGAAAAACAAATATGCAAATTCTTCAATTCTTGTGTGACTCTCATGAATATTTTTAAAACCAGCTCTAGTTAACTGAGCCTCTTGATGTATGATGTCAAAATAGTCATGCATAGTCCCTGTTCCACTCTGGGAAATGGGAAACCTCAAATCTAGCAATGATCAGTCTGCAAATGGAGGACACATTCAGGGATCAAATCTGAAAACCAGAAGTATCCAGTTTGAAATATTAGACCATACAAAGCCTACATGCAATTCATTCTGAAAAACACACCCTGGTACAGCAAAATACAATTACTTACTCTTACTTCTAGGATCATCAGCTGTCTCACTCAGCCCGAGTTACTTGATCACTTCAGAACACTGTGCTTGCCTCAAAACCCTGCCATTCTGAGCTTTCTTCCCTCTGCTTACTGGAAACTGTATTAAAGGACTTCACCTTGGAGGGGCCTAACTGGAACTTGTTTCAAATTAAAGCAGCATTAAACCCAGCTTATTAGCAACAGCAATATTAACTGCTCCACACAGGTGTCAGCTGGATCCCAC